TAGTTAATTAGGAGATGACTTCAGTATGTTTTCTAAAACTGGATTGTACTCTCATCTCTGGTTTACACTTTTAAATATGGTCTTAATTAAAAGGTCAGATCCACTTGGAGAAATAAAGAGCTTATTTACATGACGAGTACACAGTGATCTTTTGTGCTGTCTGCTTTCATAGACTTTCCAGAGGATGAGATTCAGCAGAAGTCCTGCATCTTTGAATAATCCCAGCTGGACTCATGGCAAGTCAAAGGTATATATTTAGAACTGAGGCATCATTTATTAAAACATGTGTAAAGTGGGTTAGTTTTTTTTTTTTTTACTATCACTGGAGAAACAAATCCATGTCAAGTGCACCTAATAAAATTGCACTGACCTCTTATTTAGCCATTAGTGCTATAAATTGCTTTCGTCATGAGAATTTTTGTCAAAATTTCACATGTAGGGCCCATAACTTTACAGTTAGAAATAAATTACCAAAAGGAAAATGTACATATGTCTAACCTTAGCTCACATCTTTTGGCTTAAATTTCTGATATTTGGCCTTGACAGTGTGACAGCTTTTTGGGATTTTTGTGTGTGTGTTATAAGTACTAAATTGAATACCAAAACTGTACTTAAAGGTGCCTTTTGTAACTTTTCTGGTGAAGAGTGTGTCAAATGCTTTTCTTCATGGAAATGTTATCGCTTTGTCTGGAATGTTTCACCGTATTGTTTCTATCTATATGAAGATATTTGACCAAGTTACAGGTCAGATCTGTGGAGAGACAAACTTGCTCACAGACAGAATGCCTGTTTTTCTAGGTATTTTTGAGCTATAAAACCACCTGTAATTGAATAAATGTAAAGTAGAGCTGTTTAATGTCATACTGTGGAACATTCCAGGCACAACAATGACAAATCCCCCAACCCCCAACCAAAATGTTACATAGTTCACCTTTAAGTTAATTTCTGCCGATAAAATTTTTTTTAGACTTTATGTCAGTCTTTGTTTCATATAGATAGTTCCAACAATTACAGAGATATTAATCATAAACTGGTTAAACTGGTCAAAACATCTGCATAACATGGTCATAGTATTAAATTAAGCACACTGAGTATTATGATGAACCCATTAGATCAGGCTCTGATGTGTAGCTGTTTTGTGTTTTGGCTTTCACTTTGTAGTGATCTGTTAGCAGGGTTAGCTCTTTTACTTAGTGGGGAAATGTGTTCTTTACTCTACGGGCAGGGGTCCAGAGCACATCACGGGCTGCTATGGCAACAGTCCTGGCACCCCCACAGCGGACCCATGCCAACACACAGTAACGCCACAGCTCTTCAACTGGCACACGCCACAGGGCACCTCCGAACGCTGCCTTATTACACAAGCAAAGGGACCAGCGTTACGTAACAGAGGCATAAGAGTTTGGCTTTATAAGGGGTGTACAAGGACAAACTCTATTTCATAAACATTACCTATGTGTTACCAGATATAGACTAAACAGGCAAATAGTGAATTAACTGATGGCTGTAATATTAATTTTGTATTAACAGTATGAACAATACTGAAATGCCAAAGTTTTACATATTTTTAATTGTGTAACTCTTCTGGTGAAGGAATCTGCCGCCTGATTGTCTCCACTGGGATTGTTGCCTTGCCTGGAATGTTTCACAGTATGTCATTAAACTTATTCATCACCTTGGAAACAAGCAAGTGAAACCATCAGACCAAGTTACAAGATAGATCTGTAGAGAGATGAGCCCACAAAAAATCAAGATAGATATGTTTAAGGCCATACTGAGGAGCGTTCCAGGCACAGCAATAACATCTGCGTAGAGAAGTCAGTTATCTAACAGAAGTCTGAGTAAGCTTCTTTCTCTGGGTTGCCAGATCCTAATGCTCAAGCCAACTTAAATTTGAATCCTCAATTTTGTAAATAAGATGATTCAAAGACTAAGTAATACCGTATCATTAATTTGTGTATAAAATGTATGTTTTGGAGGATATAGACAGGCTGAGTCACTTTAATTACTTATTTTGCTCCATCTAAATTCATGCCCTCTGGTTGTACAAATACATCGAGTTACCCTTGCTCTAATCTGTCAATGATTCAGTTCACCCTCCAGATGTAGCGCACTAATTAGCCTGTTTATTAGCTGATTATGTGGGTAAACTTCACTTCACTGCTGCTGTTTTTACTGGTGGGAGCACAAGAGACAACAGTCTATATAAAATACGGCCTTGAAAATTGAAAGGGTGCTATTACGTAGGAAGGGAAAAAAGAAATCAATTGTCTGACTGCCTTCTTTCACTCCAGAGAGAGCTCACCTGGGTACCATCAAGTCAGAGTCATCTCGTCCCCATGATGTGAGTATAAATATGTCATAGACTGGGATTTCACTTGGGCTCTGTGTGTCCATGGTGCAATACAGAACAGGCACAGCTGCAAACCTTCAGGGGATACATCTCTATTATTTACTCTGTCCTTCGTGGTACTTTGACTTCATGCTATAATTTATATAGCTACAAGAAGGAACAAACCAGTGGACTCTTTGTGTAGCTCCCAAGCTATGATAAATATAATGAGCTGTAAATTTTATAATGAAAGGCGCTAGTTAGTAGTTCTTAGTATTTAAAGGGCTCATATTACACTATTTTCTTATATTGTTTAATTTGTTTTCTCATCACAAACATACCTGGAGTCGTATTTTATTTCATTCACAAATGTTCAACATACAAACTCTGCATATCTCTCTCAAACACAAAACACTCCACCTTGTGATGTCATGTGATAATACAGGAAGTGCTCCATGTGTTTTTAAATTTCATACACCTTCACTAGAATCACTTGGATCATTTCATCATCACAAGGTGGAACAGAGTGTTTTCAGTTTTGGAAATGTAAACAGACTAATAATCAGGCTTATTGAAATGTGTGAATGAAATAAAGCAAGTGTGTTTTTGATAAGGCATAAACATTTAAAAATGCTCACAAGAGTCAATTTTGTGTAATATGACCTTAAAACAGATCACATATGTTGCAGTTGCAAAAGATACTGTAGTTTACTGTTTAGACCCAACAAAGTTTGTGAGATTCAAAGATACAAATGATGAAATTGACTCACAACAGAACTACATTTGTTGACAGGCAGTATCTATCAGAATTTTAAACACATTATATTACAGATCTGCACTGATTTATTCTATGCCCTGGGTTGCTTGATTATGAAATTATTCTTTTTTTATTTTTTATATTTCAGAAATGACTATGATTGCAATTAACAGAATTCCACTGGCCTAAATTACATCGTACTACCTTTTTTCAGAATATGTATTATGGTGTTTCTAACAACAGTGTAACAAACCAGCCCACAGACAAAAGGCAGTACATTAGCTTCTTCGGCAGCAAGCAATTTCACCTGATGGATTGTTTAGATAACCAAATCATGTGCCTATTATTACTGTGGCTTGTTATTAGAATACACTCAGAATAATCGAGGCTGCAGCACTTTTGAACGCGTGAAGCAGACTTGAGCTGTCAGTGTCCGTAACACACAGACTCATGTGCTCAGCCTGGCCACACTGTCCTCTCAAAGGGAACATAAAATTCAAATTCTCCACCTGCTGAAGCTTAAAGGATTTGGAGAAATATATGAAATCCACTTCCTTTGATCTACTGTTTAAAGCCTACGTCAGGGAAAAGTGAATGAGATGCACCAGGCAGAAATAAATTAATAAAAAACATTGCGTAATATATCTCCAGCGGAAAACAAAAGACAACCTAATTTTAGCTGACTTACCCTCATGTCAACTGCCATCAATCAACCAAAGTTTCCCTGCGCTGTCTACATCACAAAGAGTTAGGATTAAGTTAACTTTGTCTCAGGGAAAGTCAATTTGATTAAAGGTGCACTATGTAACTTTTCACTTGGACATTAACTTGTCTTCATAAAAATGTTGTTGTTTTGTGTTGTTCCACCGTGTGGCATTAAACCTATATATATCGATAGCTCTCTATCTATTCAATTACCATTTTTAATTGGCAAAAATACAGTATACCTTGAAAACCATGTATTCTTACTATGAGTATCACCTCCTCACAGATCTGACCTATAACTTGGCTTGGTGGAGATAGATAAGTTTACAGTCATACCATAGAACATTCCAGGCGAGGCAATAACATCGCCATTGACGCATGTATGTGTGTCTAAATATACTTGTAAGTGTGGCTATAATTACAATAAAGATGAAATATGTATATTTTCATGCAGAGGAACAGCATAGCAAGAGCATGTCTGCGTGTAGCTGGGGATTATATGGTAATAGGCAGTGACTCAGATCTTAGCATGAGTTAAAACAGGAACTAGAAAACATACAACACACAGTGCAAGTCAACAAATATGCAGTATTTTCCTTTTGAATTTTTCTCTTCTTCTGTGACCATTAATAATCATGTCAGGTCTTTTGAGATATGTGCTAGTATACTCTTGGATCATATTAACAGAAACTAGGCAGCATAGACAATTACTTATTTTAGTATTTTTAATTTCTATTTTATCTAACACAATTTGTAATGTAAAATGGATTTCTTAAATTTTAGATTTTAAGCATTTAATACCAAACATCTTAAAGTATAATTGTTAATACCAATGCAGTTTTTTAACCAGCTTGTTTTTGGACCATATTAAGTACATTTACGGTAGTTACTCAACAGGGGGTCATCAAATTGGCCTACCTATTGGAAATGAATGATGTCCTTCCCTAATGCAACCCTTTATATTTAGACTTGGTACAAACACAGTGCTTTTCTTTTTAAAATGTACCATGGACTAAAGTGCAATAATTTTAAAAGAGATGAAAATAACTGTATTATACTGTATCTCAAGCCAATGTTTTTAGCACAGCCTGTGTCCTCTAGAGAGAAATCAGCACAGTCAGAACGCAACAGTTTCATCGAAAATACAGTTTATTTTAAGACAGGATAAAATTGTACATGGACTCATAGGAACCACTAATGAGGCTTTCCGGCGAGGTTCCCACTTCTTAAAAGAGCTGCTGCCGACTGCTGCACCTGTTGTGTTGCGTGGGAACACACACAGCGCGCTTTATGTCACGTTTGAATAACAAGACAGTCCTGTTTATGCCATGTGGTAAAAATAGCACGGAAAAAAGGCTACTAATTGCAATTGCAGATGTGACAGGATACGATAGGAGCTGACAAACTGAACTCAAATGGCAGTGGTTTGTAAAATAATATTATAAAGGTGTTTTTATGGAAAGAAGAGAAAAAAAAAAATGTGTGTATCTTAAAAGCGTATCACATTTCTTCGATTCTCTTCAGCTTGATGCTTTCGAAAAAATATCCAATACGTTATTGTGACTTAATAATTCACTTAAAGGTGCACTGCATAACATTTCTGAAGGATCCGCCATCTGATGTCTCCATGGAAATGTTATTGCTTTGATTAACCTACTTATCACATGGGAGATAAGCAGGTTACAGCACTACGCTACATTACAGTTCAGATCTGTGGAGAATTGCCCCGATTTACCAAAGGAATACATATATTTTTGAATATTCATAATGAATATATTTTTAAAGTCACACCATGGAATATTCCCAGCAAAGCAATAACATTTCAATGGAGACAAGCAGGTGGCAGACCCCCCACTAGAAATGTTTCGAAGTACATCTTTAAGTAAATTCATTTCCTCAGTCAAATCAACTAAAACTACTTGGGATTGCTGGTATAACATTGAAGTGTGCAAACAGCTTTCATCCTACTCAAAATACCCATATATTCTATATTTAATACAACTGTGTATAGGTCCATGAAAACAGTATAAAAATGAACCATCCTGAGTAAGTCTAATTAGTCTGCACATACATGGACAGTTACAGTACTTCCTGACTTATTACCAGCTCCTCTCATCGATACAGTGGTAAAGTCTACTACAATCTGGAGACCAACTACACACACCACTGAAGTTAATTTATCCTGTAGCAAGCTTCTCTTACATAATTTGCCCCAAGCTTGCCTGTAAGTATCATTAGAAATTTAACTATGAATTTCCTTGTAAACAATTTCTAACTACATCTATAGACTCAACTGGAAAGTCAGTTTGCCCTCCCACCTTCAGCAACTGCGTTCACACTTGTCCTGGTTGGTTTAAGACCAATTTGGGTCCTGGTGTAAGACTTGGTTTGGTCCTGTTTTAGTCCCGGTTTAGTCCCAGTTATGTCCCAATTTTGATGTGGTGTATGTGCAAGTGTGAACGCACCCTAAATCTAAGTAATGGGCTTAGATGGCTGGACTGTGCCAGCTTTTCTGAAGGCATCTTAGTTTCTTTTTCACCAATATCATCTTTATCTGTGATTTCACAAGTCAGGGTAAGCTACAAAACAGCACCTCTAAATAAAAACCTTTGTTCTTATGAGTTTGTTAGTTCATGACTCAGAATCGTGTCTCGGAGCTGCCCCTCTTTAGTGTGCTGTTGTTGAATTCATCATGTTCAAAGCTTAGATTATTATGTGACCTGGATATCATGAGCAGTTTTTCCCGTTTACTGTAGTCACGTCGTGCTGCTGATGCCACCGAATCGTCCAACAAGCGTTCACTGTGGTCCTCCCTGTCCTCCAGCCGTGTGTAACCCTTACTGCTGCCTCTAGGGGCGCTGTTGCAGCTGCGGCTGCTGTTGCTACGGTCAAGACGCGGCCAGCTCGGGTGCTTCCTCTGCTCCTGGTGCACACTGAGCATGCTCGGTCGGCGCTCCAGGTCCAGAGATTTGGAGTGGCTACTGAGCATGTGCAGAGAGGAGTTTGAGCCAAAGTCACTGCGGGCCGCGCCTGGAGAGAGCCAGCAGCCTGAGGTAGATGAGGGGGCAGGGGACAGGGTGGATGCGGACGAATGATGGGAGGAAGAGGACGCAGAGTTGCTTCGATGTAGACCCGGAGGTTTAGATGCCTTAGCAACAGATGCCACAGGGACAGCTAATGACTCCATAGAGGTCAAAGGTTGTGAGCGCTCATCCCCGCACTCCCCTCTGTCGTCCTCTGTTATGGCCTCCATCTCTGGCTCATCGATGACACAGTTGTTGAGTTTGATCACGGGCAGAGTGAATGCAGAGATGGAGGAGGTCACGATGGAGCGCGCGTGGTGCCCGCCCCTCTCTCCATCTCCGTCCACAGACCACTGATGCCGCACAGAATCTGCATGTGCCAGCCCCAGCCCTGGGTTATAAAAGGGGCGGTCCTTATAGAGTGGAGCCAGGAGTCCAGCAAAACTACAGTCCAGTCTGGCCTGCTCTTCCTCTCCAAGGAGCCCCTCTTCTTCCTCGGCAGAGCCCCCTGCTGACCGTGATGTGAAGCCCAGGAGCGAGGTGCGGGCTAGGCTCATGTTATCGCTGAAGGCCTCTCGTGCATACACGCTGTTTCTGTGCAGCTGCTGCTTCTGTTCTTTCTGCCGCAGGCGATGGATGTCAATGACGGTGGAATACATGTCCCTCATGTGGATGATCTGAGAGAGAGACAACAGTCAGGTATGGAGTAAAATATTTGATTTATGATTTATATGCAGGGAATATGCTGTATTTCTGTACAGATACAGTTAATAAGGCAAGTATCTGCACTCCTGTCTCTAGTGGTAGGAGCCCACAGAATCACAGCCTCACCTGTAGATGCAGTTGTACATTTTTGAGGGGGGAGTTCAAACAATTTTCACTGTCTTTTTCCTAGTACTTTTTATTTTATTCATTCTTTTTTATTACTTTTGCTAGAACCGTTATCATCGTGTGGGCTGATATTAGGCGTGCGATAGGATTTTCAAAAGAATCAGATAACAAATTATACAAAAAATAGTAACTAAAACTAGATACTCATTTAAGTATCAACACTGAAGAAAAAAAAATCACAGAACTTAATCAAATTTTATCAAACTTTATTAGAACTAGTTTAAGACCACACGGTATAATCAATAAACGCTATCATTTTATGTTGAAAATTACAATAAGATGAAATGTCTAAATCAAGTATCGAGTCTATTCTTTAGTACTGATATTCAGTCTGAAATTTTAGCATTGTGACAACATTTATGTAAGAATCTATCTATGTATTTATCTCTCTGTTTTTCTTGGATTATAAAAACACATAAGCAGTGCATTTACGTTCCTACTAGACAATGTTATAGCTTTCAGCACATGTTGTTTGTTTACTCTTGAATGCAAACCTCAGGGTGTCATCATTGGTCTATTTGTTTTAAGGACAATATTAGATTTGATTAGAACAACTTACACCATAATTAATCATCTGCATAAATTACATGCTCTGGTTGACCTCATATGGGACAATATATGCGGCTCATTTGGAGTGCTGGATTCTCATTTACATTACCTGGAGAGTGGATAAGGATGCAGAGAAACGTTAATCAAATCAAGATGGAGGAGGAGAGGGCACAAGAGCAGGAAAATATGATCAGAGGAAAATTGGAGGGATAAGGGTGGAAGGAAGTGGATCTGTGCGTAAGATATGGAGATTTGATGAATATGAATAACCCCTCAGTGCTTTGAATTTTGCACAGAAACAAATCAAAAATGGAAAGACATATTAAAAACGTATTTTGTTGACTGATATGCTTCATTGTATTCAGTAGAAATTTATATTCTACCTTCGTTTCTCTGTCTCTGTTTTCGTGGAGGATGGCATTTGCACAGATGAAGATAAATATCCCAATGCCCATGGTGAAGGGTCCGAACATCTTCATCCTCTCAGAGTGACGATGCTGCTCCAGGAAACGGGTCAGGAGGCCAGATGTCTGTTTTGAGGTTTCTAAGAGCAAAACAAATGGGAAGAATTAGCTTAGCAACATGGAACATTTGCTATTTTGTTTGTAAATCTGTTCCTGTTGCTAATAAGGAACTTGGCTCTAAATTCGCTTCCCAACTTCCGGCATCAGTGAGCTTCATTTGACTGGAGCCAAATGCTATGGGTGACGTCACACTCCCTTAGCCCACTTCATTATACAGTCTATGTGCTAGGCTAACAATATTAAATAATTATTTGGTTATTGTCCCAAAATCTTACCTAAATTATAACCAATCATTCCCGTTTTTAAGTACAACTTTCTTTCTTTTCTTGCCATATCTAAACATTGTACATATCCATTGCTTCTGCTTTTCTGTTTTTATATGAGTGAAGAATAGCCACCTTTCTCTCCCCATTTGAGATATTCATTAGCTTTCAAGTTGTCAACAACAATGGCCAGTAGAAGGAATTGATCACCTTTTATTGGGTTGGGACTTGTTTTTACATATTACAAAATATTGTTTCTTGTTGGCACCATATGGTTGGCACCATTTTGTTGATTTAGGTGATTTTTACAAATCGATCTAATCTTGGTTTATTTCTGTGCAGTGGTAAAACTAATTTCTATTTATCTGCACAATAATTCATACCTCCATGATCTCTGGTAGTTGAATTGGCTCCTCCTCCTTCTGATACATTGCTTTTTACTTCATATATCTCTTGCTTGACAGATGTTGAGGGTCCCTCTGGCTTGGTCCTTTCTCCTGATGCCGTTTTGGGTGCCTCCGTTCTGTCACCATGGGGCCAGTAACCAAGCGTTGCCATGCCGATCCCCACAGCCAGAATAACCAGTCCCAAAAGCAGGAAAAACCCAGAGGCAGAGTACAGCCGTAGTCGTCCCCGAACGATTACAACATCTGTTCTGCGTTTCCTCTTTCTACGAATGCACAGATAGAGACAAAATGAGTTTTAAGACACCACATATTCAATTATATTTTGGCTGTGATTTTGTGATTATCTCTGATTCAGGCTGTGTTTGTGCATTATGCAAATTACGGAGAATATTAAAACTTTAATTATGCTTTCTGCTCCTGTTTTTAGACTCAGTGGTTATTTTCTTGTCTGCATAAACATTTTGTCTTCCATATAATACTGAATTGAAAAGTGAATTTGATGAAGTTGGAATACAAGTAAATGATCAGCGATTAAATATGCACTATGTAACTTTTGTGGTGGGATGAACACCTCATGTCATGATGTTTCTGTACTTAGAATGTTCCACAATAAGGCATTAAATGTGTCTCTGTTTATGGAGTTAAGCAGGTGACACTATCATGACAGGTAACAGATCAGATCAGTGGAGTGGTGAATGCATGCTTCTAAATATCTATAACTGAATAAATAGAAGATAGGTAAGATTAATACCATACTATGGAACAAAGGCAAAGTAATAGCGTATCCATGGAGAGTAGAATGTGGCGGACCCTTCACTAGAATTTGTTACAGAACACCTTTAATGAATGTAAATAGTTATGTATAATAAAGCCACACAAAATAAGATACATTTTGAGTTGTTTAGTATTGTTAAGAGATGAGTCTGATAGGTGTTAAATCTATATACATTTGTTTCTTGTCTTCTTAGCATGTTTTACCTGGGGGCTTGCTCTGGGACAGGACCTCCCAAAGCGGCCGAGAGCGGTCGATGCTGGGAGCGACATGAGTCTTGACGTTTGAGTTTGGCCAGTCCGGTCAGTACACCTGCTGCTGCTGTCATGTTCACCTGCAAACACATATGATGATAAGATTTTATCATTAACTATATGCAATAATCCATACAGCAAGAAAATACATATACTGGAACAACACAAAAATTTTCATATATATTTTTTAAAGTATCTAACTGTAAAAAGGCAGATTTTATTCATGATTTTGTGTGTAATCCCTCAATTGTCCAGGTAGGCTCAATTGCAAAGGAAAATGTAACTTATGTTCCTTATTAAGTCCTAAACCAACCCTGTTTTGTCTTGGTATATAGTCTAAAGTTGGAGTGTTTGTACATTAACCCAAAGGTCGGCGGTATGAATCTCACTCTCAACATAAACATCATTAGTTTAGTGGTCAGATCCATTGGGCCACTGGTTGGAGGTGTGATTGTGTGTGTGTGTGATCTGAATGCTGTTGTTGTGTCCTTGGTCAAGACACTTAACCCCCCCCCAGTGTCTGCGTTCACGGGTGTATGACTGTGTGTGAGTGGTTCCTTGATGCTTTGAGTGTCTTGAAGATGGAAAATTGCTATAGAAAAATATTAGTTACCATTGTGTCTTTATCTCATACCAAGCAGCCCTACCTTACCGCACTGTTTTTTTTTTAATTCTGCAGTTATTCCCCACAACCATATATGACATTTTACATTGTCAAGCCAGTGTCTTCTTTATACAGCAACAGTACTTCTCATTCAAAGCGCGATGTATCTCTTGTCTCTTCATATTGAACCAGTTCTTGAGATCACACCAGTCGTCTTGTTTCATTCAGGGCTGCCACACATTGATAAGAACGACTTTTGCAAATCTTTTTTTTTTCTTTTAGCCCGAGAAGTTGGCCAAGAACTCGATACCAGAAAGTACCAGTGATTCATGTAAGTGCAGATAAAGTTCAGGATTATGTAGAGTTGAGAGCCTCAGGGACAGTAAAGTGTATATTACAGTGGATAATAATAATGTTTACTCCTACACTCATTTTTTTTACATCTTCATGCTCTGATATTTACAGAAAAATAAGATGGTAACAGATGGGAATGACGTACAAGTCTACTCTTCTATTCACAATGAAACCTTACAGTGTATAGGGCTTGGCAATTAATACAATTCTGATTTAAATTACAGGGACAAAATATTTAGAATATATAGAATCTACATAGTTTCAAATAATTAGAATTAAAATCTTTGGCTATTTTGAGTTTGCTGTGTGTTTTCATTGTTCAAAAATATCTTCAAAAATATGCATTAAAGGTCCTAAATTACTACAAAATTTAAACCAAGTTAGAATATTGTCCCATCCTCAAAAACATACCTGGAGTTGTGTTTTGTTTCATTCACACATGTTTGAGTAATTAGTCTGTCTGCATCTCCATGTTAACACATATCTTTTACCTTTACGTAAGTAGAGATTGGCAATTCCAGGGCTGAAATTATCGAAATGATTCTAGTGAAAGTATGTGGAGTTTAAAAACACAGTGGAGCATTTCCTGTTACCACAGATGATGTTTTCTATTTCAGAGAAGAACTCAGCCTAAATATGCAGGATTTGTGTGTTAAATGTGTGAATGAAACTAAATAAAACTCCATGTATGTTTGTGATGAGGAAACATTATAATACAGATCAGAAAATAGCATAATATGTGCCCCTTAAGAATTCCTTCTATTAGTGGGCTTCCTCTCCACAGATCTGACCCTTAACTTGGCTTGGTGGTGTTGCCTGTTTGTCTCCATGGAAATAAATACATTTAATGTCATACTGCTAAATATTCCAGACAAAGCACCAATATCTCATTAAATCTAATCTGCATTGTTTCAAATAATAATTCATCCATTTTCTTCCACTTTATAATTACTTCATTTATTTGTTTGTGGGTATAGTGTTTGAAATGCAGAGGCTTTTCTGACATAACATTGAAATCTGTCTGATGGATTCACCAGCTGCACAAACAGCTATTAATAGTTATTAAAAGCACGGACGCTTTAAACAAACACAGGCTTATATTTGGGAGGCCCTCATCTTGGGTCCAAATGGCTGTTAATCTGGGCCCACATGCACATTAGCATTGTCCTGTTAGTGCTAAGAGGATTTATTAGACCATATTTGCTCTTGAAAATCCCAGAAAAGTACAAAAACCAAAATGGTGACCTTCACGGATCATCAGTACATCAACCAGCTGTAATTCCAACTGGTACATTCCTAGCTTGGTACACTGGTGATGGGCTGTGAGCTGGAGACATTTGTTACAATGAGAGACAGGAGGACACTGGACAAACTGCTCTCCATCATGGAGCTCAGTCTCCAACAGGCTCCTACAACTCCACTCAAACAGTGAGAGATACAGGACTACATTCATACCATACTCCCTACAACTGTACAACAACTCACCTTTATGTAACAGATAATACTCCCTACAACTGTACAACAACTCACCCTTATGTAACACATAACCCTATGTCTATTTCATCTTCGCACTGTTTCTCCTTACGACCTCTTTTATATAGCTGAGATATATTTGTATTACTATATTTCTATATTTTATTTTTACTTGTAGATATACATTTATAGAATTATACCTAATTTGACACAGTCTCTGAATCATTTTGCTACTTATTTTGAATTTATTATTACCATTTATATATTTTTTTGCTCTTTGTTATTATACAGTGTCTAAATAATTTTCCTTGTGGATCAATAAAGTTTGTCTAAGTATAACATATATAATATACCCAATCCAATCCACTTTATTTATATAGCACATTTCACAAACAAACTGTTTCCAAAGTGCTGCACAAATACATAAAAAATAACAACAATATATAAGAGTATATATAGTATAATATAGTACTCACTACATAATCACACATAAATTGCACCAGAACACACACAGTCAACCACATGTAATGCAATCATTGCAACAAGGCTATAAATGAAATGAGTGGTGTTCCCTTTTATCCCATATTGCTTTGCTGCTACAGTGCAATTCAACTAAAATAGCAATCTTCTTGTTAGGGCTGCAAGATTAATAGCAATCAAATCAAACTCTCAATTTAATTTGACACAATTAGCAAATCATAAAGACTGCGGTACCAGAACTTCCAATATCCTGTCTTATTCTTTGTGAAAACTGCCAATCTTGTAGTTCAGATCTGTACAAACATGTTCTGAAATGTGATTCTTGTATTAGCTTGTCAGTTCATATTTTAGTATTTTTTTTATTCTTCTGGACGTGTTTAAAATCTGAACTTTGAACAGAATCCTGTTATAAAACATAACTCACTCATTTAAATGCCGTTGCTTTGCTTGTCAAGAAAATTACAGTTAAATATTTTTCCTGTAACTTTTGGTGAATCATCATCATAAATTGACTAAGACTGACAAACCTGGCTCATAGTGTCAACTGATTTTCAGCATGATTCTGGTTTTGATTAAAATAAATACAACTGAACATTGGTCATGTGGTCTCAAATGTCTCCAAAAACAATTCATCTTGCTTTGTTTTGTTCCAGTGTGCAAATTTGAGACCAAAATGGTGGTTGTAAAAATATATATTTTAGCCAACTTTCCACTCATTTTGAGAATTGTAGTAGTTATTATCCACAGCTCACACAGAAAGACATTGAGAGCTATTTTATTGTACCAAAATTAAACTTGAACTTGAAGGAAAGACACAGAGCCAAAGTCAGAGTTAGATTTGATCAGCATAGAACTTTACAAACTATCAAAATTACCTGCAGATCACTGGCAGTAAAATAAGCACATACAGTAGGCTAGTGGTTGTGAAAATTTCATTCCAAATACCATTTAAGAAAATATTTGACCTTCCAAGTATCACCAGATCGCAGCTAGGTCTATAACAGGACTATTCCAGGACTAAACCAGATCTGAAATTGGACTACATTATGACTACAGTACCTCTATACAAGAATTAACCAAATTGAGAACAAAAACATGAAGTTAAAATTGAACAAATACTAGACCTGCAGAGACATGCCATCAGAAGGAGCTTGCATAACAAATGATCAACTGCTGAGTACAAATTAGGGACTAGCTTTAATTAAAACACTGAAATATTATATTTTAGACAATAACAGTCAACAGACTTTTCAGACTGACAAGAGAGACATTTTAGTTGTTAGGCATGGTATATCTAAGAGCATTAAACAACTTGGAGCTGTGTTATGTTATTATTTGCCAGCAATGTTCTACAGTATGTCATTAAGCTTATCTGTTTCCATAGAGACAAACATGTGATGCCAGCAAGCCAAGTTACAGGTCAAATCTGAGCATTATTTTGGCAAAATAAAATCACTTGTAATTGTATAAATGCAAAATGAATAAGTTTGTTTAACATTCCAAAGCAAAACTATGCAATTTCTATGAAGGCAAGGTGGACTCACCACCTGAAAGTAACACAGTGCACCTTTAATGCTTAGTTACTCAATATTTTAAATTTGAGCTTTCTCAGTCAGTAAACACATTTGTGTGTTTGAGAAATAAATGTCTGAACTGTCTGATTTTCCAGTTTGCTGTTTCCAATTTCCATGTTTTCCTTATAACCAGACTGCGAGGAAACCTTTGTTGTTGCTGAACTCGTATTCCCCTTGATTGCAGTGATAATAGTAGTAATTATTGACCGAAATGCACTGTCAAGCTTGTAATTAGTAGCATGTCCTCACTGAGGTTACGGTGAGGCTGAATTTTTATTAGTGTGGCTACAAGATGATGAAGCTGATTTAGCATGGGAATAAAAACACATAGTGACCTACGTTTTTCTCTTCCCTTTGTTCTCTCATTGCAACCTAATGTATTTCAGTTGTAATAATAATAATAATAAGTTGTAATAATTTTGAAAAATAAATAAATAAATTTACACAAGTAAGAATTCCTTTGGTTGGTGGGCTTGTCTCTCCACAGGTCTGACCTGCAACCTGGCCGCTTATCTCCATGGAGACAAGCAGGTAGTGACTAGACTAGACTAGATGCCACTAGAAATTTTACTTAGAGCACTTTTAAATACAATGTAATACCTGAACAACCGCGTCAGGCGTGTTTCAGCACATTTTCTGTCATATTGTAAAAATATTAGATAAACAATTTTGCTGGAGTTTAGGTTTAATAATATGTTTTTCATGTCAATAATTTTTTCACCAATGCGGTAAGTAGGCTTTCAGACAGATGGTGAATCACACAAGGACTCTCTCTCTCTCTCTTACAGCGCGTCAAGCACTAGCCCACACATTCTGTCAGGAGGAGGAGGAGGTATATCCTACAGAACTGGACAAGATTCGAGGAAATGAGAGGTAAAAACTCAAAATACACTGAGAACTCCAGAAGATTTTGTGTAGAGGATTTGTAAGTAGAACATAAAGTGAAAGCAGTTCTTTTATGCATTTCATTGTGTCTAATTGTTGACTCTTGTCTTGGATTGTTTCTGTTTCTTTCTCATTTCATGTATCATTTTGTTGCTTCTTGACACTATAAAATGACCTTTTAGTCTTAAAAGTGTACTGTGTAACTTTCCTGGTAGTCAATGGAAAAGCAAGCCTGCACATGATAAGAATTCATGTTTTTTAAGGTATTTTTGAGCTATAAAACACCTGCAGTTGTACAAATGCAAGGGAGATACGTTTAATGCCCACTGTGCAACATTCCAGGCAAAGAAATAACATCTACATGGAGACAAGCAAGTAGATGTTACATAGTGCACATTTAAATGCATTTTTATTATCACGTACTTCAACCATTCTATAGTATTTACAGATTGCAAGGAGGTCAGATGTTATTTTAATTTGTTTAAATATGTATATTTGATGGCAAGATATAGTTTTTGTTTGCAAGTTGTTTTTTTCTACTTTCTGTCCCTTTGAAACACCTTCAAATAGAGGCAGCTTTTTGGATAACTGATATATATCTATTTGCAACTGTTGCTGTATTCCAGGCAACTGGTAGGTGGATTATTTCCTATTTACAAACGTTCCGAGTTCAGAGCGTTCCAGCTGATATAACTTGTAAACAATATGGCTAATTAAAGAAATGTGTTTATTACTGACATTTCTTTATCCTACGGTTTACATGCAAATTCAAGTGGCATTCCAGGGCGTTTTTTCAAGTTAGATGTGGAAAATATCCTAGTTACAGAGTCCAGTTTGAGCTATTATTCACACAGAAAGTTATATACTCAAGGAGTAAGTAATCATTTTTTTCCAAAAATGGCACTCATACATTTGATATTGAAGAAAACTTGGCATCAAACCCACAACCTTCTTTCTGAGGAGAGAGGAAACAAGTGGATAACCGTCATATCGCTGTGGTAACATGTTTGGCAATATCTCAGTGTTTTATTTCTCAATATTTTACCATGCCAACAGAGAAGAGACACGCAGAAACCCAAGCCAAGACCATGTGTCGATTTTACAAGTCTGAAGAACAAGAACAAGTGGAGCAGTGAATGAAGAGAGCTACATGCTGCTCTCCTATAACAGGGGACACCAACCGTCCAATCAGAAAGCCCCCCACTGTGCCCCGCTGTGCCCTGTGTGTGCACTGACCACAGCAAATGAAAGGTTAATACTCAATCACACCTGATCTACACACAGCCAGTGCACAATATCTGTCTTCTCTTCCTCTTATTGTGTAAAACCTGTTAACTCTGTATTTTAGACCAATAAAAACACAATTCTCTTAGTTTGGCAGTTCAGTTTTCTCTCAAATTTGAATACTAAAATTGTTCAGCCCTAGTGCACTGTTATAGCTTACATTAATTTCCCTCTTCTTTGTTTAAAGATACACTGTGTAACCTTTCTGTACCTGTCAGCTTGATATAATAGATATAATGTTATAATGTTCCTCAGTACAGCATCAAATTACATAGATCTGTGGAGAGGTCACCACAATTATAACAAGAATAGATGTGCAATGAATTTTGAGCAATAAGTAGGAAAATAAATGCCACAGATGTAGCTTAAATGCCATGCTGTGGAATATTCCAGGCATAACACAATTACAACTCCATGGATACAAAGAGATGTAGGACCCCCCCACCAAAAAGTTACATAGTGCACCTTTAAAGGTAGTCAAAAAAAGAAAAAGAAATCCATTAAAAGCATTTTATAATTCTAAATAGTGAAGCTCCCTTGTGATCATCATAATGCTTAAATTTTCTGTTGTTTATCCATTATAACAATTATCCAATCCCCAGGCATTAGAAACATGTTTTTCTGTTTGATAAATATTCCTGCTTAATGTGTTTTACCAGTGTTTAATGTTTTTTTTCAAATCCTCAGCTCAGTTACAGGGGCTTAAATTGTTCTTTTTTTTTTTTTTTTTTTACAGATCTTGTTATCTATAGAAGACACGTCAGTTGAAGATCCCTATAGCAACAACACGTGCTGCTTCTCGGTGACACTACGAGTTACTATGGCAACAACCAGCTGTGTATTTTACATGTGTGTGAATGGGGACAACTACAAAAGAGAAATCAGGTATTATTATTGAGGAGCTGTAAAGAGGAAAAAAAGTGCACAACAAGAAATTTAGTTGCGTACACAGATATCTTAAGTCAATGGCAGTTCAGTATGGCTGGATTTCACAACACTCTGTAGGAATATGTGATGTAGCTGGAGCTGGCTTTGGCTTTACGAATGAAAATACTATGATTTAACCCCCTGGGGGAGATACCCCTCTGGGACTATGGCATCATCACATTCTTGAAGCTGAAAGCCATAAATTACAGCTTTACTCCTTAACAGTGCATTTAGAAAATACTGAACCTAAAATTATTCTTTGTTAGTGGTTAGGGCCATTATTCGTTTGTAGGGATGCACCAATACTGGTATTGAATATTGGCACCAATGCAGGGAAATTTGCTGGATCAGGTATCCGTTCCATGAAATCGTTTCAGCTGATATCCTGGATGGGCCTTTAATTGCTTGTAATGAGACTATTTACTGACATATGATGTAGGCCCAGGACATCTCATAATGTTTGAGCTTTAATTCATACAAAGCTGTTAGCTGTATGATAAATATATAGCTACAGAATTATATTGAAAATGCTTTATGCCACTGATGTAACAATAAATCAATATCATTAAAAGGCATTCATGAAAAGACATTAAAAGACAATATCATTAAAAGACAACAACTAAATAGCATCATTAAGAAATAATTATCAAGTTACTTTTTTAACCCTCTTTGTTCCTCCTATTAGAACAAAAATAACAAAAATCTCCCTAATATTGCAAAAAACTATACCCAGGATAAAAACTGAGTTTCGAAACATATTGCTCCAGCTTTCATATATTGAACAATAAGTTGATATAGCAATTATCATGATAGGCCAAATCGTAGGTGAAAGAAAACTTCCATCTCGTTTTATAGAATACAATAGCATCTCAGTAACACATCTGATCACAGGTGCTGTGTGTAGATGTAAATGAAGGGAGAAGGATAGCTGGAAGAGTTTATGGAGGTGAAGAGAGAGAATCCATCATGTTGTAGCACAAATTAGCACATACAAGCGATAATTACATTGCATCTTCACAACCTCTCCACACAGGAACACGGGTGGCAGAAGCGCGAAAGGCAATCTCCAAAGAAGGAGGGAGAGACGGACGACAGCCAGCTGCACTTGAGAAGAAGAATGAAGGCGGTGCTTTGACGAGTAGAACGAAAGCCAGATACACTTTCTTTTCTTTTCTTTTTTTGACTCAGGAGTTCACAGCTGACAAAGTTGCTCTCAAATGACTTCTATGAATTGTCCTCGGTCACTCCATGGAAACAGAGAAAGTAAGTCAAACTTTTGAGGCAGGACTTAATGAAGACTTTTTGTTCACTGATCTCTGTGGCTAGAGTTTTTACTAAACTTTAACTTGCCAAAATACATGGCCCTTGAGATGGTGTGGTGTTTTCATGAAAATATACATGAGTGGCCTTAGAGAGAGAGAGAAAGACAGAGATACTTCATTGATAATAATGCATCTGGGCAGTTATCTGACAAAAATGGTGTCACTACAATACAACAATTTCAAACCAAATTAAGGATAAGGCTTGATACTGAATTTGATACCATAATGATACAATACAACAGAAAGAAATTAACTTTACACAAAATAATAGTATTTTCTTTACTAGTATTGGTGTTCTGTTACTACTCCAGATATAGATCAAGACCATTTTGAAACTAGGTCAAATTTTATCCTGTTGAAGTGATTTTTTTCAATATTATGTACTTAAAATTAGTGTAGTGTTATAGTAGTATATAGTATAGGTATGCTTGACTTAATATACTTTATAGATTTGATGTAATGAATGAAGTCAAATTTAGGGGAAGGATTATGGAAAATTCAACAGACCAAAGTGGCTAATGGATCAAATTATGTGTATTTTGCTGACCAGTGTAACATCAGGCCCTGGTAACAAGAGTAATATGCTATGTATCAGATTACATTGGGGGAATAGTTTGCTGTGGTAACTGGATTAAGGTGAGCATTTCCGAGCAGCACATTGCTAGACAGACAATCCCCAGCTCTTCGTTGCCGCTAGAGTTAAGGTCACCTGCCATAACATAACACAAGCTCTATGAGTAAATCTAGAGAAGGACCCTGGTACAGCAGGCATATGACTCACCAACTGACAACACCAACTTTCATGTTAACTATATATCTAAAAGGTCCATGAACATATGTGATTTTGTTATCTGTCCTTGGATAACTCTAAGTCTGGACCAATCTTGACCATTAAGTACTCTTACTGTGATGTCAAATTGAACAAAAGTAGATGGGCCTGGTTTAAAACAGGTGTTTATAGAATTTGCCACTACAGTGTGTTGGAGCGTATTAATATAAATGTGTATTTTTTGGATAATGGCATTGGCAGAAAACAGAAATTGTGATTCAGACAAACACTTAAACGTTGGTGTAGCAAAATATTTTTAATGCAAATGAGAAATGTCACTATATTTCTCTTTCCTTGGAAAATCCTCTACACAACCATTTCGTCATGTTAGAATGTTGTTACCTCATCAAAAACAAACCTGGAGTTGTGTTTTGTATCATACACACGTTTAACTAATCCTACATTATTGGGCTATCTACATCTCATACAAAGCTCATAATGCTTGGTTCGACCTTGTGATGTCATATTTAATATGGGCATTTTAAGAGCAAACTGACAGAATAAACAAAGGCAAATCCACTTTTTGCACCCGGTAACCTTATTATAAATGGCCAGTTTTTCCTGTTCTAGTTGTAATATCAAATTGTTATCAGTATTTTTCTCTAGTTTAAAGAACATTCTGCACTCAGTTACACTTCACACTTGATTCTGTCCTTCAGAATCTCAATAACTATTCTGTGGATGTGTGAAATGATGCATTGAGGGACACATATCACACCAGGATTTTATGTTATGTAAGACTTACACTACTTTTACTAGAACTCATGAATAATGTACAGCATGTTGTACTCTTTAGTTGGTCATAGTTGGGGTTATTCTTTATTTCATCCTATATTACACAAAATTGACTCCATTGAGTTTTAAGCCATGTTATATTGTTACCACATCAAAATAAGTTGTGTTTTGTTTCTTTCACACATGTTTGAATAATCTGTTATTATTGTGTTTACATCTCCAAAGCTCAAAATACTCTATTCCACCTCGTGATGTCATGCTCTGGTACTTTTCAAGTTAACAGATACCTTTTACCCTTTGTTAAGTAGAGATTGTCATTCCAGGGCTGAAATTATCCAAATGATTCTAGTGAAGGTGAATGAAATTTAAAAGTACAATGGAGCACTTCCTGTATTACAACATGACATCATATGGTGTTTCATGTGTGAGCGAAGAACTCAGCTTAAAGTTATACATGTGTGAATGAAACAAAACACAACTCCAGTGTGTTTGTGATGAGGAAACGACATTATAATGTAGGTCAGATATGTAATATGAGCCCTTTAAACAAAGTATAAACAGTTTCTTTACTTTATGCTGTTACTTTTACATGTTTAGCTTTGAGTTCATGCTGCTGACTCTTGAAGTGGATTTCTATTTTTCTTTTTCATGAGTTCAAAGGTCATGTCAGTTGTGGAGAGGCTGTCTTGCAGCTGTCTCACTCACCCACACAAAGGTCACCAGAGGAGTTATGGATGAACTATCAGAATAACATGAGAGGACGCACTGCCCCTGACTAGGGCTTGCAATATATTCATTCTGTTTAAGAATCAAACTTGGATCATTTTATATTGATGACCAAATTTTATACTGCATTGAAAATGCTATATTCAGTGAAAACAACATATTAACATTTAGTTTTTGACACTCCTCCATTCCATGAGCATTGCACATAATGTTGCAACTAATGTAAGGAAGGTTTTGAATATCACCCAGGAGAAATCACAAAAAAATACTCAGACATGCATGGATGACATTTAAAACCTCTTCAGGCATGTTTTTGATGAGGGAACATAACATGGCAGAAAGCTCAAAAAATCTATTTTGCACAAAACCCCCTCTTTAAGGTGCACATCTACCACACATACATTATAAGTTGTTATGTTATAAATTGTACCAAAAGGTGCAAACTACTGCAAGACAGGACCAATCGCTACTTCAAAATTATGGTCATTTAATGCATTTACAGTAATATTAAGAAGTTCTGTTTCTCAAACACTCATGAAAGCAAGATCCCTGGTACTCCAGCTGGCGCTATCATATCCCATCAAACATTGCATTAGCCCGGGAGAAAAGCCCACTATGATTTGGTTGAGGAAAATAAAATATAACCCAAGATCACAGAAAATAGTGATACAATGTCTCAAACTTGCTGTAGAGGGTGAGTCATCTTGGACATTATAGATGAAACTCCGAAGCTTTTCTGATGGAGGATCCACCACTTCCTTGTCTCCATGTTATTACTCTTTCTGGGATGTTCCACGGTATGACATTAAACTATCTTAATCTATCTTGCATAGTTGCATTTCTTCAATTTTGGATTGAATTATTGTTGAAACATGCATTTTACTGTGAGCACGCTTGCCTATCCACATATTCAACCTTTAATTTAGCTCTGTGGTGCCAGCTGCTTGTCCCATGCAAATATATACATTTAATCCTCTACCATGGAACATTCCAGGCAAAGCATTAACCTCTCCAGGGAGACAAGCATGTGATGGAACCATCTACCAGAAAAGTTACACAGTTCACCTTTAAGTCACCTCCATACTTGCCAACCACTCCACTTCATAATTTCTCAAGTCCATCTCTCTATAACTCCACTATCTTATCTTTTGCTTTCCGTTTTGTTTGTGCCAATCAACATAGCGCTACTTCCTTATTTATCTTAACGTCCCTCACACTTATTCAGCATGTTTGCCAGCCATGACAAATTCCTAGCGGCTCGGGAGAATAGGACTTTTAATTGAATCGTCAGAGGAGCGAAGCAGACGGAGCGTGCTCGGAGGAGAGCGCGTCTCCCTTGTTGATGGCAGTGAAAATGACTCATTGTGTTTTCTCTACATTGCTGTTGTCAGTCCGTCACCCTTCACCCACTCACCCACTCAGAGCACATCTCCAGCACACACTGTCCGAACCTGCCCCCTGTCACCTTTACAGTAACTATGGGATTCAGAGTAGCATTTTCATTAGTACAGTTTTTCCTTTGGTCGTACATTTGTAGTAGTATTATTGTTTGGTTGTAATTCTCACCTTGAAGTTTTCTTTTCAATTACGTAATAGCTGATTCTTAACATAATAATATTTTACAAAAGCTAGATGAAGTTATCTAAAGGTCCAATATTGCTCAAAATTGACTCTTGTGAGGTTTAAACCATGAATGTTGTCAGCTCAGCAAAAACACCTGGAATTGTGTTTTGTTTCATTCACACATGTTTGAATAACTCTGCATTATTAGTCTGTCTACATCTCCAAAGGTCAAAATGCCCTGTTTCCACCTTGTGATGTCATGAAGCAGGAGTTTACAAGTTAGCTACCTTTTACCTTTTGTTTAGTAGAGACTGGCAATTGGCTGAAATTATCCAAATAATTCTAGTGAAAGTATATGGAGTTTAAAAACACAGTGAAACATTTCCTGTATTATTACATCACAAGGTGGAACAGAGTGTTTTCCGTTTGAGAGAAGAACTCAGCCTAATAATGTAGGGTTTGTGTGTGAAAAAACACAAATAAAACAAAACTCCAGGTATGTATAATGTGATGAGGATAACATAGATATACATAAACATAGAAATAGCATAACATGGGCCCTTTAATCTAGGCTACACTTTATATTTGTGGATTCTACAAAGAATTTTCTGTCCTTAATGTGCATTTATTAATATAGGTTTGTATATTCCTTACTAGTTACCTCTCATAAAACCCTGTATCCATTTTTGATACAGCGGTAGAGTAAAGTAATATTGTCTATATGAAGAAATTTATAGTCAGTCAGAAAATTGAGTGGTGCAATACAGGCTACATTAATGTACTATACTGTTTATGGAACTGTATATTTAGGCATGGTCATAGCTGTTTGTTTGATTTTTTTTTTTTCAATTTTTCCATTTCCAGAATCTGAGCAGGCTGCCATAAGCCTTAGGCAATAGACATATCCTGTTACAGTGCATCTTGCTTGAGGATAAACCTTACTATTTTTTGCACTGTATTGTCCAAAGTAAGCCAAAATTAAGTTAGTTTTTATGTTTGTACTCACTGTTTGACATTCTGCTACTGTACTGTGACGTCTTAGCCTATTAATCAGTGCATCTTTACAGCTGCATATTTCACAGTCATGCTTTCATTGGACATCTGCAGCTTGGGTGAAAATGTAAAATTTGTAACAGTCTATTTAAAGGCCCTAAAATGTACTCATGTGAGCTTTAATCCATACCTCTCCAAAAACATACCTGGAGTTGTGTTTTGTTTCATTCACACGTGTTTGAGTAATCCTTTATTATTAGTCTGTCTACACCTCCAAAGCTCAAAATGCTCTTTTCCAACTTGTGATGTCATGAAGTGCTAGTTTTTCCCATTTGATCAGTAAAGAATGGCAATTCCAGGGCTGAAACTGTCTAAATAATTCTAGTGAATGTGTATGGAGTTTAGAAACACAGTGGAGTTCCTCTACTACCAGCTGACATCACAAAGTGGAACAGAGTGGGTCCGTTTGAGGGAAAAACTCAAACGTGTGAATAAAACAAAACAAAACTTCAGGTATGTTTTTGAAGAGGAACCAACAGATGAGAACACAGTGTAATATGGACCCTGTACTACAACACATCTCTGTCCTTGGTGTAAAATGACCTACCGCTGGGACGTTGTAGTTGGAAGCATAAACGTGATTTGGGATTAGTAGCTGTGATATTTGACTCGTTAATGATGCTGAAATTAAGCCTCAGACTAATTGTGTTTAATGTGATGGAGACTCATTTTTACTCACACTGCATCACAGCTGAGCCATGTAAAGTGAAGAAGACGAGACGAAGCAAATGCAATGTGTGGTACGTTGTGAAGATGACCTTTGACCCCTTTCCATTTGGATATGTCAGATACTCGCGTTACTATGGAAATACGGTTAATTATAGAGGAACTGTACTGCAGCCTGCATGAAAAAGGCGGAAAATTATAATAGATTCAGAGTGAAAAGTTACTTAGAAATGACAGCTCTTACCTTTTATAAAGTCGACTGTCCGCGGTCACTGTGCCATTAAACATAGGCAGAGATGAGCCTGGAACCTTTGGGATTTGAGAAAGGATTCATCTTCCACTCTGAAGACTACAGTACTTCCATGGAGCTGTCATACAGGAGTGAACAGGATGATGACGGAGACAGCGGGGCTCCTTTTGGGATTTGGCAACAGCAGAAATTTCATATATCCGAGGGTCTTAATAACAGAGACCACACACGTCCATTTTACCAGATAGATCGCTTCAAAGTGTGTAAAAAAGCGAGGAACACGTTTGTGCGCTCAAGACAAAAAAAGGGGCGCTCGTACGTCACACAGAGGATCTCTCAAAGCCTTTACTTGTTTTTTCCCCACAAAAATAAAGCCACTGTTACTGTACAAAAAACACAAAAAACAACCACCCAAAAATGTGACTTTGTAGGCGTTTTTCTCTCGTGCGTAAAGCTCGAAACACGGTCCAAAACTTGTCGCCTCGATTCACCCTTGGAACAAAGGAGCGCGCAAGCTGTTTAATCAACTCTTTAACAGAAGAAAACAGAAAACACTGTCGATAAACAAAAAATAAAGTGCGTCTTATTCCATGAAGATGTCGTGAACGCTGCTGCTCCACGCAGTTGATCCAAACGCGCGTGTCCGCTTGTGGGAATGTGAGATAGGGGCTTCTCGGTGTGCGGAGAGAGGGAGGGAGAAAGGAGAGAGAAGAAAGAGAGAGAGAGGAAGAGTGGAGAGAGAGAGGCAGTAGAATAGTTTACATGCGCAGTCCGTGAGTATGTTTATGGAGAGGGTCAGGCTTTGTGCCATGCTTGGCTGCCGCTTGCATGTAAAGCGCAATGGAATAGTGGTTCTGTGGGGAGAGCTCTGGGATGCTTTAAAACCTTTGTAAATTATGCATCTCTGAGGGAGCAATAAGCAGCTGTAGACGGTTTGTGCTGGCATACAGGTCTTCTTTTGTTTGTTTTTGTGAGGAATCTATAAAGACATTATAGTTGTTTAAAAGATGTGGCCTAGATATTGTATTGTAGCTGGATTTTCTGACATTAGCTTTCTGTAAACTGTAGAAAACTGTTGGTGCAGGAGCAAATTCAATAGGGATTCTTTCTCAGAACAAACAGCATGGTTTTATATAGGCTACTATAGGGGAGTGTATCTGTTTCATAACTATCAAAGTAGCCTAATTTTGACTGCAACGCCTTACTCCTTTGCCGTACTTCATTTTTATATAATATACAGAATGCTAGTATAAGTTCTTAACAGCAATAGGCCTATATTAGATCAGATGTGGTATTTGTGAAATTGTAGAAGCACTTTTTGTACTAAATCTGCAGTTTTGTGTCCAACCCAAAACAGTGTTGCAGATGTGGCATGCTTGTCATTTCCTGTATTTACATTCTGAAAGGTTTTAGAGGAAATCTGATGTGAACTACAGTCAAATGAAACACAGATTTTGATTTTGGACCTAAAAATAAAACTTTTCCACAGATTTTAGTTTGAGATGTTTGAGATATGAACAGGCCTGCAGGCACAGCGTGGTTACACAGCTATTAGGAACCACAGAGGTTTTTTTGAGCTGCATGTCAGCTGGCAAACCTGTCAGTATGTAACCTTAACCTCAACCTAAACTCCCAATTAAATCCACAAGGCTGCCTATAAAAATACCAAAAATAACGATTTGACATCTTTGAATGTCACTACAATCTGTGGATACATCTCAGCACATAATGTTCAGTTGACTCATAAGCTATTAGAGATATTTAAAGACTATTTAGTTTGAATTAAAGGTCCTATATAATGCAAAATTGACTCTTGTGAGCTTCATGCCGTATTATAATGTTGCCTCCTCAAAAACATACATGGAGTTGTGTTTTTTTCAGTCACACATGTTTGAGTAATGCTTACTTATTAGTCTGTCTACATCTCCAAAGCTCAGAATGGTCTGTTCCACCTTGTTATGTTATGTTAACACCTACTGTTCAGTAACAATTATCCAAATGATTCTAGTGAAGGTGTATAGAGTTTAAAAACACTGTGTACTTTCTTTATTACCACATGACATTTCAGGGTGGAACAGAGTGTTTTTTGTGTTTTACATGTGTGAATGAAACAAAACACAACTTCAGGTATGTTTGTGATGAGGAAACAACATTATTACATAAATCAGAAAATTGTGTAATATGAGCCCTTTAATAATTAAAAAACAAACAAACAAAAAACATAATATACATGTTAACAAGAGAGTGGGAGGAAAACCAGTGTGGGAAACCGAAACAAAGCCACGCATTGTAGACTGTTGTTATTGTTGTTTACAAGACTAAGTGGGATTTTGGGGTTTTCTCAAATGTGTTGGCTTCTTTTAGTCATATTTATTGTAAACAGCTGTTGGGTTTTGTGGTTGAATAATTAACAGGGAAAAGTAATTAAGTTATGAAAAGTAGACCATGTAGTAGAGAGAGGCCAAAAGCAAATAATTACAGTAACAACTGTTTTGAGAGAAATAGTGTTGTAGACTATCAGATGGGCTGCTGTTCAACAATATGACTCAGCTGATCCATCCCCTTTTTAATCGATGTCTATCCAGCAACAGCTTTATAAATGTTCTTAGTCAAAATGATTTAAATCAATGGTTCATTTTGTCTGGATCTTATGTTGTATCATTCTTTGTAAAAGTAGGGAGTTTTTTGCTTTGACTTGCCATACAAAGAATGTGAATTCTTTTGCGGAAATACAGCCATGTCACTCAAGGCCACATATTGTGCACTTTATTTCTCTTTTCAAGCTGTACATTTGGTCTTTTTCACAGTGCAGACAGCAGCAAAGCAAGAAATATTATAATCAAGCTGAAAGCTGAATTTGTCTGAATTAAGTAGGATCTACCTACGTAGTCCAAACTTTTTATTACAAATTTGTTTCTATTGATAATGTGCAGATGATGTCATTCACATTTGCTGGGGGCGCGAAGCTAACTGGAAGCACTACTCTGTTAAAAGCTCTCTTACTCAAGTTAGACTTTAATCTGAGGTTTATTTTAACACAATCTGACCAGAAAGAGCAGACTTGGTTGGAACTACAACAGGTGAGATGGTTTGTGTTGTTAACCAAGTCTCTCACACATAAAATTAATCACATTTGAGCTAAGATTAACCAACAGTTTTTATTTTTTTCAGTCATTCTCACCTTTCTGTTGAAAATCAAACACCTAAGTAGTACCATGAATGCTCACACTGAACACAGACTCCTGAAAATGTACTGATCCATTTTGCAATTTTTCTTGTTTTTCTTGAGATCTTAAAACTTATCTGTGTTTGCTAATAGGCCTTTGTGAATTGTGTCAACATGGTAACTATTGGTGTATTGTTCAGCATTACGCCAATAGAGATACATGTAGAACACCCCCAGCATGATGTTACTGCAAAGTGTCAAAAACAATCAATACAACTTTTGGCTTATTATAACTAGAGGAGGGTAGAGTAGACAAAAATTGTTCTCAAGTAAGAATACTGTCTCTAAGTTCAAAATGGCCTAAAGAATTTCTCAAGTAAGAGTAAAAAAGTAAGAGAGGGTGTTTCAGAGTTAGCCCTGTTACTATAGCCTGACATTTAAAGTTAGTGGAAAGCACCAGTCATCTGTGTCCCCTAACGATTAATGATTATGCAAACTTTTCTAGGCCAATGTTTGGGCCCTCATCCACATAGCCTACTATAATGATCATAATGTAAAGATTGAGTAGTCCAGACAGGAATGACAGTACTTTCGCTTTGCCAATTGCTACCATTAACATTCTACCATCTTTACTCTGGATGTGTCCACCTTGTCATAATAGCACATTTGGGAAAGCTTAAAGGTGCATTGCGCAACTTTTCTGAGGTTACACTACTGCATGTTATTACTGTGCCTGGGTTAGGGTTGCCTATCAAATATTTATTCAATTACATGTGTTTTTATTGCTCAGAAATACATTGAAAAAGGATGGGCTTGCCTCTTTGGTGCTCTGACCCATAACCTGACTTGGTGGCATTTTTGTCTCCATGGAGATAGAAAAGTTGAATGCTGTGGAACATTCAGGCAAAGCAATAAAACATGTATTATGAAGACAAGCAGGTAACAAGCCCGCCACCAGAAAAGTTACACAATGCACCTTTAAGCTCAATGAATTTGGCTTGTGTTGATGATTTTAGTTGACCCATTTTCACACTGTCAAAATAGGCTTCAATTTTCACCTTTTGAGTCCATAATTACAACCCCATAATTTAGTTAAAGAAACATTGTGCCTTGTTTTCATAGTGTTTGTGTAAACTAAATTATATATGATTACTGACTGCTTCTGAACAGTAGCTGCAGTTACATGAGCACTCAAAATCTGATTATAGTTAGATTTATGGAGTTTTGGAGAACACTATTAAAATGACAGCTAAATTATCCATGGTCCCACTGATTACTCACATCAGATTTTGTGGGTTGCACATCATTTAAATAGATAATAATCTGATTTTGGATTGCATGTAACCACCAGTGATGGAAAGAGTGCTGCACATTTTACTCAGTTACAGTTTTTTGGCTAAAAATATACTAAGTTACAAGTGCTACCAAATTTGTCCTTGTGTAAAAGTAAAAAGTATGAATAAGTATGAACAAGTACTACTTGTTTACAACCCAGCTCGCTTGGGGTGAGTAAAGTAACAAAAGAAAAAAAATGATGTTAAATGGAACAAATAATGTTTAATTAACAGGGTTGTAAAAGGTAAATTAACAAAACAGACTAAAATATACAGAGAATACTCTAAACTAAACTCGAAACAAAACAACAGACAACGAGTTTTGCGCCACTAAACGGGTCACTGATGCAGGCTTACATAAACGAGTGGTTAACTAAGGGACACACACAAAACTAAAACACAAGTTCCCCAAATTAAACCACATAAGCCCACAAACAGAATCGAGTGACCAAATTAAAAAACACAAAACAGAACTAAACTACAGAAATTGACACACACACACGAACACAGACACAAAATGGCAAACTGGCCACGAAGGCCAGCAGCCCTGATCAGGTGCAGGCAATCTCCTTAAATAGGGGACGGTGGCTGCAGGTGAGGTGGGCGTAGACATGCCCCACTAATCACGAGCCAGGGCTCCCACAGCAGGAATCAAGACGTGACAGCAAAATATTTTAAAACAACAAAACAAATTAGAACTGAAGGCTTGGGGCCGCAACACCACTACTCAAAGCCCATATTATGCTATTGTCTAATTTCTGTTATAATGTTGTTTCCTCATCACAAGTATATCTGGAGTTGAGTTTTTTAGTTCTACTCGCAAACAGAAATCTCTCTGTTCCCCCTTGTGATGTCATGTGGTAATACAGGAGGTGCTCCACTGTGTTTTTAAACTCCATACACCTTCACCAGAGTCATTGGATCATTTTAGTCCTGGAACTAAACTACTCCTTCTTGACATCACAAGGAAGAATAGAGCATTTGAGCTTTGGAGATGTAGACAGATTAAAAACAAAGGATTACTCAAACTCATGAATGAAACAAAACACAACTCCAGGTATGTTTTTGATGAAGGAACAACATTACAACATGGTTTAAAGTTCACGAGTCAATTTTGTGTAATATAGGACTTTTAAACAGAATGAAGTTTTAAACCATAATTTGCGAATACTCAGAGCAGTGGTTTTAAATGTAACTAAGTACAATTACATGGGAAGAATTTTACACAATTACAAGAGCAAGTATATGCTTAAAAATCTACCCAAAACGTACAATAAATTAATGTGTGTGTTTATAATTACTTTTCCCCCCTGCTTAAGAAGTGTTAGCATCTCTGAGGCACTAATAATAGCCTGTTTACTCCATGCTGACATGTGGGTCAATGATCCCTGTAGTGTTCTCAATAGTACCTCGACCTACCCCTGCGTATAACTGATTAGAAAATAAGAGACACACAGACTGGGCTGGAGCAGTGAATAGTATTAGTGATGTCATTTATTTCTTCTGTCTTCTTTGTGGAGGCTGCAACAGTTGTTTTCAGAGCAGTAATCACTCCCCAGATATGAAAAAGCACTCTCAAAGATAGATCTGTTCCCAATTTTTCCTCCTATTTTAGTGTACAGTTTCACTTCATTTGATTATAGATTATGAGAAAAAGAACAGGATGAAATATGTAAGGTAGAAAGAGATGGGCTCTAGATGCATTTTATTCAAATTTATATGTAGTTTAGTTATTTTTCAAAGTTCTTTCTCAAAATGACTGTCTTTGTGGTTGAGAAAAATGAATATGATTAAATGAGTGCATCAAGGTCCATCTGATTTGTATAGATAATATGTGGTTTGTGCTGCAGTTTAAATTACCTGGTGGATGTCTCTGTGTTATTGAAGGTAAAGAAGGTTTCAGCAAGTGGTCATCTGAACACTGTTTTTGCAATCAAGACATTTCAGCTCCCATTTTTAATTTGATGAGTGAGGTTTAATGACTTGAGACATAAGGAATTTATCCCACTCTGAGTTAAAGGTCCTATATTATGCAGATTGTTAAGTCATGTTACCTTGGACCTTACCTGGAGTTGCATTTTGTTTCAGTCACTCATGTTTTGAGTAACTGAGTTGTTATTAGTCTTTTTACATCTCGAAAGCTCAAAATGCTCTGTTCCACCTTGTGATTTCATGAAGCGGTAGTTTCCAAGTTAAAAGCTACCTTATAAGTTTTCTTCAGTAGAGATGGAAAATTCCAAGGCTGAAAGGTTAGTGAAGGTGTATTGAGTTTAATGATACAGTGAAGCAACATTATACCTCCATACCTCAGATCAGAAAATAGTGGGAGGTTTAGAGTTTTAGACTGAAACTGACCTGCCCTTGTTTACTAGCTGACATCGTTATGCCTAGTGCCACAAACCAGTACTGTCAAATTGAAAATTGCTTTTGGATGGGAGCTGAAACATCTTGATTCTTCTGTTCTGTTTAGGCTTTCCCTAAAATCAGTTATATGTATAATAGGGTCAGGACCAGAACATCAAATATTAAAGCTAAAACCACTTTTTACATATTTACAGTATATAGCTTATAGATCCAAAAGTGCTGTGAAATACATAGGAATTAAAATAAAGCTCTATTCTACACTACTAGTCTCCATTTAAAATAATAAAACTAGTCAAATCAAATAAACACAAATGAAGCAATACAAAAAGTAAGTAAATTATAATTGATAATGGAATATAGAGAACCACAGAACTTATTCAGTGTAAACCAGAGCTGAGAATCAAACTACAGTAGGTCTTAAGACAAGACATAAAATACCTCTCGGTGGCTGCCACTAGGACTTGGGAAGGCAGAGCGTTCCAGAGATTAAATAAAGGGAAAACTCTAATAAAAAATAATATTTCCAAATGTAGATGATGTACAGAGGAGTTACAGTGAGTATAATAGGTTTGAGGTGACTGGAAACTGGAGGCCTATGTGACTATATGACTAAAGAGGGGATTGTCTAGAGGAGAAGATATTTGTAGATATAGGCAGATGATTCATTTTGTCTTTTCCTGAAAAATAATAGATCGGAAAAGATCTCTTATGTTATGACTAATATACCATGATGTTCTTATTTTAATTTGAGAGACTGAGTCGCTGTGCGGTGACTCAGCAGCTTAAACCATGTGTCTTTATTCAAATGGTCAAATTAACAACATCTGTGAAGACATTTGGAGCCAGAGATGCTCATAGGTCGAACACTTCACATGCTTACCTTGTTCCACAAAGACCCCCCCAGCATCCCCCTTATTCCTCCATCGCTATGGTTACAGTGATGCAGGTTACCGTGGCAGCCTCTTTCACACACACACAAGTGCAAAAAGACCATGCAAGGCTTTTTTTCAAATCACATTTACGCAAGCGCTGACGACTTGGAGAGTTGTAGTTTTTCTTTTCAGCTATTTCTGTCTGTGGTGGGGAACTGTCGTCATCCTGCCACTCACCTCTGGCTTGCATCACTCCCATGTCACAGACAACTAGTCCTGTTTATACTTTTAGAGGTTTCAATTATGGTTATAGTTATGGTAGTTGTTTGCCTACAGTGTTGAGACGTAACTGAATATCTGTACAAATAATATGTATTCTGAGTACTAATTCTGAATATTGCTGGATTTCAGATGACATAAATTTCAGATGACATAAGTCAATATCATTTAATACAGATGGGGAGCAGCTAAAATAAAAATTGTTAATCTGCAAAATTATGTTGTAATACAGTTTATCTTGGGTTTAGTTGAGTGGAAGTACCAGGTTCAACATTTGTGAATTTACCTTTTGGATTTCATGGCAAAGTACAATGTTATCAATAGGAAAATCTGGCTTTTGCCCCCATTTGGGAGTATGACCAATTCCAGTACAGTTACTTTTTCATTTGGAGGTGTTCAGCATACAGTTACTTTTCTAAAATAATAAAGGAATACATGATGGTATTTTATCATATAATTTAGGCTTCAAACTACACAGAATCTGTGACAAATAGGCAACTCTGCTCTTGTGGAGAGTATTTGTGTGATTTTAACATCTCCAATGAAATGCATGAAAACTGAGAAGCAAACATTAAGCTGTTATTAATACTATGTGTCACCTTTACATTATAATTGAAATGCAACTGAATGTTAAAGTATTCCAAATACAGTAGTCTGATTAACCCAATGGTCAAAATATATTACAAAATACATTTTAATGCAGGTATTCAGTACTCTGTAACTTGATTTTCAAAGTATTCTTCCCATCACTATTTGCAAATCATGGTTGTCAAATCTTTGTTTATTCACTTTTAATTTTAAAGGCAGATTCTGGCATGTGAAATTATGGAAAGGACATGGGTATTATTAGGGTTGTCTAGTACATTATATGCTATTTAAGTGAGTGTTGTTCTACTTCACTACCATCTAGTGGCCATCACATGTACCATCTTTTTTCAAACTGAATTACAACTGTACAGTATATAATGAAAAAACAAGTAATACTTTGTAAAACAAGGTATAAAAGAAATTTGAATTTCATGTTTAACACTCAACTTCTGATCTATAACAGCGTCTTTACTATAGAGTGTTATGTATTTATTTATTTTTATTTATTTATTTATGTATTGATTTATTTATTATATTTAATCTATTTCATGAGTTATTCAACAGACTGCATTTTATATGTTTTACAATTTGGTGATCCATATGGCTGCTGATTTTATTTTGTGCAAATTAAAAATATTGCTTTTACTGTATCTGATATGCACACCCAATTTCATATATTGGATTATATTTACCATAATATTCCAGGGAAGTTGTTTGAGAAATCAGTGAAAGAATTCATTTTGGCATAGAATATATATTGGCACCAGACCAGTAACACAATCACTGTTCTATTACTGATGTCCATTTCAAGTTTTCTATTCATGAATCTTGGTATATATTTCTGCCACAAAATGTTATTATTATGCTCAAAATATAAACGCAGACATTTCCAGTTTCCTTATACAGTAATAAACAATATCACTGGGTTTATTAAAAATTCAAACTTTATGAATATTAATTATTTTTGTCTGTCTCAAAAGATTGCAGAAGCTCACATAGATGTGGAGACACTGCATTGGTGGAAATCAAGAATCATAGTGCAATCACACAATATTGTAAACGATCATATAGATGAAAAGAACACATTAAAAGGACAGTATATAAGAATTATACTAAGCCATCAACCTTTAATTTTCATATCTGTATGGTGTGTGTTCTGCATAGGCTTCACCTGCACAGCCCTGATCCGTTTCAGGATTTACCTATAGACCTCTTAGTCGTAATCTCCTTTCTCCTAATCCCCAGTCCCTCCTCCGCTCCTCTCCTCCTCCTCACTCACTCTATCCACTCCCTCTCTCCCCCTCTCTCTCACACACAGACATGTAGCCCGTGTTGGCTCTTCCTCTCCGGGGCCCTTCATGTTGTTGGATTACTGCTGCCGCTGCTGTGGAGTCACGCTCATCAAACGCCATGGACCCCTGTCACTCAAGACCACACCCAGTGACACCTGGGTAAGACAAATGTAGTGGTATTTGGATAGTAGTGGTTTGATCTTACTGTATTGTGGATAGGTATATGCCACATCACCTGATTCCATGGAAACAGAAAGTTAAAGTCATACTTGGGAACATTATCCATGGTGATGTATATGTTTTATGACATACTGTGGAAAATTATAGCCAAAGGAACAATATTTCTATGGAAACAAGCAAGGATGTGACCCTCCTCCAGGCCAATTAAGAGTTAGGTTTGTGGAGAAGCAAGCCCATCAGAGTTCAGTTAAATTTTTCAATACAATAAAGACAACCAAACCTGTTATTTTAATCTACTTTTGGGGTAAAAAATTATATACTGTGGCTCTAGTCATCCTATCGAAATAAAACAAAATAACAAAATCAGAAATACAAAGTTTCTTAGGGCACAGTTTGGGCCCTCATACACATTGTAATGATCATAATGTGAAGATTGATTTGTGCAGACAGGATTGGGGTACTTTTGCCATTTTCTACCATTAAATCCCTATGCTGGATTTATCATAAAGAGCACAATTTGGGAAATCTGTGTTATTACTGTAGATGTTAGCTGACCCATTTTCACAGTGCCAAAATAAGCTTCAGATTTCACCCCTTTGTGTCAATCCATAATTGTAAACCCATGTTTTAGTAAATAATTGCGCCTTGTTGTCATAGTATTTGTGTAAACTAAATTATATCATGGACTGCTTCTTTACAGTGATGGAAAGAATACTGCAAATTTGTTTTCAAGTTAAAGTACAGTTACATGGGTAATAATGTACTCTATTACAAGTAAGTACTGCCAAAATTACACTTGTGTAAAAGTAAAAAGTATGAATAAATACTACTCAGAGTACTAGAAAGTTACTTTTAACTTAGTTTTAGCAGCCTTTCATATTTTATACAAAACTTGATAAATGAAATGTATCAAAGTTATCTTTTATCATGAGTTATCTTTTAAACCGTAATATGTATATTTATCTATTCTATTTTTTGGGGGGTAAAAAATAGTATTTGTATTTATTTATTAAAGGGACAATGCATATTAGACAGATAATACAAAAGAAAATACATGTAGTTACATGTAGTAAATATGCAGGATTGTAGCCAAAGCAAGTTAATATCCTTTTAGGTATGTGACTTTAATATGTTGAGTTTACTTCTGTTTCAGTTTTTAGTCAGCTTCCAAGCCCCAATAAATGTGTGAAAAATCATGATTGGACTTCAGAATGCAATTACAAGAACATAAAGAAAAAGATAGAAATTAGGCAACCTTTTTTTTTTTTCTTCTTCTTCTTCTTCTATACTAATGGGCCTATAATTTGCATATGTCCCTTTCAATGCATTCAAACCACACTGGTGTACTGCCAATAAATCAACGTAGTGGCCATTTCTGTAATTCAGATTCTCCAAATACATTAGTATGTTCAGGTTCCAAGACATCAGATAAATTGGGGGGGGGGAAAAAATGGAAAGGAAAAAAATGGGTTGCCAGATGGAAAGCTTACGAGATAGCTCATGTTGGAAAGAGTACTGCACAACTGTACTCAAGTTAAAGTACAGTTACATGGCTAAAAATGTAGCATATTTTAAATAAGTGCTGCCAAAATTATACGTGTGTAAAAGTAAATATATGAATAAATATTACTCAAAGATAGATTGTAGGAGTAGGAAAGTGGACATTTGGGTTGCAAGATAGAAGTCGTAAAAGACAGCTCATGTTGTTTTATGCGCAATCAATAATAGCCCATTCAGTTCAACAATTATATCTGATTGAACAGAATACAGCCATGGACCATTTTGCTGTAACTCAGTTTGAATCCACTTAGAGTAAATAATTGGTATGGCTCAGGTTTTCCTTCTTTAGGTCATGAGCTAATCCACAGCAGGCAAACAAAGCAGCTCTGTGCCGAAGGTGTTTACCCATCGTCTGTGTGTATTAGAGTTAGCATTAGTGCTGATAGATCTGCTCTTCCTCTGCTGTCTGTAGGAAGCAACAGCTTAAAATAGAGCCCAGTGGTTCCCAGCGGTGGCCTGGACTGAAATAAACATTGGCCTCTATAAATGACCCATCTGCCAAAGAAAGTATCATGAGTGTCTGTGGGGAGGAATCATTAGACTTTCAAAACAGGGTTGTGTTTTTGTTTTCTTTTTACTTTATAGACAGTGGGTACATACACACGGTCAATACAAATCTGATAACTAGAATAATCAGATAACCAGGTAATTAGATCTGAATTTTGGATTGCGTTTATGTGCACAAGAGAAATCTGTTTGTCAAAACTCCTGGTGACGTAAATTGAAAGATTTTTAATATACGCGTATTTGGAAGATGACACAGCCCATAATGGATTTGAAAATAATCTCAGTCTTTAAAGTTACACTGTGTAACTTTACCAAGGGAGGGTCCACCCGCTATCTGTTTGTCTTTGTGATGATGTTATTGCTTTGTATGGAATATTCCACAGTGTAACAATAAACATATCCATCTTGCATTCATTCAACAGAAGTTGTTTTTAATGCTCAAAAATACCTTGAAATGCATACATCCTTACCGTGAATGGGGTCACCTTTCCATAGATCTGGCCTGGAATTTAGCTCAGCGGCTTCTCATGCTTGTTTTTATGGACATGGCCAAGTCTAATACTATATTGTGACATATTCCAGGCAAAGGTAAGTGGACCCTCCACTAGTGCACCTTCAAAAGTTTCTCTTTGTTTTGACCTTTTTGCATATTTTTACAACATAGCCTATACTAGATTTCAAAATAATCTCAATCCTTAACATTTCCTTTCTTTTTTGTCCTTGTCTCACTGGTTTGCCCTTTTTGTGTAATTTTACTTTTACAATCAGAACTGTGTGTGATCGCGTAACTGTTTTGCAAGACATTCCAAAGCACTGATAACAACAACAATTCAGCCTATTATTACGTAAGCTATGGTGCTATATATTGATACTATGGGACGTGGATAGTCCTTGGCAACAAGAGTAGTATATTTCTGCATATTTACACTGCAAAAAGTACCCGAAAAATATGCAGCAATAGAAAGCAAGTCTAATCAGTGTACTTTCAGGAGCCCAACTTCTCAACCGTGCAAAAGATTTGAACATCCATGTATCTAATTGCCTCATTAGCACTGGCAAGATTAAAATGAAGAAACACCTAACAATCCACGGTAACTTTAATTTGTTCTCAGATTTAGAGAGAAGACCGTTTTTCGTAACAGTTATCTGCCTGTATTCCCAACGACATCAGATTGTAATTGTTGGTAATGCAGGGGGATCTAATCAGATTACTGAGGAGGAGGTGGGGCTCACTGCTCACAGGACGGTAACAGTCCGCTATTACTGTGAATAGACACACATGCACTCCACCTGTCAGCTGCTTCTCTCTGTTTTCTCTCTTCTTTTTCTTCTCTCTCTCCTCTTCAAGATATCTCCAGCCCCTTCTCCCCTGTCTCCTTTATCCTCTATCTCTCCTCTCCAATCTCTCTCTTTCCCCTCTTCCCTGCTACCATTATCCTCTCTCTCTCTTCTCTCATGTTCTGTCTATTTCATCTCTTTTCTTTCTTCTCTCCAACCTCTCTCTTCCACTCTCCACTGCCACCCTTACCCCTTTACCCCTTTTTTCTCTCTTTCAACCTCCTCTCCAGTCTCTCTTTCCCGCTCCCCAACTACCTCTCTCTCCAGTTCTCATCCCTTTATTTCCTCTCTCATGTTCTGTCTCATTTCTCTCTTCCATCTTTTTTTCTCCATTCATCTCCTCTTTCTTCTCTTCCCATATCTATCCCCTCCTTGTCCCCCTCCTGTCCTTCTCTTCTCATCCCTCCCTCTCTTCTTTCTGTCCTATCTTCTCTCTGCTTCTATCCCCCTCGCTCCTGTATCCCTTTCTTTCACCCCATTTTCCCCACCTTTCTCCCCCTCTTCTCTCTACCCTCTACATATCCCCTTCTCCCATCTCTCTCTTCTCCCTTATCTTCTCTCTCGATCCCTCCAATCTCACCCGTCACTTCTCTTGCTCTTTTCTATCCTCTTCTGTGTCTCTCCCTTTCTCTCTTCTCTTCCCATTCCATTTACCCCTCACCCTCTCCTCTTCTGTATCTCTCCATCTGATCTCTCCTAACCTGCCTCCTCCTTCTCTCACCTGTCACATCTCTCTTTTTCTTTCCTTTCTCTCTCCTGTCTTAAATTCTCTCTGCAACTGTCTCTCCTCTCTTATTTCCCATTTATTGCCCCTCGTCTCTTCCATTTACTGGCTCTCCTTCTCTCCTCATTACCCTTCCCCTCTTTCTCTGTCTCTTTCTCTCTGTCTCTCTCCTGTGTCCTCTTTCTCACTATTAAAACTACAACAGATCAGACCATGGTGACCTGTCTGGCCCCACTGCAGCTAATGTCACGTTTCTGGGTCAGAGAGAGAGAAAGGATGGAGAGGAAACAGGATTTTGTGTGAGCTCAGGGAGAAGCAAGATTTTTAAACAAACGTGAAGCTTGGTTGAGATTGGTTTAAAGTTTAAACTTATTGTATAAGAAAGCAAATATTGTCATAGTGAGGAATAATTTTTCAGTCATTATATATTGCCTCTTTTTCATGTGACATCCAATATCATTTAAAGGGCAAATATTACATCCTTTCCTCATCAAAAAACGTATCCGGAGTTGTGTTTTATTTCATTACTGCAAGATGCCAACTAAATATTGAATCTTAACACTTCCTTTGTCCCTCCGCCATTGTCTACATCAGGACTTAATTGTGGTCAAACCCAAATAATGTAGAGGAAGCGAAAAGTCATTAGCCACATCCCTGTCAACATTTTAAAAGCCAAACACCCCAGACCACAACTATATCTTAGTCTCCAGGGCTGCTGAAGAGACAAAAATCTGCTTCCCTTAGTTGGGTAATTAGGAGCTGGACTGCCTTCTAGCATAAATCATTGTCTATTTTATTCCAAACGCATACAGCTTTTTAGATTTGCTCATTATGTTGTATTTTCTTTATTTGGATGTTGTCTATAGAGTTCTTAGTTATGAATATTTTGGTCATGGATCTATGGCAACCAACCGCTCCAATCCAGTCCACTTGAGCACATTTTATAAACATGCCAGTTTCCACATTGATGCACAGACAAATTAAGACAATAAAAGAAATTAAATCATAACATAAAAACAAATAAAAAGCACTAAAATACGTAAAGCTAAAAAATAAAGGTTAAAGATGCATCCTAGAATGTACCACAGTAATGTCATCAAACTTGCTTTTTATTTAATTATATGAATTTTTACTCTCCACAAATCAAACCTGTAAATTGGCTTGGTGCTTGTCTCCACATCTCTCCAAGTTTAATACCATACTGAAAATTTCCAGACAAAGCATGCGCATCTCCATTTGTGATGGACTATCCACCCGACAAGTTACACAGTGCACCTTTAAACCTATAAAATGAATAAAATCAAAATAAAATAAAAAGCCACAGAGGACCTCACAACTCACACAGTGTTAAAAGCCATAGAATAAAAGATTGTCACATCACCAGTATTGTGGTTTCAGTATCAGTTTCAGTATTGTATTCCAACTTTTCTCATCTAAAAACAACAATGTAGTGTAGTGTATAGACTTCTTTTACTGATTACTGAAAAGGTTTATACTTTCAAAATGATCTGTTTTTCTTTTTCACCTCTGTTAAAGTGTAAAGCTCTCCTGCTGTTTTAAACCCAGCAGGACTCATACCTCATGTCTGCGGGGCATTGTTAGTCTGCACATCTGAAGCTGTTTATTCTTTTGTTATTTCTTTAGGTTGTTCTACAGAATCTGTTGATGTGCATGGTGTGTTTCTACTCTCTCTACTACATTGCTGTGAGCCTGTGTATCGGACTACTCAGGTATGGACAAAAACTAACACAAATTTGAATAATTATATAATGATATCTACATAGTTTTCATATTTGTAATTCCAGGGTTCATGAGATCAACAGCTTTTTGGCCCCGTTCGACTACACAACACAACCATCATGGCAGAACCCCAAATACCTGGGTGAGTATCACAATGAGCGTAATGTGTTTGTTTATCCATTTATAGACTTAATATGTGGCTCAAATTGCCTCTGGAGGGCACATATTACACTATTTCCTGATCTATGTTATAATGTTGTTTCCTCATCACAAACATGGAGTGTGTTTTGTTTCATTTACATGTTTAACTCACAAATCTGGCACATTTAGGCTGAGTTCTTCTCACAAACAGAAAACACTCAGTTCCACCTTCTGGTTTCATGTGGTAATACTCCATACATCTTCACATTGCAGCCCCGGAATTGCCAATCTTTACTTACTCTTTTCAGATAAATAAATTAAAGTGTAATCCTAACCCTCCTTATGATTAAGTACAGTTTACATTGTGTATAAAATGTTTCTGTTACAGTTTTTTGTTATACTATAGTACAACTTACGGTTTACGTAGATCATCTCCGCTGGCTATGGATGTAGACGGCATGTCATTTTTTTTACATTTACATTACATTTTCCATTCTTAATAGTTTACAGGGTTGGTCCTAATTAACTTCACCCAGAGTCTATTTTTTGGCACAACATCCAAACTCAAACCTGGGACTCTCTTGTCTTGACCTCAGAGCACATAAGCCATACTAGCACATACATGTTTCATTACCTACAATATCACAATCCCACCATGATACCTGCTCCATCCTATTTTAGCAGCTGTACTTCACCTGTCAAATCTCATCTTGGCTAACAAGTACATTGCATTTGGGTCATCTCCACTTTTAAAATGTTATAATCTGTTATGGCTATTCTGTTTGGGCATGACTGACGATTACCCCTGCTTTTATTCATCTTCATAATCACCGAAACAAACCGTAATAAAAAAGTGGGTCAACAAGGATTACAAAAGCAAAAATATAGTTGCACAATATTAAATGACGACAACATAATAATGCATTCTGTCTCTTTGCAGTGAGTGTCATCTCCACAGAGGTGACCTATTTCTTGGGAGGTTTGGTTTTCGCCTGGATTGTGGAAGAGTGGGTCTGGGACTACGCCATCACTGTCACTCTGCTGCATGTTGCCATGACGGTGGCAGGTAAGACGGCACACTTTGGAAAGTAGATCAATGGAACGGAAATGCTTATAGGATTTGGAGATATGTTACGTAACAGGATAGAGTAACACTGTACGGTATGGAAGATTACTCACAACTGAACAATGATACATGTTTAGTGTGATAATAATGTTATACTTTACATGTGTAGCGATAATAATGTTATATTTAACATGTGTTTCTTTATTGGCAGCTTTCAGATTATAGTTTGTGATGATTTCATACTCCCAGATGTAATTTTTAAATGTATTTTAATATTTAATAAAACAAAACTAGACAAAAAAATAATAATAATACAAAATAAAACAAAACCTTCGATAACTTTTTATTTTTCCATGAAATATTCAAAAATTCGCAAATGTTAATGTTAAATAACATTTGTCTTTTTCAACCTTTAAAAGTATTGGAACACAATTTTGGTTAAAATTATTCCATGGCAGAGCACTTACTAAAATATTACCAAATTACACAATTTAGGGAAAAAAATTTACAAATATTTTCATTGACCTTTTATCTGGTTCTTTCTGTGAATTGGTGATTATTTTGCTTTTTTTCACTAAATCACACGTTGCTCAGGACACTCCAGAATAGTAGATTATTCATTAAATACATGTGTGAATTAACTTAACAGAAAATTTGTCCAAGGCACAACTACCTCAAGGCACACTGGTTGAAAATTTGTAGTCTTGAGTGACTACTAGTAACTTGCTGTATTTGCATTTAAAAGATATTCATTTAGTTGCCCCCATCTGTGTTAAATAATATAGGCCCATTGTGCAGTAGTTCAGGTATTTAACATCATCTGTTCATATTTTTGCAGTGATGTCAGACTTCCCCTCCGCAGAACACTGGTGGATAGCTCTGGGTAATTGTTTCTTGCTTGTCATTCATCTTCATATGCTGCAAGCCTTCTTTAAATCAGAATCACTCTAAAAAAAAAAAAAAAAAAGTACTGTTACACAAAAAGCAATAAAAAACAAAAAAATACTGTTTACCATTTTTTTTTGTTTATTCTCATAAGTCTAGACTTGTTATAAACATCATCTTAGCCTGGTCCACTACACCCATCTTTGATTGTATAGAAATAGGCTGTGATACATGGCAAGTAGATTGGAGGCCAGGCAAACAACTTCTATCAGTCCTTCCCTAATTGTTGTCTCAAGCACAATTTGTATTATCAGTCTTAAAGCTGCTACACTATTATATACAGGTATATTTAAAATAACCAGCAAATATTTAAGCAAAATGGGACAAGTAGATTAATTTATATTTTACTGTAGTTCACTTAATAATAATAATATTAATGCATCAGTTTTATATAGTGCTTTTTTGGACACTCAGAGATGCTTTACAGTGCATTATTCATTCACTCCATACCCTTTGGTGGTAAGCTACTACTGTAGCCACAGCTGCCTTGAGGTAGAGTGATGGAGGCGAGGCTGCCAATCTGCACCACTTAAATGCCATATTAGACATATGTGAGTAACAACCAGGTCTTATTATACTTCCATGGTAACAACAGGCAAAATAAAAGTATGTTTAATATAAACTGGAAGTGGAAGTTCCCAGGGCCAAACACAGACCTTATAGACCTGCCTAATGTTGTCTTTACTTTAACTTCTCTTTAGTCTACTACAAATTAGTGAGGTCCGGACATTTGTCACTATGGTTACCACCTGCTTAGAGCTCGCGTTGACGTGGACAGTCCTTGGTTGATCCCCTTTGCTTGTTTGTTTAATCTGTTCAGGCTCTGGGCTGGTGATGATGATATTTGGAGGCCAGCTCTTGGCCTACAGACTCTTCAGGAGTAACTTTGTCTATCCAGAGGAGCTGCAGAACTTCTGATGCATTCAGCACGGCAGCTATAAAGCTTTTAAATCAATTACAGGTCTATCTCAGGTTTAGATTCTTAAGTAGCCTAGTTTATAATTAAATATATTTAAATTGTCAATACTGTGAGATATCAATACAGTGCTATCTATGATATTGTCTATACTGAGGTATTTTTTGTCAGATTATAAATTATGTTAATTTCATTTCTTATTTGTGTTTTTTGAGTTTAATTTTTCATATAATCTCATTGGGTTAAGACATTTTTTTATTTATGTCACACTGATGTTGTAGTGTGTTGAAATCATGCATGCCAGTTTAGAATTTTGTTTTGCATTTTTTTGGTTTTGAATTGTAAAACACATTTTAAAAATGTAAATGATTTGTAAATTTACTACAAAAAGGAAATTGGATACTGACTGGATTGTTTTGTTGATTAGCCTAATAAATGAGCATATGAACATATTGAAAAGTGTGTAGGGTGATTTTGTGTTATTAAGAAATGCGACCCAAACAATAATTTCCGGCTGCACAAATGAAACAAAGTTAGAGTTTTTGGTTGGTTTACTGAGCATGTTTATTCTTTTCATTGGCTGACAATGGCCACGTGACTGTCAATTAACCTCATGCATGCTTCCAGCGCAAACTAACGTGACAGTGTTGTCCTCTTTCATCAAACATTAAAAGGACATTTTCTCACTGTAAACGTGTAATAACTGTATGAGAAATGTCCGGGAACGGGCTGGTGTCCAGTATCCGCAGGTTGATCCAGAATGAAGAGCGACTGAGGAGCTCCAACTCTCCGGTGAGTGCACAGGCTAATGTGTTAGCAGCTAATGCTAACAACAGTGTGTTTGAAGGCCATGATTATTGTTTCAGGTTATGAAAAGTGCATAGACGGTACCATTAGAAGCATAATGTATAGAATTATCTTTTTTCCTCGAGACAATTTTCATGCAAATTAAAAGGCCTCAGAAATATCTGAGGCTTTGCTGCCATCTTGTGGCGTGTTTAGTCATTGGAAGTAATGGTGTCATAATTCTTGACGTTTGAACATCAGTGAATTCTTCCGTTCACATCATATGCAGTGGGCCTATAATAAACACAATCGTGTCTATGTAAAGCCTAACTCTTTGCACTGACACTAACCTGTAGCCTTTATCCTGGCAGAGTCCATTTGACCACCTCCATCAGCAGATGGATGACGTTTTAGGAGATGGAGGAATCATGAAGCAAGTGGTCCAGCCTGGAGAGGGCCCACCAGTGCCCGAGAACGCTTCAGTCATAAGTATGTGATTTACAGCGTAGCACTCATTGGAGAACCTATGTTTTAGTTTATAAAATATTTTAATAAAAATGAAAGAACCAGAGGAAAATGAGAAATGTATCTGTATTAATAATCACAACTTTAAAAATTTAAATGAGTTACAATAAGACTTTGGGACCCCTGCAAAGGAATGTATTGTTTTCTTGAACATCCAAAGAATATATGAAATACTTAAGGGTGCATATTTTTACACTGCTTAGGCATTTGTAAGCATTCGTGTTTCATAATATTTTGTTTTCTTTTTACACAGTGCATTACTCTGGCTTTCTGGAGTATTCTGACCAGCCTTTTGAAACCACGCTAAATGTAAAGCACCCTCGGATTATGAAGTTAGGGAGAGGTGTGTCATCTTTCAGTCAAAGTTACTATAAAAACTTAAGTTGATTTTATACTCTAATCACATCATATTCATGTCTTAGATGTGACACTGGGAGGCCTGGAGCTGGGTTTGTTGACAATGAAGAAGGGGGAGTTTTCACGCTTCCTCCTCCAGCCTCATTATGCCTATGGGGACATGGGCTGCCCTCCCTTCATCCCGGCACACGCCGTCATTTTGTATGAGGTCCATGTATTGGACTTCCTGGACTCTGGACAAGTGGATGAATTTCTTACATTATGTCCAGTAAGAATTTATATACCAAAGTAAAAGTGTACTGTAGTGAAATCTCTTAATATTTTGTTTTTATTTAGGACGAACAGAATGCTTCTCCTCTGTCCACCTTTTTACATGTGATCAATACATTACGTGGCTTTGGCAATCGCTGCTTCAATCAGAGCCGGTTTTATCATGCCAAAGATCGCTACAAAGAGGTAATAAAACTGGAAGAAATACTTATTTGTAATATTTGTCTAAATTCAAGTAGTTTAGACCTTTTAAATTAATTAATTTAAATTTAATTTTCATCATTGATTTATAATTACAAAATGGCTATGCGTAATATTTTCTTACCTGAAAACAATATAATGAAACCTGCAGCCAGAAATAGCTAGAAAATATCCCTGCTCAAAATAACAATGCATAATTTAATAAATATTAGATTGGTATGTGTAATGCCATATTGTGGAACATTTTATATATATACATATATATATATATATATATATATATATATATTATATATATATATAGATAGATATAGATATAGATATAGATAGATATACTTTTTTTTTTTTTTTTTTTTTGAGATATCATAGAAATCTGCATTGTTTTGTTTTTGTTTTGTTTTGTTATCAGGCTTTGAAGCTTTTGGAAAACAGGAAATCTCAGAACGTCCCAGAAAAGGAGACTCTGCAGACAGCTCTTCTCCCTGTGTATCTGAACCTGTCCCTCACAGAGCTACGTCTGGAGAGACCTCAGAAGGCTCTGAAGTACAGCAACAAAGCTCTACAGATCGACCATGACAACACCAAGGCACTTTACCGCTGTGGACAGGTCAGAAAGAAACACTATGAATGCCAATATGGACTAAAGGAAACATACTTAAAGGGTTATACTGCAAAAACAGTTACGACCAGCAGTTTCACAACATCATATTTATGTGTTACAAGCATTGTATGACTAGTCACAATTATTGATACCATGACCAAAAAAAATATTGAAATTGAAACAGAATAACTTAAATTTGCTTTGATATGATCACATTATTTTCCAATTTTTATATTATATTGTTACCTGAATAATCACAATTATGGATAAACATCAGATTAATCTTGACATGTAGTAAAAATTTAATTTTGATCCCAGTTTATAGTGGGACAATATCAACAATGTAATTTTATGGGCCAATAAAAAATAGGTGAATAAATAAACACAAATTTCAGTTCACAAAACAATACATTTGTACAGACTGATTTAAAAATACTTATATTGGAAACTGTTCATTTTTGATTAATAAATAATTATAGAATTTTTTAGGTTTTGTTTTTGATTTTATCTCTATCAGTGTAATACTAAATACAGCAAATACAATTTCTGATTCAAACGTGTGTGTCGTGTACCAGGCCTATCTGGAGCTGCAGGAGTTTGAGAGTGCACAACAGTGCCTCCTATTGGCTCAGGGGAGGAAGCCTTTTGACAGCGACATCAACAGCCTCCTGAGGAAAGTGGCAATGTAAGATCAAATTTAGGGATAAAAATATACATTATTTAGTTTGGCATTATTCAGAATTTCTGTTTTGTTTCCAGGTCCTATAAAGAAAGCCTAGATAAACAAAAAGACATGTGCTCTAAAATGTTCAAGCATTTCAATTCCACAGAGAACTAATTGAGGAAACAGGTTAGAAACTGCACAGCATCCATGTCGTTAAAATCACTTCTGTACATTTTAAGTTGCAACATCAATCAAGTTTACCGTTTTGTGGAAAATTGTGCGTTTCTGGAAAGATTTAGAGTTTGTGTTTGAGATGTCCAACTAAGTTTATGTTGTATTTGTTTTATTTTTTCCCAACTGTCACATTTGTATAAATTGGAAATTGTAGTTACTTTTCTACTGTGTTAATTTGGAAAGACACTGTTTTGGAAAAATAATGTTCTTTTAGTGGCAAAATAAAATCTAAAGATTTATTCTTTTTATTTTTTCTCTTTTTGTATTACCAAAACAACCAAATACAAAAGTCAAATGATTGAATATTAGCAAAGAGGCAAAAGAAAATGTTAAATATAAACATTTGATGATCAATTTATTATAAAACACATACATGTCATTATGAGGGAAAGAAGAGAGCAGATAACCAGCAGCTATATATTCTTGATTTGTGAATTGTGAGTGAGAGCACAATGAATATAAAAGATGACACTAATGTTTCCTTGAGCAAGGCACTTCACCTTTCTCCAGTGTCTGAAACATGACCATTTACCTTTTATTTACAAAGAGAAAAACTCAGACAATTTCCTCTTTTTTAAAGGTATGTATTTACAGTAATCATGGTATTTATATGTAACAATTTATGAACATTTTGTTTTGCAGTTGAAATATAAAAAAAAAATTTAAATAAGCTAAAATGGACACATAAATGATGAATTCTTTTTCATTGTTACAAAATGCTGTAAATAAATATTAAATATTGGAATAATGAATGTAACATTTTTACATAAATGTATTTGACATATCTTAAACTGTTAGTTGTACAGAGAAATCGTGCAATACCAACTTTTCATGAAATCTGAGGGACATAACAATTCTTCCACTGAAAATACATTTAACACTCAAATTATCCTAAAAACAGTGTTGTGATATTCATTTGATTGTGCTTTGTGTCTTCAGTTTTCTGGACACAAACAGCGGCAGTTTTTAAAAGTTGTGCGTGACTTTTGAGCTGTGCATCAAAATAAGATGTTGACATTCAGTCTGGTCTATAGTGGTTGTATTGTAATTACACAAACAATTGTAACACACTGCACAGTGACTAAAAACTATGAAGCTGTTTGTAGGAAGCAAATTGGTCCCTATAATTGAAATGTTTTTTTAGCGCCTTAGTTCATCATCCTTATTCATATTCACTTTAGTCAGCTGAAGTTGTCTTAAATGTGCTATATAAATAAACTTGAATTTAACTGAATACTGAAGGGTTTGTGCTATGAATTTTGACCCTTCAAGTTCACAAAGCAAAACTAGTATCTTGAGACTGTATATTGTAGAAGATACTGGAGATGCGTCTATTGTGCATGTTTCAAGTTGATGGGGCAGCATAAGGAGCACATGCAAACATCCAGTATTATACATATTACATTAACAATTTAATTCCCTTTCATTTTTTTATTTGATCTAGAGCCAAACTACCAATTCACTGTCAAACTTGATCTGTGTTGGATTCTCTTGACATCCATTCATTGATAAACTGTTGCATACAACCATGGACTGTATAAAGAAGTGGACTAAGGGAGTGTGACTTCACCCACAGCGTTCGGCTCCAGTCAAATGAAGCTCACAATGCTAGCAGTTACAGGAGCGAATTTGGAGTCAGATCCGTATTAGGAATAGGAATTTATGTACCGTAGAGGTGGTTAATACAAACACTTGAAGACCAAAATGACAAGGCTGAGAGTCCAAGGAGGCAAAAGTGCCCCCATGAACACTTTAGCTATGTCTATTTATATATATACAGTCTATGCAAACAACACAACATTAGTCCAAACTTGAGTCATGTCCCCAGTGTTGCATTGTTCACAGCTTGCTATAGTTGTATCTTCTATTTTTAACAGTTTATCAATGGTAAACCAATATTCAAATTCTGTGGCAACTCTCCATAGCAAAGTCATCAACAAGTCTCTCAAAGGTCCATTTATCCATGCACATACTTCTTCGCATATATGTCCAATGCATTCTTCAAAGCTACAAAAAATATTTTCTGATGTTTAAAATTAGAAATTCTACAGTACACTTAAAAATATACTAAATAATAACAGTATTTACAGTATTATACATAGAAAGATATTCAAGTAACTCAGGAAACATTGGCTCTGTCCAATCAGTTAACCAGAACTTTGACCTCATTCACTCAGTTACTCATTCTAACTTTCAACTCCAGCAATCAAGCATAACCGTTGACTTTTATTTCTACTAATATTAAATAGTCCAAATAAATAGTTAAATCTCCATCCATCTCAGTCTTGCATTCTTTAGGTTAAAGCTTGCATTCCAGTGTAGTTTTCCACAGATTTTGTTGCTATCAATTGCAACTGAGCTACAAAGATCATATTTTGCGAGGTACTTTGCTCTCTGGATCTGATTTTGTACAACTCTTCTCTGGATTGAGTCTTGCTTCATCATCCTCTTGGTGACTGTATTGCTGTTTTACTTTATATGGAAGTTTCTCTGGAAAAACCAAATGATGCAGGAATCTTCAAATCACTGGACTTCTCTTCTGCTGGACACTCCACTGGAAGCTACAAGAAAAAGAAAAAGAATGAAATTGAAAATGAACAATTGCTTTACAAAGCATTAAAGTTGCACTGTGTAACTTTTTAGGTGGAAATGCCATCGCCTGCTTGTCTTCAAGGAGATATTATTGCGGTGTCTGAAATGTTCTACTATAGGACATTAACCTCTATTTCCATGGAGACAACCAGGTGATGGCACCAGGCAGAGTGACTGGTCAGAGACGAGTCTGGTCACAGTAAGAAAGTATATTTTCTTACAATGAAAACACCTGTAATAAATGGAACATAGTCAAGTTGAATGCCTTGCTTTGGAATATTCCATGGAAATGTTACTTTACAAATGAGGATCTTCGTGTATCCAACATGACAATAAAGAAACATACCATTAGTCATACTATAGTGATTATTCTTCTTATGGCATTACTTTGAACCAAGTTATACAGACAAAAGTTCTGTAACAGTTCTTAGCCTAATAGATACATTTATTAAGTCTGTCCAAGTTACATAAGCACTGTCCCTATGACTCAGCCTGTGGGTTATAAAGAGAGCTATTGATTGAGTGCTTTGACTTTTGTGGAGGATGCTAGCGGACTCTTGAAGCTAATCAGAGCTAATCACTGGTTTCTGGGAGACAGTGACATTCATTCATGGCCTTGGCTTTTGGTTCAGTTCCAGCACAGAGCACAACAAGCTGTAAATGTCAAGACAGTTTATACCAGGGAGTGAATCTAAGGCTTTCGAGGAACACTCGGACATAAAACAAATTTACTCTTTTTCTCAAGCGTAATTTACAGGGGATGGAGTGATTACTTCAGAATATGGTGGCAGAGGCAATGCTTATTTGAATAATATAATTTAACACATCTTTGGAATAAAAATGTCACTTCAGTATAGTAAATAGTATATGTTTAGAATAATACAATTTAGAACAATTCAGTAATACCATTGGGAATATGGTTGTCAAAAGTATAGAAAATCAGATACTAATTAATACTAGGGCTGGGTTAATTAAGAAGTTGTCGATACGATACATACGCCATGGTACAATATCTCGATACAGTGCATTAAATACGATATATTTAAAATCGATTTGATATAGTTCAATAAAAAATAAAAGCTAAATTATAGCTGTTATATTAAAAGTCTTTGTTAAACCACTTCTTGTGCAAAGTTAATATAAAACACAAACATTTTAATCATCAAAACAGTGAAAATGTCAAATGTGTTGCATAAACGACTTCCCTTCCTCTGAACAAACACAACTGTAGCGCTGTAACTAAATCACTTAGTAAAATGTACCAATATATCTTGGCAATATATCGATACTGCAGCCCACGACATTGAGACTGTATCATCACATTAAACAATAAAATATATATTGATATTTAGATATTTTTGCACACGCCTAATCAATATTAAAATTAGTACTGAAACTAGATTTTAGCCATTTTGCATCATCTGCATAGTCTTAGCATGGACCTCCAGTTCATTATTGACATTTCTCTGCCGTTAGCTCTGATGTTATCCAACTATTACAGAATTTGTCCTTCTTTAACATTATCAGTTTTCTTGGTCATGTCGTCTCTCAAAAGCGGGACGCTATGCTCTTATCATTTTAAGGCCAGCTTGTCTCCATGTGTTTTTCTTAGTTTATGTTTAAACCTCCTTGTGTGACAGCATAGACAGTCTTCAACGGCCAATAATAACGCGCAGTGTTGAGTATTTAGATTCACCAGGTCTGCCATACATACATACATATAAGCATCATAGATATCCAGTACATATATTCAATATAAATATTTATACACATATGCATTACACGCATATACACACATGCAGAAAAATATTTTCGTTTATGGTCGTACTAACTAATAATAGTGTTAACATAGGCACAAAGTTTATCGTTTATGATCGTATAAAATAAACAGAAATGAGAATGTAGTGTGACTACATCTGGCCCCACGCTGGCACCAAAATATGTAGGAGAAATCTACATGGGCTCACAGTGTGATACTGTGATGTAGGGGGGTAAAAATGTTACAGATTGGAATTTAGAAATTCTAAGTGACTCATGTGACCTTTGTGAGTGTTTGGCTCTGACTAGAATTAAATTTGGAGCACCACTCAACAAATGTTGAGAAATATTACCAATCCAATTTAATCAATTACCTATGTTAATTAATTAATTAATAATTAATTAAACAATTGATCGGAAGGTTTGTAAATTTTTGACCATATCAGTGACCTGCATATTTTGAATGACATCACTGGAAATAACGTCACTACTCACCAAAGCAAACTGTGATTTATGGATATTTATTGACCAAGTTAAACAGAGAGCATTTAAATATCAAATATGCAAATGAGTGTAGGTCGCTCTAAACTGATGTCTAGAGATGTGAGATTAGGCACAACTTTAAGAGTTATCTAAAGTTCTGTGCTGAGTCTAGATTGATAAAACAACAAGCCATTCTGTGATAGTGCGCATACAACCCGGGTAGCGTGGAGCTGCCCAGTCACGATGTGGTCCTGTTGGGTCCAATGTGTTGAGTGTTTGAGTTTCTCAGGAGGTCGGTTCTGAAGAATCAAACGCAAAGAAACGGACGAAGGCCACGTGATCTGATCAATGTTCCAGGCTCAGTCGGCGTCAGGCTGAGGGACGCTCTCCTCTGTTCCAGAGGATTGGAGGACACGTTTCTGTGTCTGTGAGGTCTAACAGCGCAGGTCACAGATTAGGGCTAATCTAAAAAAAGACTATGTGTGCAAAAATGCAAATGTTTAAATTTGGAAAAATATGAAAGCTTCGCTTTCAAATCAGATCAGCTACAGGTATTCGAATAAAAAACACGTCAAGCGACGGGCACAGCTTGAGCAGAAAGAGAACTCGGGCGTTGTCCCTCTTGTTCGGCTCTACTACATCTTGACCATTCTGAGGTGAACTGCTTCAGAGATCTGAACGAACTGGTCAGAACTGGGCAAGCTGCAAAACTGGCAAACTGGGGTGAGGTCTGTTTTCCTTGTCTTAAGTCTTAAAATAAGCGGGAAAAGCTGACCAATGGTGGATCTGCATGTGGAATGTGAGTTAGTTGAATGGGGGGTTTTATGACATAGCTCTCCTATTAAACACTGTGTAACAGTTTTACACAAAGAAAGTATTCACATGATATTTACAAAATCAGTATTAAAACACACTGGCAATAGTTCATTGAATGAATTGAATTTCATTCATTTCTTTCTCTGGAGAAAGTCTATTGGCTTGAGATTAAGAGATTGTTCCATCAAAAATCCCATAGTGTCTTTAATTTGTCGATTATAGTCAGTGAACAAACTTCCGTCAACTGAATTATCAATAGGTGAAGCTTTGTAGAAAAGTTAGTTTAGTAAAAACTGATCTTTAATCCTTTAAGGGGTCTTTGTGGGTTAGTAAATCTTGCTTGGGTGACAGGTCCAAGATAGGGAGGTTCAAGCAAGTGGGAGAAGGGTAGAGTGTCACAAAGTTAACCCCTGTCAGAGGCTGTTGTCCAAACTTTGTGTAAGTCTATTCCCTAAGATATCATGGCAACAGCCATGATTTTACATCTTCCATAGGTCAGAGGTCAGTACTCTTACAAAAATGAAAACTGTAAGAATTTGTATTTGTTTTTGTTTATGGTCGGACAAACTAATAATAGTAATGAAGAAGGCACAAAAATGTATCGTTTATACAGAATAAAATTACAGTTGGTATTGGTAAATTAGAGCTTAGAGCTTCTGTGTTATTACACAGTGTTCATTCTAAATTCCACTATAATGCACTCATCTTATGACAGACAAACACTTTCGCGGAAGACGTCTGTAGTCACAGTTGCCCTGGGCCAGACTAACTGAAGAGTTATAGTTAGCTATATGAAAAGCTAGCTAGATGAAAAGTATGAAGTAGTCAAATACAGTGTGAATGAAAAGCAAGAAGCGCAAAATGTGACTACACAGCTCTCTTATTGACATATTGCAAAAAAAAAAAAAAAAGAGGGTTATAGGTGAGTTTGTAGTAAAGGCGGCTCCTCTGGCAACTGCAGCAGGACGTACACGCGCAGCACTGGCTCTGGTTTGTCAATGGGAAAGACGATCAAACTTGACTGGGCGCGTTTAGCTACTTGTATCAGGTCTATAGTGACACTAACAGCAGAACAGTCTTGTACCTTCTGTACAGGCTGACTATGGCAAACGCGAGGATTTCAAAAGTAAATTTTAAAGCACTAATTAACAGTATTTCTGGACCTGGAATCCCTGCTTTATAAAAGCTACAACAATAATGCATACATTTTTATTAACCGTAACTTAATCATTATGTGAAGTACTCACCGGTTCATGATCTTTATTTTCCACCCCCATGTTTACATTGTGTCGCTTCAATTCAGATTTGATTAAAGCTAAAACACAACGGACAAAGATAATACCTTAAAATTGAACAAACACAATAAATGAATATGATGTTTGTAGCTTTTTAAAGTTGTACCGGTGAGAATGATGCCGAGGAAGATCCAGATGCAGAGGAAGAGGTTTCCTTCCAATGGCCCATAGTTGGTGGTGAGTGTACCCTGGATCAGAGTGAAGATGATCCCAAAAATCTGTCAACATAAACAAAAGTATGCATCAGAATGACATGTAATATAAGATGACTAATGACCCCAGTGTAGTCATCTATTGCTACTGCTTTTCTCTTCCAAATAATCAACAAATTAATTACTTCTTTTTGTCAAATTATAAGAATGTCTTAACATTTTTTGCAGAGAGGAATGGAGAGAAAAGTTTAAAGGTGCACTGCGTAACTTTTCTTGTGGAGGGTATGCCACACACGCTAGTCTCCATGAAGATGTACTTAACTGCCTGGAATGTTTCACAGTAGCATTAAACATATCTGTCTCCATGGAGGCAAGCAGGCCAAAGTACAGACCAGTTTGGTGGAGCCCGCTCAAGATATTTCTGTACTATAAAATCTCCTCTTATCAAACAAAGGCTGAATAGACTTTTAATGCCATACTGTGGTTGAACATACCAAGCAAAACAATAACATCTCCTTAAAGAAAAAAAAAAGTGGCGTACACTCCATCAGAAAAGTTACACAATGCACCTTTAATGCATTATTCAGCAGACTGTATCACTCACCTGTGCAAAAGCATTGAGCAACCCAGAAGAGGTGCCCTCCGACTCTGGGTATGTGATCTCCACTCCAAACTCAAAACCCAGAGGCAGGTATCCGGTCATGAAGAATCTAAAGGTGAAATTAGAAAGCAGATTAAATTAGCAAACACATAAGAGCTAAGAATGTATGTGTTATACAGTACAGGAACATTCAAACCTGACATACATTAACCCAGGTCAGATCTCTGCTCAAAACCCACTTGTTCTGACATTCACTTCGCGTCCCCTTTGCTTTGCTTTTAATGTAGGTTTCTCTTTTAACATCATGTATTTTATTGTATTCTGTAATTACTTCTTGTACCTTTTATTGTATTTTGTAATATTGTACAGTGACCAGGAGAGTCTTGAAAGGCACCTCAAATAAAATGAAATCTTATTATTATTATTGTTCACATATATAATTGTGAATTTGTACACTGCTGTAGATTAATTCTGATGCTCATTGATCTAAAGTAAAATCAGACAGCTACTATATTTTGGTACAAACACACTTTGTCTCGACTATTGTTTAAATCAATAACAAAACACAGCACTGGCTTCCACTTTCATCTTCTGTATTGACTCCTTTTCTTCTTTTGATCAGTGCTGACTTAAAGAGGCCGCAGTTGAGTGACAGTCTATTTTATTTATTTATTTATTTATCTATTTATTTCACTGACTCCTATAACCACATGCAAAATTACTTACAGGGCCCATATTATGCTATTTTGTGATCTATGATATAATGTTGTTTTTAGGGCCTTGCAACAATATCAAAATATCGATATATTGTATAGTTTAATTTGATGATACAGTATCAATATCATGGGCTGCTGCATCAATATATCACCAACAGTATTTTTTGGTACATTTTACTAAATTATTTTGTTACAGTGCTACAGTTTTGTTGCTTGTTTAGAGGAAGGAAACTCGTTTATGCAACACATTTGACATTTTCACTGTTTTGATGATTAAAATGTTTGTGTTTCATATGAACTTTGCACAAGAAGTGGTTTAACAAAGACTTTTAGTATCACAGCCAACAATTAGCCATTATTTTTTCCGAACCGTATCGAAACAATTTGAAATATATTGCATCGAACCAAAAGTGCACTGTATCGAGATATGCACCATATCATGGCCTATGTATTAAGGTATGTATCGTATCGGCAACTTCTTAATGATACCCAGACCTAGTTGTTTCTTCATCACAAACATACCTGGAGTTGAGTTATTTATTTCTTTCACACATGTTTAACACACACACGCTGCATATTTAGGCTGAGTTCTTCTCTCAAACAGAAAACACTCTGCTTTGCCTTGTGATGTCATGTGGTAATACAGGAAGTGCTCCACTGTCTTTTTAAACACCATACACCTTCACTAGAATCATTTTCAGCCCTGGAATGGCCTAACTATACTGAACCTTAAGGTAGCTGTTAACTTGATAACTACAGTCCCTGACAAAAGTCTTGTTGCTTATCCATTTTGTAGAAACAAAAGCTTATAACCTGACTTTAAATTAATTGATTGGTTTTAGAAATGTCTCATATGAAAGCTAAAACCCTCCCAAATTATGCTCAATAAACTAAAATAAATTTGAAATGATTGAAAATTATTGATCATTTAATGAACACAGAAAGGTCAGATTTTGGCAAGACAAAAGTTTTGTCGCCTACAGAAAATTGAACAAATAATTTACTTCAAATACAAAAATATGTTGCATGACGTCAGTGAATTAAGTAGTGGTGCTGTGAGATCCTTATTTAATATCTTGTATGACTTCCATGAGCTTGAAGGACTGCATCCATGCGGTTCGACAATGATCATCATCAGGAATAGCAAAGAAAGCGTCTTACATGCCTCGCAGAGTTCATCAAGATTCTTTGGTTTTGCCTTCCATGCTTCCTCTTTCATTCTACCCCAGACATGCTCAATGATGTTCATGTCTGGTGACTGGGCTGGCCAGTCCTGGAGCACCTTGATCTTCTTCGCCTTGAGACACTTTGATGTAGAGATAGAAGTATGCGATGGAGCACCATCCTGCTGCAAAATTTGACCCCTTTTATGGTTGGGAATGTAATAGGTAGCTAATACTTCTTGATATTTTAGGTTATTGATATTGCCTTCCACCCTGTAAATGTCTCGCACAGCCCCATACTGGATGGAACCACAGACCATGATTTTTCCGCCACCAAACTTAACTGTTTTCTGGGTGAATCTTGGATCAATGCGGGCTCCAGTAGGTCTCCTGCAATATTTGCGGCGGCTGTGATGTAATTCAACCAAGGATTCATCTGAGAAATCCACCTTCTGCCACTTTTCCAGTGTCCATCCTTTTAGCAGGCTGTGGGCCTTGGCAAATGCCACATGTTTTTTTAATTGCCTTTTGTTTAGTGCTGGTTTCTGTGCACTGATTTGACCATGGAGGCCATTTCGAGACAGAATTCTACAAACAGTTGTGGTTGACACAGGGACTTGAGGTGACCAGGCCTGGTGGAGTCTGCTGCAGTGGAAAAGGGGCTGGCCTTGGATTTTCGAATCAACAAACGGTCCTCCCGAGCAGTTGTCTTGCGGGGGTCTGCCGGACCTGGGCTTGTCAAAAACATCTCCAGTCATTTCATATCTTTTTCTTATTCTTTGTACTTGACGCTGAGACACATTGAAGGTGTCAGCACCTCAGCAGTGGATCTGGTCTTCAGCCTCTTGATAATTAACGCTTTGGTCTCAGGGTGGATCTTAGGCATGTTGTCAGAGGTCAAGTTGCAGTTGATGTGAAGGTCTGGTGTGCTGGGGTTCTTTTTATACACACCCACTAATTGATTGATCAGTAACTGATCACAGGTGAGGCTGTAATCTAGGATTGGGTGCATCATATGACAAGGCGACAAGACTTTTGTCTTGCCAAAATCTGACCTTTCTGTGTTCATTAAATGATCAATCTTTCTTCAGTGAAGCAAATTTATTTTAGTATATTGAGCATAATTTGGGAGGGTTTTAGCTTTCATATGAGACATTTTTGAAACCAATCGATTAATTTAAAGTCAGGTTATAAGATTTTGTTTCTACAAAATGGATAAGCGACAAGACTTTTGTCAGGGACTGTATGACATCAAAAGGTAGAACAGAGCATTTTGAGTTGTGGAGATGATGATAGACTAAGGGTGTTTTCACACCGACAGTATTTGGTGCGCACCAAACGGTCCATTCGAACCAAAAGTGGTTAGTTCGGTTCGTTTGCGTTGGTGTGAAAGCGTCAATCGGACTCGGACCCGAACCAAATCAAGCGGACCGAGACCGCAAAACAGAGGTGGTCTCGGTTCGCTTGAATCCGCACCAAATGACCAACTTTGGTGCGATTCCTCTGGTGTGAACGCGAACCCGGGTCCAAACCATAGACAGTATGGACAAACGGACTATTCCAAATGCACCATGGGAGGGACACGCGTCTCCTCTGCCTGAAATGACGCGCTGTACGACTCCAGCGCAGTAACAGATTGTTGTCCAGACACAGACGCGATTCATTTTCGAATTATTTTACCAACAATGGCCAATACAGAGAATGTAACACACGAAGATCAGAGCAAGTATCAGTGTGCGAACGTGTGGCTCCAGAGTGAGTCAAAATTGGGGGTGCGTACCCCTGTTCGGGACCTACACGCACAGAGACGACCCGGTGTCCCCCGTGATCACACAGCAACCAACATTTGTTATTTTAGGCTTTAATTAACCAAATAATTTCATGGCAATAGGCAATCGCCCATTCAATTGATACAACTTCAAAAAGTCCCTGTTTTTAGCCTAGTGTGAGAAATACAGTCGGACTAGATCCAAACCAGAGTCCCGAACCAGCGGGGGCAGCTCCAGTTCAGGCCGGGCTCAGAGGAGCTGGAGCGGGGAGCCTCGACCTGAGGAAGCCCTTTCCCCGGGAAGAACCAAATGCGTGGAGGACGGACGCTCAGAACAACATATAACAAACCAAACTGGACTCACGCTTCTGTCCGGATGCTGCACCACCTCGGAACCAGCCGCGGTTCTTGAGCGCGGAGGACAGGAGCAGCCCACCTGGACCTGTAGTCCACAGCGCATTCTTGCTTTTCCCGCACGGAAACAGCGCGCAGACGACTGAAAGTACCCGCTCGGACTCAGTCCATCAAGCACTGGTCTTGCTCGCCACCGTTTGGAACCAGCACATGGAGGACAGAGCCTCCGGACCATCTGACCAACAAACTTGTAACAGAAGACCAAGGACCAGACCCCAGCCCCGTCCTGAGGAGCTTTTGGCTGCTGCTGTTACCCGAACTCTGGGCTGATGCGGTGAGTTTGTACAAAGTTCTACATGTTGCTGTTTTATGAGTTCATGGTGATAATTTGAGATGAGGACGGCCCGTGGTATTAACAGGAACATCGGTGTTGATAACTGGAATATCGCTGTTTTACCGGGGAAACAGAGACACGTCAATCGAACCAGTTTTGGTTCGTTTGCTGGTGTGAACGCGGACCACACTGGAGTGTATTTGCTACATAATAACAATTTTATTGCCTGGTGCGGACCAAATAATCGAACTAGCGGTGTGAAAATGACCTAAGAATAAAGGATTACATAAGTGTGAATGAAACAAACCCTAACTCCAGATATGTTTTTGATTAAGTAACAACATGGCTTAAAGCTCACTAGTGTCAATTTTGCGTAATATAGAACCTTTAAGAACAAATTTGACATTATCCTAAAAATGATCGTAAAAATACAATTTCCAACAAAACATTAGTCTATAGTCCACATTAGTATTCCATTGAAGAAGATACAACCCCTTTTTTAAATTCAGCTCTGCCTCTGCACAGGAAGACATATTAAAGAAATGCATTTAATCAGGTGCCCTGCCTTTGTCCTGTCTGTTTCTCCTCTCTCCACTGTCCAGTGGTTTATGAGTCTGACGTCATGTGACCTCCTCCTCTCTCACGACACACACTCAAGGACAAACCCATTATTGATCAATGTAATGGCCACTGCTACTGACAAAACACAGCTGTTTCTTCACTTTCGACCCTTTCCTTTCATAGGACTGTCAATAAATTCCTTGATTCTCTCCAAATACAACAGGTTTAATGCTACATGTGAGAAATTATAGTATGTACTAATCCAAAGAATAGCCCAGCTGAGACCCATGCACAAGCTATTTTTTGTATCTTGTGTAGCAGAAATAAATATGCAGAGCCATCAGGGAAAACGTATGTACATAATTACACTAAAGGCCCACTGGAGACATTTTCTCATGACAATTTAGCTTTAGTTTGCAATAGATGTAACAGTAGAATACATACATAGTACAGTGTGTGGTAGCTGTAGCCCTGACAGTGTTAATGATTTTTGTGAGTTTTTTTATGTAAGAGTTGGTAGTTTTAGATAAGTTGCACCTAACTATGAACTAAGTATGATCTACAAGAGGCATGGCCATTTCGCAATATATATTTATTATGCTGTCCTTCCCTCTTGTATGAGTAGAGTGGAATTTTAGTTAGTGTCAACAGAATCCCAATAAACACGCAGAAGAGTTTAAAGGATCAGTCTTCTTTTCTTTGGTTTACTGTGTCTTGTTGTGAAAAGCCAATGACACATATTTAAGGATTACCGCAGATGGAGTAGGATTCTTGACAGACTGCTCACAGCTGCTGCCATGTGCTTTCTGGCTGCTTGAACTAATTAGCGTGACCACTAGAGGTAGGACTTACTATAGGTTTAATACAAGAACAGAACATTTAGCATTATTATTATTATTACTTCTTCCTAATGATTCTACTACATTTAATTCATCAAGAAAAATACTAAATTGTGGTATTGCTGAGATTCACATACCCAAGGACTCCTGCTGTGAAGAAAACCAGGTAGATGTTGTTCAGATCCAAAGTGAAAGTAAAAACCAGCATCCCGACGAAGGAGAGGAAGTACACGATCAGAGTGGTCATCCTGAAGGGAGACAGGCTAGTATCAGTAATTTCAAATCACACATTAGGTCTGTGCATTGCTGTGAGTCTTAAATACAATACAAATCATTATATACTAAAACAATGGTTGATATATTGCAATTTATAATTAATTATTATAATTAATTACTTCCAATAATATAGTCAACTAGACCTTCATGAGAGCAAAACTGTATGAAATATAATTTATAAAAAAAAAATAAAATATGAGAGCAGCGAATGTAACTAATGAATTTTTGTGAAAAATATGATTTAAAAATCAGTTCAGGTCCATTCTGAATCAATTCGAGAACTGTGCAATGAAGTATGATGATATATCATTGAATACATTTTTCTTACATCCCTAGTCTCTATAAAACCTATAATATAGATACTGTATTTGAGCGTGCCATACTTGTATGTCTTGGTGTGATCCAGCCACAGTCCACAGAGAATAGACCCCACCATCCCGGCAACAACTAGAGTCAAACCAATACGACCAGCGTTCAACTCCTGGCCCTAAAGAAGAAATGCAAATGATACAATACAAATGCACCATGCTTTATTAAAGAGGTGGTATTATCCATAGACTGTATAAAGAAGTGAGCTAAGGGAGAGGTGATGTCTCTATGGACATGCAGCCAGTGGGGCAGAGAACAGAGCTGTGGTGAGAGAAGGCATGCGTGAACTAAACTAATGAAGTCAGAACAATAAACTCAGAAAACAGTCTCCACTTATCACGTTTAATGTTGTTTCAGGGCCTGTCTGTGTTTGCTTTGTATTACTGTAGTGAGAGCTAATGTGAGAAATGCTTTGGCCAAACAGGTCTTTACTTAAAAGTGCATTGTGTAAAGTTTCTGGTGGAGGGTCTGTCAAATGCTTTTCTCCATGAAGATTTTATTGCTTTGTCTAGAATGTTTCACACTATTGTGTGAAATGTTTCACTCTATTAAACTTTTCTATCTTCATGGAAACCAAATCAGGCCAAGTTAGAGGTCAGATCAGTGGAAAGGTGCTCAGAATGCCTGTTTTTCTAAGTATTTTTGAGCTTTAAACCACCAGTTATTTAATAAATGTCAGGCAAAGCTGTTTAATATCATACTGTGGAAAATTCCGGGTAGAGCAATGACATACCCATCGAAACAAGCAGGTGACAGACCCCTAACCAAAACATTACTTAGTGCACCTTTAATTTTTGCTTTTATTACCTAAAATGTAACTCTTATGAGAGCTTCATACCTTGTAGCAGTTCAAAATCATCTGGTTCAGAAGAGTGGAAACAGAGTAGAAACAACCTGTCATTATACCTGAAAGTGAAGTAAAAAGCATAATATAAGTTTACAATCAAAACAATAATATTGATTGAAATTTATATATTAATAATTATAATGATGATAGCCACTGTAGGATACTATATATGTTACTATAGCCTCACTATTTGAGAAGTTGTTTTGGTTTACTTCAGTCAGGTAAGCCTTTACTGCTGATGCTGAGCTAGTTAGCACGAAAATTCATTATACACAAGCACATTATGTCTGTGGTAATTTCACTATTTGACAGTGACATGTGGCAGTAAACTCTTTAGATTATTTCTTTCAGAACAAAACAAAACCTCTTTAGGCTCCTTCAGACTGCAGATTAGTATGTCAGAGAGCAGCAAATACAAAACACAACATAGTGCTTCAAAGCTCCTGTGACTATTTACAGAGGAAATCAACATTTATATAACAGCTACCTTTTACCTTTTGTTATTATAACACAGATTGGAAAGTAGCATAATATGGGCCCTTTAATGTGTTTGTTGGAAATGGCTGTCCACTCTGTCCACTTGTTAACAGTGCACCTTGATATATGTCACAGGAATAAAAGAAAGATATAACATAACATAATTGTACCATAGCTGATGAGCAGGAGCAGGAAGGCCTTGTTTCTGAACAGGTTGTAGATGGACTTTCTGTAGGAGTAGTCTTCAGGGAGAGAATCAGACAAAACGGCCTGTGCCTGGCTTGGAGGCATCGGAGGGCGATCCTTTATCACTACAACACAGAAAGATGAAACAAAATAGATGTTATTTACTACTGTGTAAATATGTATTCTGTGCAGTGTTAGGTACAAAACCATGTTCAAATATAAAGTTGTGATTAGTTTACAGTGTACTTAACATTACAATGGCGGACTTGGGGTCATGGCTACACCTAAAATGTATAGAATATGAAACGTGTGACAGTCAATAGCCTGGACACTTTTCCAAGCATTACCTTTGGATTTTTGGATTGGACAGTATGATCTGTAGTGCACTAGTTTTAAATTGTACCTAAATTAGAAACTTTTATCATAATATATTTTGCATAAGGTTATGTAAAACCCTTGAAGTAAGATCTGACTCTGCCCCCTTGTGCAGAGTAGGTAAATATATAAATGTGAGTGTACCTATGAGTGCGAGCACAAACAGCCCCGTGGAGACAGCAGCGGTGCCATAGAACATGATTTGGATGTTTTGTGCAGTGCGTGCCTGGTCATCTGGAGTGTTTGGGACCAGGACTGGAGGCAACAGGAAACCTATGGCTGTACCCAACTGAAAAGAGACAAAAAGACAACATAATTCATTTAGTATTAAAAAAAAAAAATCATCAGGATAATCAGACAGGTATACAATTATAACCCTCAACTGAAATGCATGTTCTGAGTGAGTACTCAGAACACAATGTTCATTACTGCCTGGTATATTCCACCCGCTAACAGATCTCTCTCCAAAAAGACATATTGGCTTGTAACCCATCTTCCTTGATTTAGGGTTTTTAGACCACTTATGTGTTTGGTACCAACCTCATTTGGTACAATGTCATTCACAATATAACAACCAGTAATACCAATTATACATAAAGGTTGAGACATCAAAATAATTTGGTTTATATAATTGTAGAAACTGAAGAAAAATAATAATAGTGACTGAATTAAGTGATTTCAGTTCAATTTATACTCCAAAACATTATCTGGCCATTTATGTTGCATTAATTTTAGGAGTTACCCACTTTAGTTCTTACCTGGTTTCCTAACACTGCCGTAGCACAGGCCGTCGACACCTCTCTGGGCCCAAACCAAACAGAAGCGATTCTTGATGGCAGCCCCAAAATAAACACCTGTGCTACTGAGCATATTGTTTGTGCTGTAAATGTCAACCAGAACAGATTCGGGCTAACGCTAACACACTTTAGCCATGCTCCTGCGCAGTTTAAGCCCGATCCAAGCAGCGCTGTTAGCCTGAGCCCCTTGCGATCCAAAAGCCATGTAGCAGGAAAGATTAGTGGAACATAGGCCAGCATATAAATAATAGAAAGCCAGTCAATTTTAGAATTCTCCACTCCATAGAAGTGAGTGAAGATATTTGTGATGATGCTGTATTGGATCCATTGAAAAGCGTTGACCAGAGAGTACAGGCTGAACACAGTCAAAACAGCAAATCTTTGCAGGTAAAGTTTCGTCTCTAAAGTTCCGGGGTCCTCCTGGTCTTCTGAACTTTTGTCAGGTGACTTGGAGCTGTTAAAAGAAAAGTTGGAGACTATTGTTAGGAAGATACATTGGGCTGTAGGCTAGAGTTAAAGGCTATATTATGCTTTTTGGGGATATTTTGCATTAAACAAACAATCACATTTTGTTCAACCATTATAAACACCTTAAGAAACAGGTGCACTGACGTTTTATATGTTGGTTGTTTTTTTTTTGAAAATGCTGTGACATTTTTTAAACCTACATATATGACCCAGACTATAAATAGTAGAGATGTGGGTGAAGAGAGGGGGTAGGTAGAATTTTTTTTTAGCATTCAAGTCTCAAATGAAGGAAAATACAAGTTTACTCAAATATTAATCACCTGAAATACATCTTTGAGTAAGCTAATGATGAAGGAACATTGTTAAAACATGGTTATAGACTCATAAAAGTCAATTTTACGTAATCGGTCCCCTTAAAATTTAGTTGGTTCCTGTAGACTTTTGATGAGACTATGAACTTAAATGAAAAAAAAAATAAATAAAAAAAATCTTGATTTCATACACCATAATTTCCAAGCAACGTGTATGTAACCTTGTGCTTCCTGTGATGATACATTAAATACATTAAATTAAATTTTGTCTGCACATGTCCAATAACTTAGTAAAGGCTGTTTTGTACATAATTTTTCACTCAACAGAAGTAGCAGGAGCTATAGCCTATATCACAGATTAAAGATTAAACCATCTATTGATTCCTATGTTGTTGTGTATGTTAATGTTGATATAGACCTAGTATATTAGCCTACTGCTTACTATTGTTAATTATTAAGTTATAGCTTAATCAATGGGGTACTTCTAAGATGTGTATTTTTTGGTACTACAGCCCTTACTCCTGTTTACTTCATCTCCAATTGCAAATGTATTGCCCACAAGTACACATCCAACTCCAATTCCTCCAAGGCCTATGACACAAACTTGATAAAGGTTAGTAAATATGGGTTTAGGAGAGGTAACAAGATGGAGTGAGCTGTTTAACTTTTAATTGGCTCTAATATTAACTTGATTTAAAACTTTCAGACTTACTTAAATACCCAGCATATATGACTCAAACAAGACCTTGCACTTGAATTTGGTAAGTTTCATTTATTTCTCTACTCTTTTGACCTGAATGATGTTTGTGTTATGGAAAGAAATCCTTGTTCAAATCAGACTGATACAAAAGTGGGGTTAAAGTGTTTATAAATGATTTGATGAATACAGATAGATCTCTCTTATCTTATGATACATTTTTCGAAAAATGTAAAATACTAATTTCTATTAATGGTTATGATCAAATCTGTAATGCAATTCCCTCTCCTCTACTAACATATCCAAAGAACTTTACATTTTACAGCTATTACAAGAAGCTTGCCCACTTTAACCATCAAAGTGCGACAAAAAATGGTTTACCAAGGCCTTTAACCAGAAAACATTCTGTAACTTTAGTACCATCACAAGACTTGGAAAGCTCTTACTTCTTTAACTTTCATTTACTTTTTTTCATATCCCCTTTCACCCAAAATGAAAGAAACACATTTTGATATTATATCAGCTATCTGGTTAGACAGTTTAACTTTGATCTTGCACTTTTTGGTCTATAGAGAATGAAACTATTGCACACTTATTTAATAACTGTACATTTTTGTATGTGTTTTGGGTCAGTGTGCACAACTATATATACTTGAAAATTTCGTATATGTGATGTGAATAGTGATTTTTTACATTGAGAGATTAATTTATTTCATGGACAATCTGGACTGCCAAATTTATGATATTATTATTGAGCTTATAATTGTACTTGGGAAATATTTCATACAATTGTGTAAGTGGAAAGACTCCAGACTTGCCTTTGGCTGAATATTTTAAGTCACAGAAAATTGTACAAGAATAGTAAAGCTTTAAAAATGTACGATAACATGAAAAGGTCCTTACTATTTTATAAGTATTTTATGAGTATTTTTGCCTTGTCAGCTTTGGCCAGTTTTTGTTCGGTTTTTTCCCATGTCTGACACTGCATTTTTCAGGGTGAATAAAACGTAATATTATCGTTTGTATGTACCCTGACTGGTATTGTATAATAAAAAAGTAATTACGTGTTTATGAAGGGTGAAGCTAGCAGATCAAGTGCATGTTTCTCCGGATCATGTTGGGAAATGTGGTGCCATCTTACTGTCCCGCATCTCAGCAACGAAAAGCAAAAATCTATTTCCACCTAAGCCTATTCCACTTCAAAGTGTTTACAAAACATTTACATCCAACAAAATGGAGGTAGTCCCATGTTATAGCCTTCCTTACCCTGCTCCGTTCGGCAGCATCGCCTCGCGTTCATCCGCCTCTGTCTCTCCGTGCTCCTCTCCAGGGACCGGTGCTTGATGCTGGTCTGAAGCCGCTGCCTGTGCGTTCCTCCCCGGCTCCGGTTCGGGGCTCTTCCGGGTGACGGAGATCATGGATGGACTGCGGTCAGGTGTTGCGCCGCTATCCGCTCGCACATGCTCTTGAACCAGCTCACCGGCTACCATGATGCGATTACTGCCGCTTCAAGTACACGAAGCGAATCGGTGACTTCCTCATTCATTCAAACTATTCCTAAGCAGTGATATCAGGTGTTTAACAATACATATTCGCAAACTAAGTTATCCGGCCCTACATAGCGGGTATTAACACGCCCTGGTGTCGCTTCCGTATGCCAGCATGTCTCAGTCTGTCCAGTCTCTACTGTAGTCGCTGGTTTTAGTCCATATCCTTTGTATTAGCCCAGACCCGAGCCTTCCGATGCGCCTCATCCAATGAGCGCACAGCACAGGCTCACGACTGTGATACCAGCATGTGGAGGCTGACAGCAGATGATGCAACTCCAACACACCATGAAGGTCTATTTTATGTAGAAAATTAATCTCAAGAAACCGTAAAAGTGATAGTTGTAAACCTAGTATCGGCATTTAAACCGTTACTGTTCATCAAAGTGTCCATATTAGACTGTTTTCTGATCTCTGGTATAACGTTGTTTCCTCATCACTAGTTTTATGTTTTGTTTCATTCACACATGTTCAACACACAGACCTTACATATTTAGGAGTTCTTCTCTCAAACAGAACCCACTCTGTTCCACCTTGTGATGTCATGTGGTAATACAGGAAGTGCCCCACTGTGTTTTTAAACTCCATACACCTTCGCTAGACTCATTTGGATGATTTTACACCTGGAATTGTCAATCTCTATTGAACAAAAGGTAAAAGGAGCTGTCAACTTGAAAATGATCACTTCATGACATCACAAGGTGGAACAGCGCGTTTTGAGCTTTGGAGATGTAGACACTATAAAGGGTTACTCGAATGTGTAAATGAAACAAAACACAACTCCAGGTCTGTTCTGATGAGATAACAACATTATAACATGGCTTAAAGCTCACAACAGTCAATTTTAGGAGTTTAGACACATTTTGTTTTAGACTAGATTTTATAAAAGCCCTGATGATACTCTGGAAGCCAAATAGTCTATTGAAGAATTAATATGTATACTGTCATTTGTAAGAGTAGACCTAGCTGGAAAATTCACAAGGTGGGTTAGGAATCCTGCTGTTGTGCCTTCGGGCCAGACATCTCAGCAGCTCTGGGTGGAGTCTGCGTGCCTTCCTTTTTCCTATTAATTCATATTAGAGGGAGCCCATGAGAGGTTGGTGTAATAGTATATAAATAGTAATGCAAAATAGATCTCGACTACACGGGGTTGTAAGGAGAAACAGTGCAAAGATGAAATAGTGATTGACATGACACAGGGTTATCTACTACGACGGAGTATAAGGGTCAGATTTTTAAAAAAAAAAACTTGCTGGCGCTACGAGAATAAAGTCGTAACATTTCGACATTAAAGTCGAATATTATGAGAATAAAGTCGAAGTCAGAAAAAAGTCGTAATTTTATGAGAATAAAGTCGTAATTTTACGAGCATCAAGTCATAAATTTACAGGAATAAAGTTGTAATTTTACGAGAATAAAGTCGAAGTTAAAATAAAGTCGTAATATTATGAGAATAAAGTTATAATATTACGAGAATTAAGTCGTAATAAAATCAAAGTCAAAGTGAAAAATGCGGCAGAAGAAGAACCTTGTTTTTTAATATAAAACCAAAAATAAGAAAACAAACAATTTTCTTCATTATTTGCGCCTCCGGACTGAACCAGGACTGAACCAGGACTGAACCTAAACGAGGTCCGAGACCAGACCGGGACTGAGACCAGGACTTAGACAAGGACTGAGTCAGGGACCAAGACTGAGACCGGGATCAGACCAGGACTGAAAACGGTTTAGTCCTGGTTTAGTCCCGATTCAGTACTGGTTCAGTCCTGGTTCACTCCGTATGCGGCGCAATATTCCCGCATCGCATTTTAAAGTCACGGAAACGCCATTTCCCATTTCCGTGACTTAAACCAGGACTAAACTAGGATTAAACCGTTTTCAGTCCTGGTCTGGTCCCGGTCTCAATCTTGGTCTTTCTGGTTTGGTTCCAGACCTGATTTAGTCCTGATTCAGTCCTTGTTCAGTCGAATGAACGAATGATACACGGATTCTTCTCCTTTACAAAATGCTCCAAATTCTCCATTCTCCACTCGTTCATACTTTCCGAGCAGCCGATGTTCTCATAATATTACGACTTTATTTTGACTACGACTTTATTCTCATAAAATTACTACTTTATTCTTGTAAGTTTACGACTTTATTCTCATAATATTACGACTTTAATGTCCAAATGTTACGACTTTATTCTCGTAGCGCCAGCATTTTTTTTTTTTTATCTGACCCTTATACTCCGTCGTAATCTACTACATAAGGGTTGTTATACATTTGTATATAGTATATGAATGTACTGTGCTGTAGTATGTGAGTCTATAGTACAAGTCATAATCTTTCCCACCTCTGTCTTGTCTATTCTTCACAGGTCTATGACTTATTAGCTGTGTCCATATGTCCAGTCTAATACTTTAATCCTGGTTTAACCCACACTAACTCTGTCATTCACAGCTCCATTCACTCCAGTCTCTGTCCCCACAGGATATAACTAAAAAACGTTGACTCATATTCAAATATAAGGCAGCAAAGGCCACACCCTATTTACACTAGATCGGGCAACCCATTATTAACAGAAGAGAGCAGGAAAAGGTTAGTGAATTAGAGCAGTGTCGTTTATCTTCTGTGCAGTTTCTGTGGCATTAGCCTATCTCCTGGCTATCAGTAAAGACGGGGGGCAATTTATTTTTTTTTCCATGGAGCCACATGAGAAACAGAAAATATTGTGGAGGGCTTAACTCAATTCTGCATAATATTAATTGTATTTCTTTTGTTAAGCGTGTTGTATCAAAAATTACTAGACTCAATCAATTTAAATTACAAAAATCTATTCCCCTGCCAATACAATTCTAATGCAGAGCTCTGGGTCAAATCGCTGTCCCTGATGGCCTCTACTTATGCAGGTCTTACGCCAGGCAATCTGACTCCCTGCCTTTCCCTCCACCCAGATAAATAATACAACAGTATGAATATGCATATAATATGTTGAGCAAGTTCACGCCTTGAATCGTCCTTGAAGTGTCAGCATTTCTTCTTTGGGGGAAGTGACAACCCCCACCAAACCATTGTAAATCACACCAAGTCTGCTTAGATCAGCCAGCCTGGGTTAACTTCACAGTCCCAGTTCTGTAAAGGAATTTGCTTAGAGGCACATAAGTTACCCATTATGTAAGATACACAATAGTATTTTTCAACAGATAAGATTTCAGTTTTTAAGCTTCAACTCAATGTGTAACTTCATTAAACAATATTCAAACCACCCTTGATGCAGCCTTCACTTTATAAAATGCAGTAAATAGCATTGTTTTGACAAGCTGCTAACACTGGTAAGAGTCTAGGTTATGACTAAGCAATGAAAATTTGAGGTTGCCTTATAAAACGTCATAAAATGTCATTTAAAAACACACCTCTAAAATAAAAGCAATACATCTTTAGTCCATGCATGAGGTAGAATAAAATGTTTAATATTTTGTAATTTCAAATTAGCTTAAATGGGATGGTCAGGGTCAACCAAAGGACCATATGTGGCCTCGGAGCTATACAATGCCCATGTCTGAGCAAAGAGCTTGTGGGTTGGATTCTTGGTGTCACTAAGCAGAGAAATGTACTTAAACATGACTGAATGTGAGAGTGAACAAGAAATGTGTTCTTGTGAGCTTTAAGACATGTTTTAATGTTGCACAGTGGAGCACTTCATGTATTACCATATGACATCACAGTGTTTTCTGTTTGAGAGAAGGACTCATCCTAAATATGCAGGGTTTGTGTGTTTAACATGTGAGAATGAAACAAAACACAACTTCAGGAATGTTTTTGATGAGGAAACAACATCATAACATAAGTCAGAAAATAGCATAATATGGACCCTTTAAATATTGGTCAGAAAAAAGTATTCTGAGGGAGTCTATTGTAGTTATTTGAACATGACACATTTCTCAGGAAGATTAGATTTCCTGTAACCTCCAAACAACAGGAGGGAGGTCTAACTCTGTCTCAGCTTTCACAAACTATCTGCACAAAAATATTATTCCACATGCAGGAGGCTGGTACACATTTTGCTTATAATTTTGACAAAGTAGGCCAAATATCTGTAGAAAAACAGTCTATGTAGAGCAACAAGTAAAGCATGAAGTTATACCAGCAATGTATAAAGGTAGAGAAGGTTTGTTTTTTTTAGACACTTGACATCAACTATATTCAATTAGTCAAAAGTCTACATAAGATTTCGGTTAAAGGTGCACTGTGTAACTTTTCTGATAGAGGGTCCACTACCTGCTTGTCTCCATGGAGATGGTATTGCTTTGCCTAACATTCATTACTGGTGTTTCAATTGCTCAAAAATACAATAATTGCTTATGTGAATAGGGGCAACTCTCCTCAGATATGAATTGTAATGTACAGTAGTGCTTGTCTCCCTCATGATATATAGGTTTAATCTATACTGTGGAACAGTATACAGACAAAGTATATTTAGGCTAAGCTCTTCTCTCAAATAGAAAACACTCTGTTCCACCTTGTGATGTCATGTGATAATACATAATGTGCTCTACTGTGTTATTAAACTCCACACACCTTCGCTAGAATCATTTGGATCATTTCTGCCCTGAAATTGCCAGTCTATACTGAACAAAATGCAAAATGTAGCTGTTAACTTGAAAACTATAACTACATGACATCACAAGGTGGAACAGAAGATTTTGAGCTTTGGAGATGTAGACAGACTAATAATAAAGGGTTACTCAAACATGTATGAAGGAAACAAAATACAACTCCAAGGATGTTTTTGATGAGGTAATGGAATTATAACATGGCTAAAAGCTCCCAAGAATCCATTTTGTGTAATATAGGACCTATACAGCTGATTTAAGATTTTCCACAGTCAATCATTATTTATAAGGCATTTCATTCATTGTTTCCATCCTGAGCCATCGCTGTAACCCTAACCCTCTCTGATCGTCTTCAGTTTCTCATCACTGTGGAAACCTGTACATCACAAACTACCACTGAAAACACATCAACAACAAACCCTGTACATTTCTTCTTTCGTGAGCTCCTATCCACTCACTTTAATATCATACCAGGATGCCCCACCAAGATGAACAAGCCTTACTGGAGTTGAATATGCACAGAGAGACATGGTGCCAGGTGGAAGGCGGACCACGTCAGTCCTGGAACCGAGCCCAAAGAAAGCACTACAGAAAACACCTGAAGACCAGCTCCAGTCTGGATCAGGCTCTGAGGGGTCAGAACCAAGCCAGGACCTCCCGTCTGGACCACCCTGCATCCGCTCCACTGGCCCAAAGGCGGCACTTTGAGGACAGCTGTAAGAAGTACTATATACTTACGTGAATATACGTGACAGGAGAGACTAAAATTACCGACTACCATTACAGGTGTTGGACTACTTTTTCTAGAGAGAGTGCTAGACAATTTAGGTAAAGGTCTTTTAAAGGTACGTAATGTAATACAATCGAATTAGCTAATTATTTCATTGGATACACGCATAGGGATTTATTCAAGTATGTTACAGTATGGTACAGTAGTCCAAAATAGACAAAACTATTCCATATAGTCATAAAAATGTGAACAGTCATTAACATAAGGAAAATGTTGCATTAAGGGAGTTAAAAGTTGCTATAGGCTTAAGGCTAGATGTAATTATACACTACACTCACAAAAAGCTTTTCTTTTATCTTCTGTTTTTCAGATTATTCCCACCTGGTGTAGACTTCTGTGACTGGACTACCTCAAAAAAGAAGTGTTCATATGTCCTTTTACAAATATTTATTTGATCAAAACCATACAAACCGTACAGTATCTTTAATCAAAACCATACAGTATCTTTTGTGTTTTTGTTTCTTTTTGATTCTTGGCTGTTTATGGTTTGTTTCATTTGCCATTGAGAAGTTTACACGTATAGAATTTATGATCCCTCATATGGCTAAATTGTCATGGTCTCCTTCATATATTCATACATAAATATAAAAATAAATTCTGCTTTAATACTATGTCCGCCGCACCTCATCCTCCACCTGGCTGTATCAAAGTTGGTTGATCTTTGTAAAAAGTCTCTGAGCATTTTGACTTGTGACAAACTGAACAGTTTCTGTGGACAGTCCTTTAATCTGGGCGATGTACTGACAAACCAGGCCGATGTTGCATGGTTCATTTCTCTCCTGTAGAACACAAAAACAATTATTTTTTAACATACTACAATACTGTGTTTGAATGACAAATTTACAAATCTAACAATAAACCAGTGTTTCCATTAAATATGACTCAGTTCAAAGTTCATTTTTTTGTGTACTTGTATTGAATCTACTAGTATTTGAATAGGCTGTTTAAATGATACATAACTCAAATTGTCTTCAGAGTTGAGACAAACTTAAAAAATACATACAATTTCTATAAATAAACAAGCTAATTTTAAAATTTGAGTATTAGAATCAAAATCACAATGTGTAGGAAAACCTAACTTCGTATTATATCTTCCGTGCGTTCTGTATTGTTATACTTAATATCTAGATTCTACCTCTACATACATATCTTCAAAAAAATCTATTTGAACTACTCTACATTGCATTGTCCATTCCTGTCTAATACAGTACCATCATGTTGCACATACATGTTTGTTTAGGCCTAAAGCTGGAGAGTCCGTTTCCAGGCAGATGTGCTCCAGTGGGATCTGCTTTATCAACTTCACTTTCTGCAAATAAAATGGTAATTTAATTGTTTTTACTACTAAATAGAACAAAACATCAGCATGTACCTGTGGATTGGTGCAAACAGCTGGAGGGAAAGAAACAAAATATCCAGCTTTGATTCCATCAAACGCCACTGACAGCTTTCCGGCAAAATTATGAAGCAGAGCACCAGTTACACCTGAGTAAAGATATTGTATAAATTAGTAAAATATCTGTAATATTGTTAATATGTTTGACCTCACCCTGTTCTTTCATGGTGGAGATGGTAACTTTAGCTGCTGACCGAGAATGGACATTCCTGAGAGAAGAGAATAGGTAATTTATTAGTAATGAAATTCCACTCCACTTTTTAAACTACCAACTGGAAAATATATAAAAGTTAGGGTGTGATTTATCTGCTATGGTCTTAAGGTTCAGATAAGATTATTTTAGTCTTTAACGAAAGTTTTTTCAAATGCCGTTTAAATTGAAGTAATGGCCCGGAGTAAGGTGTGTGGTTCTATCTATTAGTGTTATTTATTAAAGGTACAAGTAATAGTATGGTAAATATAATGCAATAGTGTGATAGGTTTTCCCTGTGTTGTCTTTGCCATTGCATTTACACAGGGAGGTTGAGCTCTTTGGCGACCTCTAGCTGCTGGACAAAGACCTTCATCTGGTCATCTTTTTCCTGTTCAGATGGAGCAAACCACGGAGTGAAGTCCAAACCAATCTGAAAACACACAGATTTGGGTTAGGATATAAGTGCAAACATGGGCAGCACATGCAAACACAAAATCCCGACATGGTCCAGGATTCAAACCTTAGATGCATAACTTAAAGCTATAAAAACAGCAAGGCGGACAGAGTGGTTCTGTTGATTTAAAGTGTGAAGAGTAAAATCTGTTTTAAGACACATTCCCCTGACAGACTCCACAGCAACACTAAAGTCAAAGAAGCCTGACACCAGAGACAACAGAGATTAAAGACGGTTAGATTCACTGCAGTGGGAAACAGTGATTTTGCTCAGGGTTTCTGCAAAGTCACAAAACTTTTTATATACTTTAAGCAGTGTTATTTAAGCTTTTAATGGTTTTGGGGCTTTTAATAGTTTGTGAATATTAATGAATCTGTGAATTTATGATGAAAAGAATCTGTACATTGCTACATGGACTAAAGGCAACTTAATAAAGATAGAGAAAAAAGTTAAAATAGTAATACCTCCCCAATAGCAACCAGCTCTTCACTGTGTTGGTAGAAATATGGTAGTGCAGCTTCCAGATCCTGAAGAAAAAAAAATACAACTTTTTAATTTAATAACATTATATAAAATGCATCTAATTTTTAAGTTAATATGTTATTAAATGTTATTTATTCTGAGGGAGTTTTTAAGAGTGCAGTTAGCATTGGAGGAAAGGTCACACCATGCGCCTGAATATACCACCCAGATTGAAAAGGTTAGGATAACCAAATTAAAATACACTCTGTATTTGAGTTACATTTACCTGACCTCTGTCCAGCCAACTGATAGCTTTGAGCCATTATGGAAAAAGTTACATCCCATTCACTACTGCCCCTCAGTTCTGTTGAATTACTCCCTTTGACTGACTGTTTTTGTAGCTTTACCTGGGGCTTCACACTGCGTTTGTCCGGACCCCCATCGCTCTGAAGAGGATGGACCCCAAAACAGGGAGCTATCAGAGCTCCATAACTGTGGAACACAAACACAAAATAGAAGAACACACAGAGGTACCAAAATATACACTATCACCCCAAGTAAATATGTTCTTTGTACAAAAACATGGTATTGCCTTGTTTTATTATCAAGTCAGTAGTAGTATTAGTAATTGTACTAATAGTATTGTTACATTTATCAAAGTGCATTTTACAATCAGAATGAACAATGAAGGAAAGATAAAAAGAGAAACCTTTTCTTGAGCTGTAGAACCCTGTCAAACTCTCTCTGATCTTCTGTTACTGCCACAAGAGTCTTAACTCCAGCCTGAAATCAGTCAGGCACATAAATCTGCTCATACAATTCTCTCTGCTAATCAACTTAAATCTTATCAACACCAACCTGTGTGGTCCTCTTAATTACATCGTCCAGGTCCTGCAAAAAGATCAACATAAACTCGCAACTATGCCGTGTAGCGATATGCCATAGAATTTAACTGAACTAACCTGTGTTATAACGTTGTAATTTGGCCTTTGCAAATGAACACAGAACAACACACTTACCTGTTCAAACTCCTGCGCGGATATGTGACAGTGGCAGTCTACAAAGCCATTCTCCATCGGAAACGAGAAACAATTTTCTTTATGGAATAACGGAGTGATGTTAGTGATGTATTTGATTTATTTGATGTTAGTATCGCTAAAACTAAAATACCCGCGTTAGTGTTGAGGAACGTTTGCGATTTACATTTGACAGAACCACTGAGGCTGACGGACCAGGAACTGACGTAAATGTTTCCGGTTTAAAAAAATAAATAAACAAAAGTTGGCGGTAAAGATGGAGGCCGTGCAACCCGACAAAATCTCCTCAGAAGATCCCAGTACTGAATATAGGATTCAGGTCCGGTCCAAGAAACAGGTGCAAGAGCAGATAGAGCGATATAAAGAGCTTTTAAAGACAGTTTTAGACGGACAGACGGAGTTAGCAGCGGATACGAAGAGGGAACTTCTTGGAGAATTGCTGGCGGTGGGTCCACCCGAGCTTACTGAATGTATTCAGTTAATAATACATTTTAAAAGTAGAACATGCATTTCATATATGATGGTGGATTGTTCAAAGAGAAGATATTGTTTAACGTGAAATAAAACGGTTTTGATTGGTGCTACAAAGTATGTTTCTATATAACAGTTCACTCTGTAGTGGCCTGTAGGTTTTTTTTTTATTATTTTGCTTGTATGGAAACAATGAGTAATTTCATTTACCACTTAACTGCCGATTAATGTGGTAATTTTGATTACTGCAGAACTTTGAAGCAGCAGTTCAGGAGAATGTTTTGGTGAATGGTCAAACTTGGAGTGATGCTCCCGACGACGAAGGTAATCTACAGTAACTTTCTTCGCTCCACTGTTAAAAAGAGTCTGGTTGTAGCTCTCCACCCACAAGACCCAATCTGCAGACCTCCACCAACAAGACCGTATCCTGCAGAGCAAAAAAAGACTGCACCTCCTCCACCCTTATGTCCCTCACCATTTTCATTTATTTACTCTTAATAAGCTAATTAATTTGTTTTCTTAATCAGTTTTTGCCTTAGTTCGCTATTAATATTTATTAAATAATAATTTCTATTTTTGCACAAAATTTTATATATATATTTGTACAGTCATAAATATTTACATATAGTGGGGTTGTGCTCTGCAGCCTAATCCCACTAACTGCTGGATACTCAAGTGTGTACTTTATGACTAAGTTACTGCATGTTTGAATTCATGTTTTTATGCAAACTGAAATATTTTCCACTTAACAGAGCATATTTATTTAGTTGTTTCTAAATGTCTTATGTTGGTGTATTTAGAGGAGGTTGACCTGGAGAGCCAGTTGGACGATGTTATTGTAGAGACTAGCAGAAAACGGCGAACTTACCCCAGAAAGATCTTACCCCACGTGGTTCATGCTCTGAAGGCTGAACGCAAAATAATGGTGAGTTTCTACACAGAACAATACAGTATTTTGGAAAAAGACATATCAAGTGCTTGGTAATAGTACCTGCAAAGTTCCCTGAGATTTGATTTACACTATAAACAACCCATATTAAATAACATTTCTAGTTAAAAAATATTAATAATAATAATCTGAATAACATAAGACCATAGTAAAACCAGAAATCACTCATTTCAGTTTTCTTTCAGGGTCTTTATGAAAAGACAATACAACCACAAGACATGCCCAAGGATACAGAACAAGGTACAATTCCTTTTCTTTTTTTTTAATTTACAGAAACATTCTAACAAAAAATGTGGGCAAAACAAAAAGATATGTGGTTAATTTTCAGAAGTGGTAAAGTTTAAAAGTTTCGACTCTGGTGAAAGTTTCAAATGTCCATTTTAAACAGAAGTGGTTCTTCCTGACTGGCACAGGAAAATAACTTGCCCAAAAAATAAAGCTAGTGCATTTTAGCATAGGGAAAAAAAAATACATAATTTTAAGATTGTAAATTTGCTTACTGTTATTTGCAGTTTTTTAGTGCTTGTATGAGTTATTTCAGTGTTTTAAATTAAGCTAGTCCCTACAGTCTACTTAGAGCAGTTGAGGATGTGTTGCTATGGTGATGTCATGGCGATGGCAGCAGAGCAGTGGTAAGCAAACATTAAACAACGAGGAGCAGTGCGTTAAAACTGCAGAACGCACAGCTCCAAGTTGTATAATGTGCTTTGATTATACCACGGCAACAAACTGAAATTTCTCACTTATGAATGTGAAAAGCCTGCTCCCTGTCTGTAAATGTCCAAAACATCAGTTATTTCAATGTGTTAAATGATGCTAGTCCCTACATTTACCCACAGCAGTTGAGCATTTGTTTACGTTTATGTCATGTGTGATGGCCACGGAGTAGTGATATAGAACAGTGATTTACCTGTCGCCGGACTACTTGTGCGTTATGCAGTATTAATGCAGGGCAATTCTCACTGATCATAATATAATATATTTTAAACTGTATGTGATTTCTAGAGAGTATTATGAAAATGCTGTCGGCAGAGGCTCCTGGATTGGCAAAACAAGCTACTCAAGTCATAAAGGTAAGAAATTATGCAATAATAGTTTAACTGTATTTCTAAAATGATTATTATACTTTTAGTATCTAAATTTTTTTTTTCTCTGTTCAGTCCATCCAGACCCTACAGAAACAAGCTGAGGGCCTGTGTCAGATCCTCAACTCAAAGCCAAGTGCGGCATCTTTAGAAATACACAGAGAAGTTTTTGGAAACTGTGATGAATCAGATGCTTTTGGCCCACCCTTTAAACACCAGGAGCCAATTAGGAGGCTTGCAAAGGAGATGTCTGCTGCAAACTGCTACATACCACTGGATAAGAAATACGGATGTAATGCAGCAGAATAAACTACACAAACTGCAAAAAGGATATTAAGACAAGCCTGGATTAAAACATTTTATGGGCAATAGTTTTTGTAACACAACCTTAATCTGGACTTTATTTTTTAATGTACACTTAAAAATTGTTGTCATATTTTAAATACAAGCATTTGTGCCGAGCCTTGCATCATGTCTTAATTTTTCATTTAAGAAATTACTAACAGTACTGCAATCTCCTAAGATTACATCAAACTTTATTATGTTTATGAACAGAAATGTCTTCACTAATATGGTAATATTAGCATTCTTTAATGTACATGTTTGTATACAAGCATATTATTTAAAGCTGAAGATAGCTCATTTTTTGGAACTGTTTCTTTAAAATTTTAAAGGTGGCATTAAGAAAGAAGATAAACAGTGGTACTTGGTGTGAAAAGTGAATTCTATACCTGTAAGAAGTCTCCAACCCTTTACATTATACTTCTGTAACTGTAAAACAACAATTGAAAAATAAACTAAAATAAAGCTTAGAGCAACACAGTATACAGAATAAACCTCACTGAAAACTCCTGATTGCCGGTGGAGTGCGTCATGTGACTTACTTGCCTGTTCCTCCCAAGTTCTTTTAAAAGGGCAGTGCAACCAAAGCTGAAGTGAAAGTTCCCCTCCACAGCCTTCTCTGGACTCTGCTTTGTCCTCTCCACATCAACTACAATCGAGTGTCACTATACAACTTACTTTAACCACAGGGATTTGAAACACTGAGCTGGATTGAACCTATAAAGTCTGTCTGAATAATGTCATCTCGACCAGAACTCAAGATTTGTGACACGTTGGAGGTAAGTCAGTAAAGAAGATTTTGTTGTCATGATTTTAATTTAATTATAATTTAATTATGTTCTCCAGTTTTAGTTATGGTACCACTTAAAGGTGCACTGTGTAACTTTTCTGATAGAGAGAATTTGTAATCTGCTTGTAACTATGGAAATGTTAATGCTTTGCCAGAAATGTTCCACAGTATGGCATTAAACTTATCTGACCTATAACTTCTTGTGATGTCACCTACTTTTGTGCAGAGGAGGATGACTTAATGACAAACTTGAACTTTCTAGATAAAGCAAAAACATGGACCCTCCACCAGAAAAGTTACATAGTGCACCTTTATCTTCAGTGAGGTTTTCTCCTTGATAGTGATGATTGTTTGTGACAGGGGGCAGAGGATGAAGGGCGGAGGATAAAGAGGAGAGAGAAAAACAGAGTTGCAGCTCAGAAAAGCAGAAAAAGACAAACTCAGAGAGCGGACCAGCTTCATCAGGTCAGTGTGCACCAAAGTTCAATCTTGTTAGTACATTATCAGTGATTTGTATAAAGAAGATATAGTTATGCATTTAAATGTCATTTTCTTCAGGCCTGTGAACATCTGGAGCAGAGAAACAGGAAACTCAGGCAAGAGGTATCACGATATAGAAATTGATCTACTTTGAAAGTGTTTGTAGAATTAAACATACAAAATTGGTAGTTCACACCAAATTTTTGTTTTATGTACCATATTAATATGGCTAAAATATTAATGGCAAAGTGTTTTGTAAGGAATTTCCAAAATGTACTCCAAAATACAACTAATAACTAAAAAGATCTAATGCAGGACTTAAGTTGGAATAAGTTAGCTCTAACCCTGGATGTAACTGTAGACTTGTAGAATAGGTAGAGGAGCAAGTGTATGTTAAATGCTTGATATTTAAACTACATAAACCAATGGATTGAATAAGTGAATTTTGTGAAATTGTTATCGACAGGTGGACTCACTATCTGAAGAACAGCGTCTCCTCTCAGAAGCTCTCCGCAGTCATGAACCATTCTGTCTCATAATGCACTGCTCCTTCTCCTCAAACTCCTCCAGTCTGCAAGGGGACAGTATAGTTGCCCTGTCCCATTGAGAAGCAGATTTTCTAAGTTATACTATGTAAATAAAATAAATAAAATTAAATACATTTAGTTTTTTCTCTTATCATTTAAAGTAATACAGCATTTGTACACACTCCATAGGCTTTAGAAAGTCTGTTTGAAAAGTTTTCTGGTATATTGTTACTCTTAGCCATTATAATTTTAACAACAATAAGAGCCATAGTATATGGCCAACATTTGTATTACAGTTACATACACCTGACTACATCTTTTCATAATGATACTCTGCATGAAACCCACCTGTGGTTTGACTTTTAAAAACCACATCACTCTGGTCAGATTTACAGGTCCGACATTTTCGCTCCATTTTGAAAAATGTCACCACAAAGATGTCTTTTTCACTTCAACTTGTGGCTAAAGGGACAGGCTATTTATAGAAAAGAAACCAATTTGGTGCAGTGAATACTTTCTACTGAAGTATGGTGTGCTATGATGTATCAGAAAATATATGTCACTAACATTGTTCCATTCCATTTTCTTCCGCTTATCCGGGGACATTGTCTGAATTTTGTTGACTTGGCATATCTTAAAAATTCAAATGTGTTACCAATGCTTTTTGATAAAATGTTTGATAAATAATACTTAAACTCAAAGCGTTTCTACATAAAGCTAAATTTCACTGTTCCAGTTGAAAAAAAAAAAACTCAGATTCATAACTTACACTGAAAAAATGTAAAAAAAAAAAAGAAACAAAAAAACATTTGGAATTTCACAATATTATTTAGTTTTTCTTTCAGTTGGTCACCATCATTACTAAGTTACAATCTCCCATTACAACTTTACAAAATGTGTATTAAAACCATAAAAATTACAAAACAAATCCCTAAATTATACACTCACAAGCAACTTTTTTTTTCATACATTAACTTTTCTGCTGGCAATAAGCCTGCACATTCACCATAGTTGGTACAAAACTCATAAAATCAGTAAATTACAAGGCAGTCTCTTCATCTATTGACTGTAGCAGCTGTTGTTCAATCAGACTACATTTCCCATGATGCAGTGGTCCATGGTCAATGTGCATTTCATTCTGTGACATGGGGGAATTGTCTCTGTTTTATAGTCCTTTAGTCATAAATGTATGGTTATTTCTGCAGCTCTTGGGGCATGCTAAAAGTCTCATAAACGTTAGCTGCAAACTCTTTCACCTGGTCGTTCAACAGTAAATCCTAAAAGACAACACAAAGAAAAGAAAATGTCATGAAATACCAAAATAAGGAAAAAGAAAAGGAATTAACAATTTAGTATAAGATTTTACCTGTACAAAGTGACTGGGTGTCTCGCTGCAAATAGTGTTAATCTGTCCATTAATGATGGGAATGATCTTGGCCAGTGGTAAACTCACTGCAGATAAACTACAGACAGAAACATGGTTTACAGTAAAAGCGATTAAGTAGATACAGCTAAAGCAATGGACTAAATGGGATAAGGAAAGTGAATAATAAACTTGTAAATAATTGTCAAACTTCTTTATTGCAACTGCTTTTTTTTTTTTCGCACAGATGAGATTCCTGATTGAATACGTGTTATTATTTTCAACACATCCATAATTGAGTAAAACTAAAAAGCAGCATGCATGTCTTGGATAATGGTTCCACTGGGTTTCCATCTCTCCTACACTAAAAGGGCATCTTAACTTCAAACATGTTGTCCACTTAAAAAGTTTTAAGTTAACTTGATAACTTTTAGAAAATTATGTTACTATTCTACTCTGCACAAGGCATTTGATGAAACACTGTTAGACCATGGAGAAGGCCCATAGTTAGATGTGTTTACCTGTCTGGTGCAGAACTGGGATCAGACTCAATGGATGGAGATCTAAAAAATGTGGCCAGGTTGTCAAGGAGACGAGAGAAACCACGGTTCAAACAGGTATGAAGGACTTTTGTGAAATCTGGGCTGTGAGCACAAAAATTGTATTTCAGACATAAAACAGCTGTAATATGATCAGCTGTTCAAATATAATGTGTGACCACAGTATGATTTACCTGTCCAACATGTCTCTGGTCTCATTCAGGAGGCGGATTGTCATTACATCATTTTCAGTCAAACCACATGCCTGAAGTCCAAGAACAAAATGTATTTAATGTTTAAATATTCATTTTACACCTGTGTAGTGCAGAGTCTTGTAGGGAAATATTAACCAGAGCCATTCTTAGTTACCTGGTCTGCGAGAGCTTCCTGGTCATCTGCTAACATGTACCAGGACAGAGGATGCTCAGAGGCCTCCACCTCAGCTCTTATCCAACTGATCTGCTGCTCCAGCTCCAGCAGAGACAGGCTCTGCTTCAGGGACACACTGTGGGAAAGGCAGCCAATGCATTAAAACAGGAGAACTAAGTGTAAAATATTCAGGAAACTTATTGGCAATTTACAAATACAAATCTGTAATCTGCATGATGATTATTTTGTACACACATACTTTTCTAGTGAGTTCTGCACAGCTTTCTTCACCACTGTCATAAGTTCTATTAAACCTGAACAGAGACAAATGTAAGTGAGAATTTATAAAATACATATATTAACTTAATATAAAACAACATTATTTTTATTAAAATAAGAACGAAACCACATCTACTAAGACAAAACAGTTTCACATACCGTCTCCTAATAAATGCTGGATACTGGACAGATACTGCTGCTGGACGTCGGGAGGAGCCATGGGTGCCTGAGAACAAGAACCAGTCTTAAACATGATTTCTACAGAAGCCTGAGTGGGACAAAACTGAACTTGTGGGAACTGATATTGATATAAATTAAACACCATAGCTTAGTGGTTTGCCCAAGTGGTTTCACTAACAAACAATCATTACTCATATTATTTGTGCACCTGAAAGCAGAATTAAACTACAGCAGCCTTAAGTTCAAAAAAGGTTCAAAAAGTTTTATAGTCACTAACCATAGTGTTCTTGTTGGCAGAGTTGTCGAGATACAAGTATCCTCCGATGATGTTGAGCTGGACTCGAAGTAGCACCACTAACATGCACGTACTGTAGACAGCAACAATCGTACGAGTAAAACCTACAAAAATAATAATGAGGTTATGTACATATATTGCAAGTCTTTATATCTCTTTATGGCAATTTCAGTACAGGCCAGCATCTACATTTTTAAATACAGAAGAACTTACTGATTATTTTTAAGTCCTCCCAGATTTCTAGCTTGTTAGCAGGTCTAAAAAGAGAAGAAAGGAAATCTTAAAATGTAAATAATTTTTTACTTAAATTTGGTTTAACATAGACAAGTGAGAATGAGGAGCTATGGTTGTATACAGACATACACTTGAGAAGCAGTAATAGCAGAAGAACTACATTTACTCACTTGGTCTTAAGCAGCGAGGTCAGATTCTCAGAGTTGAGCTGAGCTACAATGGCTTCTTTAAGAGATGGAAGCATGGATAACACTGAAACAATACAAATGCAAATGTTTTATAATGATGAGATTATGCAAAGAGAGTTAATTATTGTCATTGCAGTATCTATAAAATTAGTATGCATTTTTTCACTTGTCTGTGTATATACTGTGTGGCAGTTTACTGTATTTACCAGTCATGTTGCAGGTCCTCTGGTTGCTCTCAAAGTGGAACTGTCTTCGAGCCTGAGCGATGTACTCATTAGCTTCTCTCTCCTGGATTTCCCTGATCTTCCTCTGCGCATATTTACCCATGAAGTACACACCTACAAAAACAAGGGAGAGGGATCTTGCCATAATGGATTACTTAAAATATAATACACAATCACATGTTTTCTGTGACATACAGTATTCTGGGTCACATCTTGTCTAAATAATCATCTACATTATTTAGCACTTTGTTTTCAATGAATGAGTGTGACAAGGGGTTGTGCCTCCCTTGTGCTCCATTTATAAGATTCGATTACAGATACATTTTATTTTAATAAGCAGCTTTGCTCCATCGGAGTAATAGAACTGTTTAGTCTGTTCTCTAAATATATGACACTAAAAATTAAAACATGAATAAATCACTCCAAGTTGAACAATTAATAAAAGAGCAATATATTTAAATGTACAATGTTTAACACATGATGATACCAAAATGGGTTGTGTTTAATACAACTGACGTTTGAAAAATATTAGTAGTCATATATTTTATTATACAATTTTACACTGATTTTAGTAGTTTGTAGAGCAGCTAAATGCTAAGCTAAACTTACCACCAACTACTGCACCGGCGAAAATGAACTTCCTTTTGTGGCGTTTAATAAAGTTCCAAGTTGAAGAAAACATCCTCTTATCGTAAGCAAAGACTGCAGCCTAAAATGCACTTAAATTATTGATCTATTTGACAAACATGTTGACTTGACAGTTTCAGCGATGGGCAACTTTCTGCTAAACACGCTAGCGGTCAAGTGAATGAAGACTACACTAGGGGGACGGAAGTATGGCTACCAAAATAAAAACTTTGTTTATTGTGAACCCAGATTTAGTTTTAACAATATTCTGTTCGTTAGACTATTATTACTAGACAAGTGCAATTCAAAATAATGTAAGTATTGCGGAAAAAACATCAAATAAACCAGTCTATTTATGTTATTTTCAAGCAAATACCGGATATGACAAGAACTCACTGATGTTGCTTTATCGAGTGATCTGATTGGCTCTTTTGTGAGTTAGTCCGATCTTTATTTTGCTCCCCCTACACTTCTAGAGCATGGTCGCGAACATGAAATAGTTTTGTTTGAGGGATTGATAAAACTAACTATCTAGTCAATAATCTGAGGACTGCGATGGGAACGGAAGGAGTTTGTGGAGAGAGTTTTTACCCCCGCGATGAAGAGATACAAAAGTGGATGGACAAGGCGTTTGATATGGTAATAAGATTGTACATGTAAAATGGAATAAACTCTTATTAAACATTATAATGTAGCTAAAACTTGCACTACTATAATAACAAATAAACAAATGTAAAAAGTAATAAGCGCTCATTAACACAGACTGACGATCTGTAACAAACAGCATTTGCTTTTTGGCTCACATACTGTTTTGAAATATTTTGTTTTTTGAGCTCAGTTTTTAGCATCATATTCATTCATTCATTCACAACTAAAAAGTGCAGCATATGCAGTTCAAACGATACAAGTAAGGGACTATTGGATTTTGTGAAATTAGTTGTTTGCTTTTCTCGTATCCATGGCGACCGTGCAAGGGGCTTGTCTCTTTTTGAGATGCGACAGGCTTTTTACACCATATGTGATAGTTTATGTGGCAGAAGACATCCAGAGTCAGTACTTTGAGGGAATGAACATATCTCTCTCTGATATTGTGATTGTGTGAAATACTATAACTTTTTCTTTTTCCTGTATCCATGGAGACTGTGCAGGAGGCTAGCTAAGGAGCTATGGACATTTGAGATGCTACAGGTTTTTTACACCATATTTGGCAGCAGATGTGGCAGAGCACTTCTTAGAGGAAACACTTTGAGGGAGTGAACCATTTCATCGCCAACTGAAACAACTGAGAGGAGTAACACTGAGGCCTTTCCTGTTGTGTTCACATGGCTCACTTTTGGCTGTTCCTCTCATCAAACTGCCCTGACACAGATCTGCTGACCCTTTCTGACCAGTCCTCCGTTAAACTGCACTGAGACTTTTGACTGAGACACAAAGCCTTGAATTTACCTCTGGATCAATAAAGCATCTCTTTCTCTCGATCTCTTGCTCTTTCTCTCTCTCTCTCTCTCTCTTTCTGCATATTGCAGGCTAAAGATGCTCTGGCAAATGGAGAGGTTCCTGTTGGATGTCTTTTGGTTTATAACAATGAAGTCATAGGGAAAGGAAGAAATGAAGTTAATGAGACAAAAAATGTAAATATTTATGATAATAATTTATAGTTTTTATCATGTTTTTTTTTTTTAATGTATACCTCTTTTTTTCAGGCCACTCGTCATGCAGAGATGGTGGCCCTAGATGAACTCAGAGACTGGTGTGGACTCAAAGGTTTAGACATGAAAACAGTTTGTGACAAAACGGTGTTGTACGTCACAGTGGAGCCATGTATCATGTGTGCTGCTGCGCTAAGACTCTTCAGTATCCTTCAGTAAACAAGTACACAAGTGAAGAAGAAGAATCCTACTGTGACTGCAGACATTTGCATTTGTTGTCCAGCAAAAAAGACCCCATATATAATTCGTTTAGATGTTTTCACAATGTCCTCAGTTTTGTCCAAAAAAATAAATAAATAAAATAAAAAAAAATAAAAATAATAATAATAAACAATAAAATACAACAATAGGTCAATCCTTCAACTAGTTTCTCGTGACCAAGATTTGGGCCCACATCTGGTCCACTGCTCCTGACCGATTTAACCACATAAAGGATGGGTCAAATGTATATGACAGAACACCCTATAAATGCATGAATACATTAACATTACATCAGTACATTAAAAAGTACCATAGTGGGACATTTCATATGCTGCAGTTTAAATGGGCACCTGACTATTTTGTAATTTTTTATTTATAATAGTGTTTGTTACAAAGAACAGTCCTTGACATCTGATCAGATCTGCCTGTGGTGGTGTATGGCTGTAGGAATGACAGATTTGGAGGATGTGGTTCAGTTTTGGATATTTCTTCTGCAAATTTACCACAAACTGGGACCATGTTTAAGGTCTGTCAATATTTCATTGTTTGCTAATTCATAGACTGTTATGAACCTAGTAGTGACACAAATGTCAATTTAAAGTTTGACCTTGCAGTTTAAACCAAAACTTTTTATGTAAACTTTTTATAAGTCATAAAACTATCTTTGCCTTATACTTACAATATTTCTAAATAAATAGATTTATGAAAACATGGCTGTGTATAGTGTGTTGCAGGCCACAGAGCAGAGGAAGCTGTGGAGATGTTGAAGACTTTTTACAAACAAGAAAATCCAAATGGTAATCCAAATTAAAATAATCTAGTTTATTAAATCATATCACATTTTTATAGCTATAATTGTTGTACACTAAAAATATTTTCCCTAATTTTGTTCCAGCTCCAAATCCCAAGACCAGAAAACAGTAGAACATTTTTATTTTTATTTGTATTTTTGTATTCACTGTAACTAATTAAATATGTATCTTTAATACTTTCTTGTTTTGAGTATTGTCATCATTTTAAGATTCATGTTTTTTCCCCTATATAAGATGGCTTTATAAACTACATTACTACAATGTTTAACTAAATCATCAAAATTGAAGACCCAGTACAAACAGTTTGAAATATCCATGGGCTTCAGAGTGATGACAATCTAGCACAGTTGCCATAGCAAATAACACGTCAAAACATAAAAAATATTTAATGTTTTGAGGGTGTAAGTTCTAAAAATATCACCTGTAAAAAGAAGTTGAAACCGTGAATACACATTTTCAACCTTGAACATGAGAAATAATGTGACCAGAGAGTGAATGAATAATCCCCAAGTTGTATAGCTCCTATTTAAAGCATGCATTGTCACTGTATTTACTAGATTAACGAACCAGCATTTTTTTTGAAAGTGTAGTGAGTTTTGCAAAATAAAAAATTAAAATAATAACAATACACCCCTTTCTTTATTTTTTGGTACCATAACAACATGGGCAAGTTGAGTTATTTCTTTGTACTTGCTTCTTACCTGCTGCATCTAAAATTCAAATGCCTAGACTTTCTAATCTACATAAATAGGCAAAGAGAATCATCACACCCCCACAATTTCTGTTAACATTTTGACTGTTCAATTGAATCCACCAGATCAACCTGTCGTAATGTTTTCGTCTCTCCCTCGTTATTATGCAGATTTATGCAAATGTACCCAGAGCGCGTGTTTAGAAGTGTCACTGCAGAGCCGACACGTGTGAAACCGCTAACGAACCACTGAACAGTGGGTTTCTTTAGATACGCGCCTCACACCTGGAAAAGGCCTGGGCTAGACAAGTGACAGAACAACATAAAAACATGTTTATTTTCTCTTTTATCTCTCCCCTCTCGATTAAGTAGATAGAGGAAGAGTGGCACTAATTTGTGTTGACAGAAGTGGAGTAATGGTTTAATAGTGTAAGAGAATGCTTATCTGAAATGCCCCTGGAGCTGAACTCAAACAAGTATCTGGATGATATGCGAAATGTCATATAAAAACTAAATATTCATAATAAAATATGTATAAGGAGTGGAGCTGGAGGGGAGTATTTTATAACAGTCCTCAGAAAAGGCCTGAGAGCTAATAAAAATTGGTCATTCCACTTGACACGTTTTCAAGTGGAAGGGCAACAGACTTTCATTCAGATGGATGTATTTTGAACAGCTCTGACAGAGATACATCATCTTTAACATTCATTTTAGGCCTGTATCATGATCCTATCTGATGTTATTGAGGTTACAGTGGTAAAAAAGCTGCTTTTGTCCATCATTCAATGCATAATGACAACTAAGACTTTGAAAATGTTGTGAGTGCAGTACAGTACAGGCGCAACTCACTAAAATAAGGACACCTATCATGCACATTTTATGTAAATACTAAATAGCACGTAAAGTGATCTGGCTAAGTTACATTTCTCCAAAGGATCTAAAATAGTGACACTTGTTTAGTTGACTTAAAAAAAAAAAGTACAAGAATATTCTTTTTCAATCATTTATTAACAGCTCTGAACATAACTGAGTAACTTATCCATAACTTAGTGTCTCCAAAATCAGGTTGTTCCCTTTGGTCGGTTCCTATATCCAGCAAATGAATATCACAGTTTATGAACTTCATATATTAAGCCAACTTTGAATAAAAACATTTCAACATACTCCTTCTAAAAACAATGCAACAGCAGCTTAAAAAAAACACAACATCCAATGAAAAGCAAATTATGAACAGGTTTTGCTTCCAAGTATTTTCAAGTATGTACAGTAATACCGATATAATATTGGTTATTCTTATAGGATACATTTCAATGCATTTCAGCAGAGGTCGCTTGGTTTCCTTCTTGTGCTGTTCAGGCGGGCGGAGTTTAGAGCTCCGACTTTATTTGTCCTCAAGGAAGTCCATTGAAGCAAAGAGTTACTCGCCTTTTACTTTAGCTGAAACAAATAAATTAAGATTAATGGACAGGCTTAGTGGAAACTATTATTAACCTGACAGAGTACGGTACATTTATTAACAAAAACAACATCAATTTAATATCTATAATTTATAAACAATTTATAGCTATAGACAATAGGTGTTGTCTGATTTAGAATTAGTTGATTTTGAGAGTCTTGAATTACAGACTAATGCTATTACATCTCATTATTCCACACTACAGATATTTAAGAAATAGTCCTTCTCCAAAATGTGTTATCCTCCTAGCATGCCCAAGTCATATTTCAACTTTTTCGGCTAAAATACAAAGAAACTGCAGAGTATGAAGCCAATGACACCTACAGATGCAGCTGGGTCAGACAAAAACTATTCGCTTGTGCATTTATGCTGACGCTGGCCATATGCAAATGTTTAGCGTAGGGAGTGTACAAAGGTCTGTGTCTAACCTGAGCTGCTGGTTGTGTGCTGGTCCCAGATGTAGCTGTTGAGAATCTCTCCGAAAACATAGAAGATTCCGATGAGACCACAGAGGACGCTGAAGAAGGCGATTCGAGCCATGGGGCCAATCTTCTCCAGGACGGGGTACACCCACACCCCAGTTACATGATGCACCCAGCACGTCCTGGTGGGTCAAATGAATATTCTGTATTCATGTGCAGTTACCACACATTTTGAACACATCTTCATATTAGCTCTTTATAATAACTACACTTTTAATGGCCTTAATAAAGCATGAACAAAGACCTAATTCATAATGAACAAATAGTTTATTAATAATGATTCAGGCTTAGAAACTACTTTAATATCCTACCTTAATCAAATCATTCTTAGTACACTATTTGTTCGTTATGAATTAAGTCTTTTCTCATGTTTTATGGAGCTCAACAGTCCAGTCCACTTTGAAGTTTGCTCTGTTTCCAGAAGAAAAATTTGCATAGTTTTTTTTTTTGCCAAAAATTTCAAATATTAAGAGTTCAAAAACATCGCAGTGGCTAAGCAGCTATGTGGGAATATCCATCATGAGGTTGTTTTAAGTCCAAAAAGCATGTTTAAACTGCAACATTCAGTGAAATGTTTTAATAACCTTTGTTTAAGTTCCAGAAACAGATTTTACATACAATTATAGCTTAGCTGATTATGCCTGAACAAGATTTCAAACTGTTAATGTTGATTGTCTATGGGAAAAATGAATGACAAATGTACTTCTGGAACCAGAGGGCGGGCGGTCACTGTTGAGCTCCAAAGGCTAATTAAGGTGTAGTTACAGCTTCTAATTGATTTATTCTGAATCTTGTCCCACATACAATGGCGTAGTGGTAGGCAAGCCAAGAGAGGAGACAGCCCCTCAACATATTTGATCTGTTCAGAACTGACCAGAGAATGTAGCCTGCTCCAAAGGTGAAGACTGCAGCCAGACCCCACGGCCTGCTGGGATATTTGTGATGGGTGGTCCTCATCTCAATAATGATGAACGGCAGAACTGTGGTGTGCTGTAAAACAAGAAAGAAGAATGCATTATTTCTACTTCGTTTTCAAAGAAAGAGTAGTTCATGATCCATCTGTGTCCACTTGGGGGCGCTGTTAGTCTATCATTGACCCATTGAAAAAATCAGTGAGAGGGAGGGACCTTTTTACCTCGTTTGCCCTGAGTTCACAGCTGCGGCACTGCTCCCAAGGTGCCATCACTACAGGTTCACATTAATTATTACTAGACAGTTACACTTCAGAGAGGTGTAATTATGAAAGACTGAACTTACGGTTTGTTTTTATTTTGGGAAAATAAAAGCTTTAGGAATATTTGAACATTTGGTGCAAGGGAGGACTTGATTGTGTAATGCACAAATAGCTAGAGAAAAAACATAATGCTTTGTCTAGAATCTATGCATGATAGGCTAAAAAGTTCAGTGTGTAACTTCTGTAGTAGGGCCTTGAGGGCTCTACCTACTCTGTCTCCATGGAGATGTTAGTGCATTGCCAGGAACACTTCACAGTATGGCATTAAATATGTTGATGTTCACGTAGAGATGTGAAAGCATGTTATTCAGTACTATGAATGGTAGACAGATTAAATGCCACACAGTTAAACATTGTATGGAGTCATGTAAGATGGTAGCATAACTACCACCCAAAAAGTTACGCAGTGCAAAAGCTTTTCAAAGTCCTTCTAATATCCTCCCGTTAAAAAGTTCAACCAATGAAGCAAAGTGAACAATGACTTACAATACTGTATAAATCATCTCACATAAATAAAAGCTAAATATTGGCAAAGTTTAAAGAAAGTCTAAAGGCATATGACAGCAATATGCAAATGTATCTTTTCTCCTCCAGTCTTCCAAAAGTCAGTAAGATTTATGCTGTCTCCATTTCTCATCCCTGTCCTCTGTAGTTTGTGGCCTTTTCTGTATCTTTTTGGAAAATCCCTTTGAGTCAGAGCTAAAACTGTATCTGTATCTCAGGCTTAACCGGATTTGGCCAACACAGAGGTCACAGTGAGGTCAAAAATACTGCACAGAAATGAATGAGTGCGATGTATTGGGAATAGTATGATGAATTACTGGATACATCTGGTTCAGTCTAGATATAATTCTTGTTTTGACCTGGCTACAACCTGGTTTAATACAGCCCTTACTCCCCACAATCATGGTGGTGGTACACTTGGTTTTGGTTTGATTCATTTCAGTTTTTTTTTATTTTATTTTAATGTTTTTTACTTTAATTTTCTTCAACAGTTGTGAGTCAGGTTGAAGATAAAACTGCTGAAATTTAAAACCATCAGGAGAAGAATTTGATGGACTTGATGGCCTATATTTATATTACAAAGTGTATGATACATTTCTGTAATGTTTGCAAAGAGACACTATAATGCACTTAACCGTATACTGAATATCATAGATGAAATATTGTAAATTGAAGGGGTAGGATTAAAATAAGATATGCTTCTTCCTACTCCTTTTTTGAACACTGAATGTTTTTAACAATTTTGTTCTTTTTTTTTTCTTTAAACGTACATGTTTTTAAAGTATCGAAATATATATATATAGTATATATTGTGCTTTCATGAATTAAAAAAAAAAGTTCAAATAAAGTAAGGCAAATAATAATGCAATGAGCAACAAAGTCTAATTTTGTTTAGCAAGCAAAGGCTATGGGGGATCACCATAATCTCCTGTATTAATGGGAAACACTGCTGTATAATTTCATATAAGCTGTCCCACTGCTACACGAGAGCAAGTAAAATCCAATGTAACTCCACCCAGAGCAGAGTCAGTCAAGCGGACCGAGGAGAAACATGCCCAAACAATAATTGGACAAGATCTATCAAGTCAAGCATCATACTTTCAAAAAAACAAAACGAGAATGCAAAGCACTACTGTTTATGTGGTCGATGTCAATGTAAGTTTGAGGTTTAGGAGTTTGGGAGAGATCCAAAGGTTACAGATGCCTATGTTCACTAACAGTATATGTTTTGTTTTGAAGACTTGGTAACAGTGAAGGTGTGGTGTTCTGCGGCAATAAAAATCATATTTAAATGTCCACAAGAGGAAAGAGGAACATGTTCTGGATAAAGTGAAAAGAAGACTGAAGTGGTCAAGAATTTAATAGCAACAGGGTTAAAATGAAAGGTTTTATAAATCAGGCAAAACATTAGGACAACCTGCTGACTTGGCCTGTCACAATAACAAATTTTGAAAGCCGATATATACCTACAGAATCTATGCACTAAGCAGAATAATTCCAGTAAATCCTTTTTAATTGTATAATATTGTTGAAAACAAGAGCTGCAATAAATAAGTAGCTCAAAGGTTTTTATCTATATGAGTCATAGATATGTTAGTATTCAGTCCTCCGCAACTCAAATGTTAATATGATGCACAACATCATATGCACAAGTGCAAAGAAACGTGCATGATAAATACAACCCAAAACACTGTGCTATCTATTATTTTCTTCAAGGTGCACAGTATAACTTCTAAGGTGGAGGGTCCACTACCTGCTTGTCTCCATGGAGATGTTATTGCTTTGCTGGGAATGTTCCATAGTAGGGCATTAAACATGTCTCTATCTTACATTTGTTCAATTACAGGTGTATAGCTCAAAAATGCCTAAAAAAACATGAATTCTTATCATGTACAGGCTTGCTTCTCGATAGATCTGACCAGTAACCTATCCCCATTGTGATTACCAAGCTTATTTCCATACTGTGGAATAATCAAGAAAAAAACAGTAACATCTCCATAGAGGCAAGCAGCTGGTGGACCCTCCACCTGAAAAGTTACACAGTGCACCTTTAACCATTAATAAACATTATCATGCATGATTATTATCATGCATTGTCATGACAGACCTACTGCTGACTTTTGTTGGACCTATGAGTACTGCATTGTAGCAATATTCTCCAAGAAATGAGGTTTTGGAGATGTTCTGGTCTATCTGGCCAATCATCCCAACTGGTCCTTTCCAAACTGCATAAAATTCTCCTAATACATTAGCTTTGTAATTTCCTATCTTTCCATCTCCTAAAATGACTGCAAATATCAACTTGTGGCCTAATTTCTGTTGAGTACAAAATTGTGATTGTTCAGTGGTTGGAGAAACTGGAAGAACATGCAAAATACGCACGCAACTTAATCCAGGAATTAAACTGTTGACCTTCTTGTGTGTGCAGATTTACCAACCACTATTTCACCGAGCAGTCTACACTTATAGATAAATGAAACTTGTTACTTAAAGGTGGTAATTGACTAAAAGAATTTTAAATCTTTCATTAGTTAAGTGATAGTGCCAGGACTTTATGTTTGCACGGAACAATTATTTTCTTAATTCATGTTGACATAGGCTGAATCCTCCCTTTCTTTCTGCAAACTCCACGGCGCGCTAACTTTTTTGGCTGCATTGTTTCAGACACATTTTTCAGTCGTCCCTCGGCCTTGCCCTCACCGCGTTTCCATGGTGCCGGATTTAAACAAAACAACAGTCATTTCCATGGAATACAGATAAATATTTACTTCCAGCTCATGCACAAGTCTCTCTGCAGCTCTCAGTCTGCATAAAGCTCGGATAAAGACTTTGAAAAATGCCTGAGCAGAGATTGGCACGTAAAGATGTCGGTGATGTGAGATGGGGTGTACCCGGAGTGATGTTGTTGTTGTTGTTTTGGTTGTTAGCGCTGCTGTCGCCGTTAGCAACAGTCGTGCAGTGACATCATTGCTGCGAAGGGCACACACCACACAGAGGCTCAGTGACTTTGATGCGTGTAGTGTTAATGGAGTGAGCAAAGCAGTGATAAGACTTTGGCATGTGAGGGCAGGTGTATAACTATGATTACATGGTTTGGGATGTCTGCTTTCTCCAAACAAAACTGCATAATTACACAAATTGTTGAGATGTTTTTAGGCTGGAGTCGGTCTGTAAGTGACTAAAGACATTCTTGGTCAACTAAAGACTTGCCCTGTGCATATATTAACTGACTAAAAGGGGGTGCGGCAAAAGCTCTCCAAATGATTAGGATCTTGTGCAAAATCTATGTATACAGACAAGTACTACTAAATTGCATCTTCATATGTGACAAAAGGACTTAAGGACTGCAACTCAAGACTGCAATGGATTTTGTTCTATTCTTCTGAAGCAAGTTACAAGGTTTACATTCACAAACTTACTTTACTTGTATACTTACATGCTTATTTTTGCACCCCAAGCTCAGTTAAATTTACAAAGCTGCATCAGTACGGGGTTCCACTATATCACCAAATACCAAATGTGAATTTTTAAAGCAGACCTATTATGCAAAACTTTTCAGAGCTTTTAACCAGGTTATAGTTGTTTCCCCTCACCATTTACTAACCGAAGTTGTATTTGGAGTGATTTGAGCATTCGAGCAGTGATTCGAGCAAGTGCTTTGTGCTGCATTTTTTTGTCTGAAAAGCGGTCTATAAATAAAGTTTGATTGAATGATGTATGTTTGAGCACTCTTTAATTGCTTCAAGACACCAATTTGAAGACCAACTCCCATTTTCATGCCGACTGCTCTGTACTTCGTTATCCAATTTTATTTTTTGAAACTGTGACATGCATAGGATTTGTAGTCATTTTGGAACAAATGAAAAAAAAATCTGCGGTTTGCTAGAGTGGTCTGCAGATATCCATCGGAGGTGCTGACAACTGCACGGGTCATTGTTGTGATGGTGTTTATGGCAACGCCAGCTCCCACTGGGCACCGCAGTTTTCTAACTTGAAAGTCAGCAGTTTCTTTTATAAAATAATTCTGGATCAATATTGCGAGTTAAAATGTCCAAAATATAACAACACAATATGTCTTCTTTAATATTTTTTTACTACATACACCAGAAAAAAAGAAAAGAAAAAAGATCTACTGCAGAAATAAAAACAATGCTTAAATGGTAAAATGATAAATGTTCGGTTCTTCTGGTTTGCTGTTGTTTAAAAGGAAGTTTGACAAAGAATCTTTGCATGTTACACAAACTACAATAGGTTTCTGTGATCTGACTTTGCAAAGTGGTTAAACAAGAGATTAGTCCTACATTGTGTACATGACCAATCAAAGCCTTTAATGCTCCTCTATTCAAATTTAAATGAATAATAATGATCTGCTAAAGGCTAAAAAAGCACACACAGAGCACAGAATGTAGAAATGTTTATATATTGTGATCTCACCATGCCATGATTGAGCCACTGTGGGATGAAGTTGTCAAGAAGTTTGGGGTAAACCAGCTCTCGGTCATACATGTACAGGGACCAGAACGTGAACACCACAAACTGAGAAAGAAAAGAGATAGTAATTAGTTTCCATTAACAATTTATCCAAAGCAATGCACAATAGCTTATTAGTCAAACGATTGATGCTGAATACATGTTAACTGGTCTTTTGTTTGAATGCACTCTTTGCTTCAGTGAGATTTTATTTGTTTTGTCAGACAAATGGTACCCACATACCAATAATAGAATTGAAGATAGACACTAATTTCAAGTATCATTGTAGTAGAAAAAAAAATCACATAAATTCCTGAATAGTAGATCTTGAGCTATACAGAATAAGATCACCTAGTAAATGTAAAGAAACTACTAGTATTTATAAAAATACATTCTTAGGCATGTCATGATAACAAATTTTGGAGCCCTGATATATTGGTACAGCCATATATCATGCTTCAAATACTGTAACTACTTAATGAAAGATAATCCCAGTAAACAATTTTTAATAGACAGTATCATTAAAAGGCCTGGGCTTATTGGTCAGTAATTAGCCATAAAAGTCACTTTTACAGCTCAATTCTTACCTTAAACAAAAACATCCAAATTCTCCCCACATTTACAGAGAAACACAATGTATTTTGAGCCCCAAAATACATTGTTCCAGCTTTAATATAATAGTGCTAGTTTATAGTGTTGTGAGTGATAAGTTATAGTATTCATCATGACTATACATTCTATTGTCTAACCTTGTGGAAGTGAATTTTGTATTGGACCTTTTCCTTAGCATCGTAATAAGTTTGAAATTTTAATATTGTTACAACACAGATAAAATTTTCCCCCATTAACGGTAAAATATATAAATACCTATTGGTTTTCTAATAGCAAAAACATCTCAGGTTACTCATACAATGACCACTTGAATGTGAAGCTTTAGTCACTTGCACTGTTAAACTGTGTGTTCCCATCAGCTGGGGAAAGTAGGATTCCTGATGTCTTTAGGTCCTGTTATAATTGTATCCATTGTTCTGTGTGTAAACTGAACTCCAGTGCGCTCTACCAGCTCGGAGCGACCTCTATAGCGGTCTATAGGCCCCTGTATGATACTCAGGTTTCTCAGAACGTGTGTCTGAACCAGAACAGCAGCCCTGGGCCACTGCCAGCTGAGCTATTCTGTGTTATGGAGGCTTATTGAGGTTAGCATTGTGGCTAAAGTCAGGCTAAAGCATGTGACCGGAGTGTGTCAGTGTAACAGAACAGCCCCAGAGCAAACAGGGGTCACCCTCTGGAGAGCACACTGAACTCTACACCACTAAAGAGACTTCACTATTTGATTAAAATCAATGCCAAAATCAATGTAAAATCTAACATTTATTTTATCCATTTGAATTAAGCTACAGTGTGCCTGTAATTCTATGGTGGTGGTCAGGTATTGCACAAAACACAAACTGACTGTAAAATTAAAGTTAAAAGTGCAAAAATATGACTTTATGGCCATACAAGATTTTTTTTTGTTTAGTTCTTTTTTATTAAAGACAATATACTCAATATTAAAATTTTGCATATTTTCTGGGGCACACATAGGTTAGCAGGGTCTGAGGTTCAGCAGAGATGAGCATTTCCAGGGCTAAAATCATCCAAACGATTTTAGTGAAGGTGTATGGAGTTTACAAACACAGTGGAGCACTTCCTGTATTACCACATGACATCACAAGGTGGAAGTGTTTTCAATTTGAGAGAAGAACTCAGTCTAAATATGCAGGGTGTGTCTGTTAAACATATGTGGATGAAACAAAACTCAACTACAAGTTTCTAATGAGGAAACATTATAACAGAAAAAAAATATTGTAATATAAGCTCTTTAAAACTCCCAAAAGTGGACATTTGTGAAGTGTTTGTCTGGAATGTCTGTCTTTTCAGTGTTTTGTGCCTAAATTATTAGACACAAAACATGCATTTGCTGATTCAGCGTCTGCTTATTTACTGTGATGTAGTAAGTACTTTATTATTTTGTCAGTCAGAATTATTGGTCTCACCGCTCCAACAGGAAAAGCCAACACAGCCATGATCCAGTCCCGGAGTGAGATGAGCTTCCTGAGCTGCCTCTCCTGTTCCCTGCTCTCCCCAGCTCTGGTCAGGAGACTGGAAATGTCTATGAGGACACACAGGGCGAAGAACACCGCCTGGATCACCTGAACAAATAAATACCCACTTTTAACAATAGTTCACAAGTACACAGATAAACTATTACATATATTGGGGGACAAAAGGACAAAGGAAGAATACTTACAGGCAAAAATGTCAATAAGTACATTTGATCATTTAGAGTAAGCAAAACATGCCACATTACCACAGAATAATTCAAACTGACACACACATTTAAGAAAAAGACATTTTCGGGCAGAGGTAAAAATGGGTTAATCATGTAACATTCCAAGTTTTTTTTTTCCCCATTTTTTAAAATATTTCCATTATATACTCATTAAATTACTAAACTACTTATTTACAATTCCTTGACAACCTCCTGCTGGTGTTGAGAGTTAGGACTTTCAGGATGCAACTAAAAAATGGGAGACAGTCCTCTACTCTGACAATGTTCAAATCCAGGCTTTTTACTTTTATAAAATGTATTAACTTTTTTTTCATTTGTTGGTATTCCTGTATTTGTTATTTTAATACCTTTAATATATAATAATATATATAATAATCTTTTTGTTGTATAAATCTGAATAGGTAATCTTTGAATTACTTTATGCATGACTTGCCTTGTATAAACTGTTAAACACATGTTAATAGTGGTGATGGGAGAAGATTTCTGTCTAGTATATTACTGGGTAGGATACAGAGCCCCTCCCTCCTAGTGTGTGTAATAAAACTCTGGAGTCAATACTGGTCCAGTGATGGAGCTGTTCCTCTGAGACAGATCAGGCTCACCCAAAAAGACCACTGGATAATCTCTCCAGTCATTATAACATCATATGACCATGCTATAGCAAAGTAAACTACAATAGCGAGTATTTCTAAATTGAAAATTTAATTGAAACTTGTGATGCATACATGAGGTGGTTAAGTGATGCCCAATAAAATCAATAAAATGCACTTTTGTTTATTTTTGAAATAGTTTGTCATTGCATACCCTACGAATGTCCATGGAGAAAAGAATTTGACGGACCCTTCACCAGAAAGTTATTCAATGCATCTTTAAATTTCATCTTTGGTCAATTTAAGAAAACTAACAAATTCATTCTTGTATAATTTCAGATATTTTACATTTAAATATTAGTTGCCTGTACAGATTTGAATCTTGACACTTTGATGCTAATGATCAGGGCCTGTTGCATGTTGCCTTCAGGGACCACAGATGTTGAAGTGGTACGTTTAAGGGCTTTTGGTCTGGGTCCTTAACAGCACAGTTAAACTGGGAACTGCTTTAATGTGGAAAATATGACACAGCATTTTCTCGGGTCTACGTTAATAAGCTTTAGCAAGTACCTGTACCAGAGTACCAAAGCCTATAGTGTAAAGCAAAGGTAGAAAAAGTACAAGTATTACTGGTACAACAACTACTACCTTAAAGGTCCTATATTAATCTTTTAAGCCATGTTAGAATGTTGTTACCTCATCAAAAACATACCTGGAGTTTTGTTTCATTCACACATATTTGAGTAATACCTTATTATTAGTCCATCTACATTTCCAAAGCTCAAAATGCTCTGTTCCACCTTCTGATGTAATATAGCAGTAATGTTCACCTTTTACCTTCTGTTCAGTAGAACATTGAAATGATTCCAGGTATACGGAGGTTAAAACACAGTGGAGCACTTCCTGAAACAAATAAACTCCTGGTATGTTTCTGATGAGGAAATAACAGTAATACATAGATCAGAAAATAGGGTAATATGGGCTTTAATTTAACTGCCAGTATAGCAACATAACTCATAAAAGTAGTGCCACAGAAATCTAGACGTACAGAACAATACATAAAACTATGACACAACTGCACTGTAATTACTTAGGTAAATAAAATGTCATGGCTAAATATCTGTATATGCATGGTTGTTTTTGGTACAATTACTGCAATTGAAAGGCAAATGGCTGGAGGACAGACACTCACTATGGACAAATTGTTTGGACTTTGAATAGAGGCTCTGTTCTCTGTTCATCCTTCAATTTTAACGTCTCATTACTGAATTAGGCTCAAGATTTCATTTCACTTTATAGTGTCCATAAACTATGACAAAAGGAAGGCTATAGCTTACATAAACATTTGCACAACACTGACCTGACTATTAGATTTAGAAAACCCTATTGATCCACAAGTAGGGGTGAGTGATATGCAAAAAAAAAAAAAAATCATATAATAACTTTCTGGAGCCAGGATCATGATTTTGATTGTGTCACGATTCAAGCCGTTAGTATGTTTTCATGTTATTAAGAAGTACTAGTACTGTGTCTGAGAGTTTACACTTGAGTGTAATTGGATAAATCCACCTGTTACTCACTTGGAGCATGAGCATAGTTGACCAATAGGCAGAGAAAATTGGGAAAACGCCTGTGTTTAAGCCTAGTGCTGATTCAGAAATGAACTGAATCATAAAAATAATCATATAGTTACAAGGTAAATTACTTGCTACGTTCGTGTAAATAGAAAAAGTGACAAATATTTTGTGTGTTTTGATTAATTACTTTGATTAATTATCCATGGGTTTCAGAATGATGAGAAACGAATGCTAAGTCGATAAATAATTTAACGCAGTATATTTCTTTTGAGTTGGGAAAAAGTCCTCCAATGTTTCATATAGAAGGAAGAAACCCATCAATATATAAATACTACACTGAAACATGTTCATGGCATTTACTATTTCTATAGGTCTTGATAAGAAATGGATGCGTCATGAATCTTTGTCTTTTACCCTTCATGGTTATACTTTGCTAATGGGGAAGCTAAGTCAAAGAATACTGTGTTAATAGAAATTGATTGGTGGGCAGATTAATATGGTCTTTTCGGATCGCCATTTAGCAGTGATCCCAAACCAAACTAGAGACTACCACTTTTGTCAATGAAAAGTGCAATAATGCTAGATTAATTATGCAGTATGAGTGAGCATAGTGTAAAGCCTACAGCTATCTATTAGTACTGTGATAAGACCTCCAAGTTGGAATATTTAAACTAACCAAATTGATTATAATGAGTTACTATGAATGCCAGTTTCCACCTTCTTTTAAAATCAACTTCTGACATCCACATCTCTTAAAGCCGTGTATTCACTATCTCCTCTGTTATATGGATGTCAAATAATTTTCAATCTTGAAACAAAACTATTACTAGTAATGTTTTACTATAGCTTGTGGTTGCATATTTCGAAGGGTTTTGACTACCGTACAGTGTATCTGAGTTTTGACCGTGAACAATAGATCTCCAGTTGACTTTTACAAGACCAGAGTCATTGATTTACTTTGTCAATAAAGACCGTGAACGCGCTGCTCGTTCACGCTTGTGCACCTATCAAATGACAGGACTGGAGCAGCTTAGCACAGACCCCACGCCTTTCTGCAAACCACAATGATTATTTAACACGAAAAGCACTGCTGTTGTGTTAGATTAAAGACACAAAACTCTAATTATGTGTTAACGCTGATGAAGTCTAGTAAGGTGCATTACTAGCTTGATTTAGGCGCCTTTGAGTGGAAATAGCGGGATTTGGTGTGTGTGTTACCAAGTCTATAAAGGTGAGAAACTTCCAGCTGCCTCCGTAGGTCTGGTGAGCGGGCATGTCCAGGGCTTTGTAGTGACAAAGGATGGAGAAGTAGGACAGAAGGATGGTTATCCGGAGAACCTGCGAGGGGATGAGCGCCATTTCGCACCACGTCGTGTTGTTTATGCTAACCCTAAACACTAATCTACACTTAACGCAACTGCAGGTCGGTTATCAGATGTTGTTTTGTTCCTATTATGGTCCGGGACTCTTATTAAGTGCCTTGGTTGTCTCCTAGCTGTGCTGCAACGGTGTCCTCCGCCGCTTAGTGCCCCCCGACACTACTTCCGTGTTGTTGTGGTGACGTCAGAGTGGGCGGGGCCATGTGGGTTCTCGTGTTGGTAGACCCCCGTCCGGACCGCGTGGATCACAGGTAAGTTTGAGTTATTATACCTCACGGTGTATTGTGTCTAGAAAATTAGATGATGCTGATGTATAACTTTTCAAATTGGACAAAACATAAAAATAAAACTCAGCAGTTAATATTTAGGGTAGGCCTTTCCACACTTCCTATAAATCCTTTACAGAGGATTTCAAATCTAGGTCTGTTTTGGGAACACGCTTTTTGGATATACTTTTTAGAAATATTACTTTTCTGGTATAATACCTTTCTGGCAAATATTAAATCACTGTTGTGTGTGGTGTAAACTCTACGCGGTTAAGGGTGAATCGTAGAATTGGGAGTGGGAAGATTTCCATAAACCAAAACACTAAAAAGTGAGGTAGTCTACATTTTAACATTGGAATTTCATTATGTGATGTTTTTCATCAAGTTATGACAAGCCATAGGGACAGCTGGCTCTTTGTCATGGGGATATGACATCATCTTATTATAGAAAAACACCTATGAAGATTTTCCGTGTAAAGGGACTGATTCAGGATATGCAGTAATCATTTGTGCCAGAGGTAAAATTTATTTAGCACTCAGTTTAAGGCAAGTTTTGCAGTTTCACACAATTAACTATATTAAATCTTTACACAATATTTATTACTTAGAATTGTTTTTTTGTTTACTTCTACCATACACATTTCTATACTTCTATTGTCTTAACTCCTTGAAGATAGTGTTAGTTTCTCAGAGTCACATGCCTGGTCCCTCCCACAGTGATCACTCCCGACAGCACTATGTGGCCCACAGCTTCGTCACATTACTCTAAAACAGAAGATCATTGTTGAACCACACTGCAAACCAATTATAATATAATATACTTTCCTGAATATCTCATTGCCTTAAGATCTAAATCTGTTTTGTAATATAACCAGTAATGTAACCAGTACATAACCAGAACTCAGTCACATTTTAATCTCATCTTTTTTGCTTGCCATTCAGGGGTGTTTTGTACAAGTCATCTGCCTTCAAGTGTGACGCACAACACAGCTCTGGGTTTTTTGATGAGATAACAACATTATAACATATCTTAAAACTCACTCAATTTTGTGTAATATTGGACCTTTAAAGTTGAATTGGCTAACTTACATCAAAGAATCTGCTGTTAAAGTGTTTTTAATTTGGTTTATGAGTAATATTTCAGTAGACAGTAAACATCAAACACATTCTCTAAGCGCAAATAAAATCACAGTGACAAAAAGTGCTAAGATTTGCTAATTTGTAATATATGTCTGGGGCATAACAAATTCCTTACAAAAACAGTAACAACAACAAAAACATTTCAACATTTGTTTCTTTTAAATTTTATATCTTACCTCATCAAATTATAGAACACAAACGCTACATGTACTTCACAGACCATCTCGATTGCAAATAGCAGGCTACACTGCACTACACAGCAGAAATTCAATCTTTAACATGGGAAGGATAGGAGTGGCTCTGTGTGGAAATTTCACCCCATAACCTGATGTGGTGGGAGACACAGGGCTTATTTGTGGTTTGGACGAGTTGAGTGGAAAAAGTCGTAATGGGTCTGTGAATATTTGAGCTGCAGCAGATTCATGGAAAGCCTTGAGAAAACTTGACTTCTATGGGTTGTTAGTGGGACAGTTTGCCTTGTGGTGAAAAATAGTTTTATCAGGACGATTCTAGCCTCTTTCAGAGCTGTGGTGTTGCATGCTGCTGGGAACAACCGCTTTGGCCAAAAAATGTTCCACTGTGGAAACTCTCTCTTTGTCTGGAGTCAACAACAAGGACATCCTAGACAAGGCACGTGTGGAGTACATACCGGCTACATGAACAAATCTATCGTGATCTATCACGCTATAATGTCAGAATATTTTCAAAGAACGCTTTTTTTTTTTTTATCTTAAAATCTTTTAGGCTGACTGAAAATTCTATGAAGTATGACACAACCCCGAGCTCTGTGTATCCTGTTAAATGGTACTCCAAAAGTGTAATACTTAATGCTTAGTTTACTGTTAAAATACCCTTCCCAGTCTTAGAGTGCAAGTAATCCTTCTGACCTTATATAAAAGTGGAGCTAAACACTTCCATTTACTACTAAACTGTGTACATGATTTTTTAATAGCATTGTCATTGTCAAAAACAGTCAAATGTGTGTGTGCCTTCTGTAGCCACTGTGATTTCAAGTACTTGGCAACATCACGCAGGACTGTTTTGTTTACAGCCAGTTATTTCTGATTACAAACACCTGTTGGGCCAATCACATTGTTCCTTATATGTCCAGACCCCACCCCTTTTTCCCTCTCATTCTCCTCTTTAGTCCTCCAGATACTGCCCAAGTTGAAATGTGGTTGTGGGCGGAGATTTTGTTCAGTCCCATTTTAAGGTCAATGCTAAGACCTGATTCATTTCTGGTGTAATCCTGGTGTAGTCAGTTATTATTTAGCCTTGATTTAGGCATTAATGTTCCACAATGGAAAGCTTCTGGAGTTAAAAACAAAGACTGCCTTCTGGGGGTGTTCCTGAAAGTCACTCAGAAAAGACAGGCTTATTGCCCTTATCCAGCTTACTGTAACTTTACAAGCCTGAATTCCTAATGTGCACTCAGGGCTTCCCCAACTAGACTTAGCTCTAGAAATGCCCACAGTGACAGACAAAAATTAGACTCTTTTGCGGAACGTAAAAGTTAGCCAGGCTTTTGGATCTGACAACCTCTCTGGAACACGTTTTGTGTTAAATCTGGACGAAGTGCAGTAGGTCTTATGATCATGTATGGTACTATGTTGGTGTTCGCCAGATCATATCATATGTATTTAAATTCCTAACTTAGTCTGAGTAAGTTTCAGTAGTTTAGATTTATTTTTTTTTACTTTCTTTACTTTTACTTATTTTCTTTGTTTCAACTAAAGTCTTCTGTGGTAGAGCAAGATTCATAGATCTATAGGCTATAAGTATATAATAATAATTTCCTTTTTTATGACAAATGGTGTCATACACGAAGGACTTCTGTCTCTGGTCCAATGTTTCTCAGTGTGCCTGTTATCTGCAGTAATGACCCTTATGTAACAAAGCCACTCCCCGTTCACAAACTCCACATCTGTCACTCAAACTGTATTCACATTCACTCGAAGACAGTCATACATATGGCTCACTGCTACATCATCACTACACAGTAACAACAGTTATTTTTCACATTAATATTTTCTTCTGAACATAGTGTAATATGTTTTCAATTGGCATTAGTCACCAAATACCACAGTGAATACCACAGTTTTGGCAAGTTTAACCGCCAATCGACCACATGTAAGCAATAACTAATCCTGTTTGAAAAAATGAAAATGTCAGTCAATGTTTTATTTAATGATTAGAAAAACCTACACTGAGACATGTTCAAAGGTTTTACAGTATTGTACCGTTTAGCTCCTGAAGAATAAATAACCATAGGTAATTGCATTTAGTTTAATAATTCACCCATAGTTCACTAGTTTACGGTCAATAAAACTTCAGTAATAATACTTGTTAGTTAATATGCATTTTTATTGTTTGAAAAATTGCTGTGACATTTCTGAACCCTACATGTAAAACCCTGAGTCAGATTAAAAAAAAAATAATGCAGTGGGCAGAGATGGGGGGTAGGTGAAAAGTAAAATTTCCTGAGCACTCAAGCCTAAAACAGAGAACAATACAGGATTACTCAAACACACATGAATCAATCAAAACACAATTTCGAGTAATACTTGATGTGTGTCCTTTAAAGCCACTGCATAAAGTTGCTCAATTGTATTCAATCTATGTGAATCTGGGCGTGCTCAGTTGAGTTTGTATGAGTAAGCATGAACCATCCTTCATCTGTCATCTTTCTTTTGTCTTGTGAAGACATTAACACACAGGCCTGAGGCAGCGTGTCCACCTCCTGATAAAAAAAAAAAAACATGGCATTTTACCGTAAACTGAGCAGCGTCAGGTTCTCTGGTGTCTGTGGGTGTTTGTTCATAGGTGTACAGTGAAAGGAAAAGGATTAGAGGCCAAATGATTCATGACCTAACTGTTAATCTAGTGGGAAAAGCATTTATATAATCAGGTTCAATATAAATATTTAAGATAGCTGTGCAAGTACAAGCAAGTTACTGCACAAGGAAGATGTTTATTTAGAATATATGTTAAACGGACATATTCTTTCACTTTTACTTCTGTAATTTAAAGTAGGCCTATATTCATTGGCTACTTCTTATTGGAGTAGTAATAGTAGAAGCATAGGGGATTGATGATGAGACAAAAAATGGGTCACAATTGGATGACAATCTAGATTTTCAATTTGATGTTTTCTTAAAGACACGCTGTGTAATTTTTCTAGATTAGGGTCCACCACTTGCTTGTCTATAGTACTGTTTTGCCTTGATTATTCCACAGTATTGAAATATGCTTGGTAATCACAATGGAGACAGGTTAATCTCTCTATGGAGAAACAAGCCTGCACATGGTAAGAATTTTTGTTTTTAAGGTATTTTTCAGGTATAAAACACCTCTAATTGAACTAATACAAGGGGGGTATGTTAATTATGTTAATATATGGAACCAGGCAAAGAAATAACATGTATGAACAAGCAAGTAGTGGACACTCCACCTTAGAAGTTACATAGTGCACCTTTAATAAAACCAAACACATATGATTTGCATTCTTAATTTCAGGGGCATAAACATAACAGACTTTGAATCAGTGCCATTTAACTTTTAAAACTGTCCCATTTATTGCTTCAAAGTCTGAACTCCATAACGCATGTTTTTACTGACAAAGAATTGGCTTAGACCCCAGTGCTGATCATCACTATGATGATGATCTCAATTTGATTAAAGCACAGCCTCGAGTAGAAGTCATAATTATGTAGTAGCATGTAAGTAGGCATTGCTTTTTAATTTAAGCTTTTTCTTATTCTATTCTATATCTACATAGCTACTCATGGGTCCAGCTGTAATGCTAGTAGATACATTTTTTGGTAGATTCACTCATATTTTACAAAGTATGTGCTTCCTCTTTACAGAAAAAAGTTGTTTATATTTTTTCTCTTTTGGTAATAGGTTTGATGTGACATATCAAATCATCACTATAGTTCCTGTGTTAGCAGAAACAGGAGCTGTTTCACACAATTCTACTTTCTACTTTCTACCATCACATTTTAGGATTTAGTATTGGTAAGTTGTTAATAGCTTTATTTATCTCATTCATCTCTAGTTGAGGGTGCGCCACCTGCTTGTCTCCATGGAAATGTTACTGCTTTGTGTAGAATGTTTCCCAGTGGAGATTAAACCTATCAGACAAGCACTTTGCAACATTACACTACATCACAATTCAGATCTGTGGAGAGTCATTCTCTATTCAGAGAAGGAATTACTGTATTTTTGAACAATAGGAACACCTGTAATGAATAAATTCTAAATGGATGTTTAATGTCATACGAGGGAACATTTCAGACAAAGCAATAACATCTCCTTGGAGACAAGCAGGTAGCAGCCCCTGCACACATAATGTACACATTGTATTTTTTTATTTTTATTATCAGTAATTATTATGAAACAAATAAGACAGAATCTCTCCTATATGTTTCAACTCAACCCTTAACATCTTACATCACACTCATTGTTATACTGTACAGGCTACATTCATATGTTCTTTTGAAATAATTTGATGTGCACTATTGTTTGTGTTTCTCTTACATAAGTGGACTAGAGCCAAGTCTGGGCTTGTCTTTTAAAGTGGAAATCCAACATGACACACTAAAACTGAAGTGGTGCTCTGAAATGCTTATGGAAGTGTATTGCAAATGGTTGAATTAATCATGTCGCTGGCATTTTTATTTTCAAGTCATTAAAGGACCTTTATTACACTAATTTTCTGACCCATTGATTATTTTGTTTCATTCACATGTTTAACACACAAACCCTGCATGTTTAAGTTGAGTTGAGTGAAAACACTATGTGCCACTTTCTGACGTCATTTGGTAATACAGGAAGTGCTCCACTGTGTTTCTGAACCCCATACACCCTCACTAGAATCATTTGGCTAAGTTCAGGCCTGGAATTTCCCATCTCTACTGAAGTAAACGTAATAAGGTAGCTGTTGAGTTCTACTGTTTCATGACATCACAAGGTTGAACAGAGCATTCTGAGCTTTGGAGATGTAGACAAACTAATAATAAAGAGTTACTCAAACATGTGTGAATGAAACAAAACACATCTCTAGGCATGTTTTTGATAGGGTAACAGTATTCTGACATGGCTTAAAGCTCATACAAGTTGCTTTTGTGTAATATAAGACCTTTAAAGATTCCGATTGAAACAGATTGAGTGTCTTTTCTTTTGTATTGTTCATATCCATGGCAGCAAAATGATAAACAACCCACAGGTGATGCACAGGGGCCATAAACAGTAGTCAATTTCGAGCAGATAAATATTGCACGTAGGCATGTATTTCACACTGTTTTATCAGACTGACAGTTGGCCCTACAGCAGAGTAAATAAATGAACTTGTGAGTCATCTGAGATCGTTTGGCACAACTCCACTTCAGTGTCTCAGTCCTGATCAGGGCTGTAGATATACTATAACCCTGTGGTTCTTAAAACTGGTTCAATCTAATACTAGGCTTCTTGGTAGTTTAGTAACTTTCCTGGTGGAGCCCCAACCTCCTATTTCCATGGTTTCCTTTGTTTTGCCTGGAATTTGCCTACAGCACGACATTAAACATATCCTTTTTCGAAGAAGCAATCAAGCGATGCTACAAGGCCAAGTTACAGGTCAGATCTGTGCAGAGTGGACTATACACTGACAAGGAAAATGCATGATTTTCACTTATTATAAAAAAATCTAGCTTACAGATGTTTTATGGCATACTGTGGAACATACCTGAAAAATAACATCTCAGTAACAATAACATCTCCATGTAGACAATTAGGTGGTGGAAAAGTTGCACGGTGCCCCTTTAAAGCCAGGTAGTTTAACACGCCTCACATAAAAAAAGAACATAAAAACAGGTTATGCACAATAACTATACCTATGCCAACTAGGCCATTCATACCATTATTATCACCCAATTCTTGCCGTGCAGTTTTGTTCTAGAAAGCTGTCTGTTTATTTTGTTGCCTGGCAGCCAGTGAGGTCGTTCCAGAGGTGACCGGGGAATCCTGCTCTCAATAGCCTGCCCGGCAGACAGCGGCCACTGCTCCTCCCCGCTCACTCCCTCCTTGGCTTCCTCCCCTTCTTCTCACCCTCCTCCCTCTCTCTTTGCCCTGGCGCGCGCTGGGGGATCCGCTGACGTCACAAGCACTTACATGCACGCGCTTACCAGACACACACATACACACATACACACCAGCTTCTCAGTCTTCTTCCCCTTTCCCCTTCGCTCTCTCTCCCTCTGCGCTGGCTCTACTGCTGCTATTCTGGGAAGCGGCGCTCGGAATAACCCCCAGTGCGCGCGTGCGTTTCTGCGTGTCCGTGATTGCGCTTGCGTGTGTGCGTCCTGGAGCGTGTGCGTCGTGCGTGTCTCCTGATTTCACCCTCGCCAGCAAACAGACACTGACTGACAACACACAGACATTTACAGTGGCTGCGGCGGAGCGAGGAGCGCCGAGCCGAACGGATTCACGCTCGTTTTTACGCTGAACTCTCCGCTTTTTCCGCGGTGTTCAGCCTTCGCTCTGTCCTTTCTCGCCGCGGTTTTCTGGTGGAACTACACCCTTGCTCTATTGGCGTCTTGTCAAGCCACAGCCAGGCGGAACCCAGCTGTCCTGTCACTTGTCCTTTCGCTTCCTTCGTGTTGACATTCTGTCCAAAGGTAGGATTGATACTGTAAACCTCTTTTGCTTCGACACCTCTCAGTGTGCTTTTGCTTTGCTTCGTTTTTCGTGACACTTTGGCGATTTGCTTATAAGGGCAAGAAGGCAAAGCTAGGCTATGCAGGGGGAATACCCCGGGCACGCATTGCATTGCATGCAGATTACCCGCGTTGCGTAATATCCTGAGGAATTTGCAGCGACTTGTGCTTGGTACTGAGATGCGAGGCCAGCCGGGAGAAAGGCAGGGACAGGCGGATACTGCGAGGGGAAACAGGCGATGAGAGTAATAGACAGGCAAACAGAGCGGAGTGTGCATGGCAGATTAGCAGATTTCCAAATTACGCATATAATAATGTCATAATAACACAATAGTAGGTCCTATAGCTTTTAAAAGTGAGAGTCAGATGGATAAGATGGACAATTTAAGTATCATATTTGGAAATGATAAACACTAATACACTATGAATGCTTGTATGTTTTACGCAGGACGAGATCCCGCAAAGCACTGACTTTTTGATAATGAATGTGGAATTAAACAATGGGGGATGCCACGGTAGAATGCACTAAAGTGTGGGAATGAGAAACGAGCGATCTTATCCCCGTTTCTCTCATGTACCGTGGATGAACTGTCACATCACTAACTTTGAACGCTATCAGATTGAGAATGATTTGAAACTTCCACAAGATGTTGTGTTGATAGCGACGCAAAATTACGGTCACTTGGTATGGTATCTTGTGCGCCAGATTCGTCTTTAGTGACTTGAGCCATAACCTTACGCTGTCTGAGAGGTGTTTTCTTGTTGCTCGAGTGACAACAATATCGGATTTCAGAGTGGTTTGACAGTGAACGCAGCCAAGTCTCAGAGTGTGGATCAAGGGATAGAGGAAAGACTAATGTCAACATCAATAAAATATAAAATAACTTAGTTAAAAGAGAGGAATTGCTACGTGAGCAGTTTTACGCACAGATATAGACTGCACTTCAATACAGATGCATTTGCTTTATAGTGTGCTGTTGTGTAGCTGTATTTAGATGTAACTTACCAAACGTCTCTAGGGCTGGAATGCGGTACAGTGATAAGAGATACAGCGACCTTTGGGTAATGCTGTTTTGAGCGCAGATATAATATATTATATTTGTATATGGGTGCAACAGATTAACCGACAGCAATGACCTGCAAGACTTTAAGACAGCCAGTAATAGAATGGGCATGGTTTACATAATGATGTTTTACGCACAGCCAGTTAACGCAGCCAACTGCTTGGCTCAGTGTTGTTTTTCTACAGCTGTGCTCACAAGCACTACATTAACAATTTCGTATTTTAGACACATTTTGTCATCAGAAACATTAATAACTTTTAATTTAAGATGTGAGCCGATTGAAATTACCACAGAGTATCTTATATCTAGGTAATAATAGCGGCTTGGAGGCACACACATAATGTTTTACCGTTACTGCAAACGGTGTGTGTCTTTATGTCCATATGACTTGTTTATGAGTTGTGATCTAGACTCGTTGGTATTTCCTGATTGCTTCACGCGACTTAACGCCTCGTGTTCGGGTTCAGCTTTGACAGTGGACGCTCAGGGTATGCCCTTTGGAGGGAGTGACTTTCTCTTGTCTGTTGCTCATATGTTTCCTCCGCGCTGGAGAGAGTTGGAGTGTGCATGTAGATTTGAGTGTGTGCGCTAAACATCGAGAGAGAGGGCTGTGGGTGGTGCGCCGCTGGTTCCGGGAATGTTCCATGACGTGTAGCAGTCTACTGTGGGGCCCCGCGAGGGGAAGAGCGACGGACGAGCGGCGATGCTACGGCTGATCTCTGTACCTGCAATGTACTGTCAAAGATAAACTGTGGGTCCGTCTTCTCGTTCCTTGGTATTTGTCTAATTCAGTTCCACGCGTTATCAGTGCAGGTATATAGCCTAATTCTAATTTCATCCTGGCTCTAAAGGTCCACTATGTAACTTTTCAGGCGCTTGTCTCCATGGAGATGTTATTGCTTTACCTGGAGTGTTTCAAAGTATGGAATTGAGTTTACATGCAGGAAAACAAGCATCTAGGTCAGATCTGTGGGGATGCAACCTTGGTCACAGTACGTTTAAAAATAATTTTTAATAAATCGATATACCTGTAATTTAATACACATAAATGCATTTAATGCCATACAGACAAACATTTCTGAAGCAATAACATCTATGTAACAAAATTACATTGTGCACCTTTAACCTACATCACCTGTTCAAAACTTGTTTTGTCTGTGTCTATCTTTGGTTTAACCCTCACTTGATTTCATAAGCCATGTTCTTGTTATAGTCCTGGTCTCATCCAATGTGTATTATAGGGTACATGCATTTTGTTTAATCTTTTTTACTCTCTTCTTCTGGTCCGGCTGCAATCCAGCTGTTCGGGGCATAGCAGTGATTTGGCCCTTTTAGGTGAATTCTTAATATGAGTGCTGTTCTGTAGTAGTGAGTTCCTTGTTTAGACGTAGGTTACATGTGTTTAGTACAAATGTGATTCACAAACTGCAGCTGAGGCCTGTTTTTAGGTATTGCGTGGAACTTATGTGTGTGTGTGTGCGTGTGTGTGCGTGTGTGCGTGTGTGTGTGTGTGTGTGTGTAAAAAAGTTTTTATTGCTACTTTATTAAAGATATTTTAAGCTATTCTGCCTTATTTTAATGTAATGTGAAGTAAACTGTGTAAACTGGTGATTTAATATTTGCCAAACACAATGAAATCCATATTGTAAGACAGTTTTCCTATATCCCCTCTTCAGAATTCTCTAATAAAGATAGACCTTGGCGACACTGGCCCAGTTTCTCAACAGCTTGTAATTAGTCGCACTTCATGCATTTTGCATCAGACTCTGGCTCTAACTCAGAGTTTTGTAATCACCATCAGCCAATCTGCACATGATCCCTTCAGGACAAATATAGACAAAAAGTGAAGTCATGTTTCGCATTCAGCCTCATATTTAGAATTTTTTGTACTATTTTCCCTATCTGTTTCCTCTTTGTTTACTGTCACTTTCACATCATCAAAGCTGTATTTGGTGCCGTCTGCTTACAGTCATACAGGAAACAGACTGTAGGTGTATCAAAGTACTGGAGATAGTTCAGTTCTTAGTGAAGGTTGCAAACTTTTACTTTTTCCCTCATCCTTGTTGATGTACATTTGTTTATCAGTGAATCATGCGTTCTGTACGGGATATGCCGTCATACAGTTTATCTGCTCTATGACATGCATTTGTTACGTGAGATAGTGTGTTTTGTTGGTAAACTAATTTTAGTGTATTGTTGTATGTTGGTAGATTTTTTTTTGTTGATCAGTCTGCTGAAACCTGTCTAGGACATTTGGCAGAACTAATCAACATTATTTACTTGGTGGATGCTTTTGACACTTACTGTAAAAATACCTGATCCCATGGCTTTGGAAATGCTGGATCAAACGTGCCAAAGCTTTGACATGTCTTTGGTGCCTCTGAGGTCCACTGGGAATTTCAAAGTTGATCCACTGAATTCCTGTTCATTTTGAAACTGAATTCCTACTCATTTTGATGTCTTTCATCCTTTGTATTGATATGCAAATACATGCAGAGGCAGCTGATGATGAGGTTTCTTTGTTTTATTAAGACTAATTTTAGATAAAGTTCACTATGTTATTCCAATATAATATTGTATGTAATATCTCTTGTAAACCTGGAGTTAGCCTTACTAATTATCAAGAAAGCAAGGATTATTGATCCATATTAACAAAAAGAAAATTCTCAAAACATGCCTCAGAAACAAGAAGCACCAAGGGCACATTTTTGATATCTTAATATGTTAAAGGTAAAGGCCAGATCAGAACATCTGGTACACTTTATTTGTCACAATAGACATAACAGTCTAAAAATAAATCAATTAATAAATACAATGTGAAGTTAAAGTTAAATATTTTTGTCTAAATTTGTAACATTAGTGTTTGACCTGCTCACTGCCATTGTGGGACTATGCAAACACACTTCATGCATCAAGAGTTCTGTAACCGAACATCAGCCTGTACCATTTATTCTAACATTGCCTCTGGTTCTCAGGGGCCGGGGACAAGTCTGTGGACAAGAGGAGCAGCTTCATTCATAATCAGGTAGGACCCAGGTGTTGGCACAGTAACTGATGGTAAACTTTAAATGCATTGTGTATATGGTAAAACCTGACCGTACATAGACATCTGTAATTGTGATACAGGCATTGATGGTATTGATGAATGATTATGTTGCTTAAGATGATTATTTTAGGTCTATTTTCATGACAACATTAGACCCATTTCTTTCTTTTGAGTAGGCCAAAACAGGTCAAAACAGTTAAGTGCTATTTTTGTGATTATTTGGATTTTGATTTTATTCAGTCATATTGTGATGATTTTGTTTACTGATGCAGAAATAATCACATTCACAATCTCTAGGCCTGCTATAACTTATTAATTAAACATATTCTAGTCAAAGAAGATCCATCCCCAGTGGTTAAACCCTAACCCTAAATTTTATACATTTTCTCCACTGCATTGTGCTGTTTCATTGATAAAATTACTGCTTTGCTTTTGTGTTAGTTACATATGTTGTATTTACGCAAACTCTGATGTGAGTAGTTGGATTAATTTAACTTCCTGTCTACATTTGTGAGTGCTGCTGTTGTTGCCATAGTAACCAACAAGCTCTTCATTAGAGAAAGGTGTGACTGTGACACAAAGGTGTGAATGACAAAAACAGTGTACTTACATTTTATGGGATCAGGAGAAATTGATTGCATCTGAACATTTTAATATTGTTGGTGTTATTTTAGTTTTGAAGCTGGTGCTAAAATGATAATAAAACAATTGTTTCTTATGCTGCCTTAAGAAGTGTCATTAGTTTGAGCCCTGTTCTAGTTCTGGTTTAGTCCTTGTCTAGTCCAGGTTTAGACCTAGTTTAATCCCAATTTTGATGTGGTTTGTGTGCAAGAGTGACTCCACCCAATCTTTCTATTTCTACCTGATTATGAATAGTGTGTAATATCGAGAGATTCATAATTTTGCATTAAATGTATCTGAACTTGTGAATTCCAAATCTTATTATTACAATGTTTGAACCATAACGTAACAATACAGTGCTGCCCCGATTCAAATGAACATTTAAATGGTGTAAATATGTCCTCCATTATCCTGTTGTATGTGTGAATTGTGTGTGAATGAATGAAACCTCAGCCGCAGACAGTGGACAGAGAGTGGGAGGCTGCCATGGAAACTAGGCACAGACACAGACAGCAGAAGTCCACAAAATAGCAAATAAATTGTGTTTTAAATCAGAGGAAATTACTCAAGTTTCAGTTACTTATACACAGTATACAGCCACACAGACCAGAATATAAGGCAAACAGCGTCACTTATAGATAATTCAAGGCCCGTATTCCGCTTTTCTCTTCCTCATCAAAAACATGCCTGGAATTGTGTTTTATTTCATTGACACATTTTTAACACACAAACCCTGTAAGTTTAGGTATTTAGGAGTTATGGCAAACAGAAGATACCCTATTCCACAGTGTGATTTCATGTGGTAATATAGGAACTGCTCTACTGTGTTTTCAAACTCCATACACCTTCACTAGAAGCATTTGGATAATTTTAGTCCTGGAATTGCTCATCGCTACTGAACAAAAGGCCTGGACTGGTCACCTGCTTAACTATGGAGAAAGAAATGTTTAACACCATACCATGGAACATTCTCGACAAAGCAATACTATCTCCATAAAGACAAGCAGACAAGGGACCCTCCATCATGTAATGTTAGTAATAGAATATTGTGAAAAATCCCAAACAAAACAAATCATAGAATGTAGCTTATACAAATATGCCTATAGTCTTATATTGCACCAGTTATCTGCTGCTGACCCTGCTAAGATGCATAGAATAGCTATATAATATTAAGCAGGTGCATTTTCATGTCCCCTATACATGTGAAGCTACTTATACTTATGTTATTTAGTTCCTCTCTGATGTAGTCTCCATAGTAACCTGGAAAAGTCCTGATAATTGAGCAGACCCTTAAAAACTCCATTAGCCGCACAGTAATTGTATTATGTCCTGTTGCCATGGCTTCTGCCTCTCATTTTGGCTCTTTGTGTGTGTGTGTGTGTGAGCGTGTGCATGGTACGCTGACATACATGTGTATGTGGCATGTGCAATGTCTGATTATGATTTGAATGGCACGATGGGGTATGACTGTTGCCTGGAGACTCACTTAGTTTGGGTCTGACTTCCTGGTTTTTATAGGGTTACTATGCCAACGCAATCTCGCTGTAGTCCCCATGTCCTCGCTGTGATTCTCTCAGGTAATGCAGGACCCTATCATCATCCTAAGACACGCTTAACTATATCTGCTTGCCTGTTTTCTCCTGGTCATATCAACATTTTAATTAAATACTGCTACTGCTCTATTTGGCTATACAAAAATAAAGTGAGAATGTATGGTTCAAGAGTGACTCTAGTGAAGGAATGTCTCAGTGGCACCCAAGATAAAGGTACTTGAGCTGGACATGTTCTGTCTCAGCAGCAGATCCTTAACTATAAGATCACAAAGATGAAACAAAGAATGAATGAAATACAGAAAGTACAGTTATACAAAAAAGCACTGTATAAACACTTTTTGAGATGGGTTTAATATATTGTATACTGAGCATTATAGAACTGCATAAATAGCGAGTATACTGCTATCGCTTAGCTACTATTTCCACTAATACATCAATTGCCAGCCCTATATAGCCATGTAATAAAATCCTGTGCATGTTTGTAGAGATAACAGGGTATGAATTGGTTGGCATGATGGAGTACGAGCGTTGCCTGGTGACCTTGGTGAGTTTAGGTCCTCACTTCCTGGTTTGTGCTGAGCTCCATGGCCACAGTGTTTGTCCATTCAAATGTGATGAAAAACAGTTGGGCTACAGCGAGGAGAGATGGTTTTACATCTTCATGCAAAACTCTGAGAGATGGGCACTTCCTGTTTCTACAGCTGTTTATAATGGACGATTGTGGTTTCATAGTGTACTCTCAGCTGACATTATCATATAGCACTAGATAAAGATAAAACATGCCCTTATAAACTGCAAATAGTGTCTGCACACACAGCTTTGAGAGCCTTGAAGGTTGAAAATGCTATGAGATTTGTGACATAAAAATGTATTGATATCTGTTATACTGATTTTGTATTTTTATTTGTGTTTGAGGTTATAGGGTTGCAGATATTCTGTGGCATGTATTTCGAATGTCACTGTGCAATAAAATCACAGTTAGGAGAATGCATTGAGTGACTAATGCTGAAGATGTGTCTGAAACCTCTGAACAGGATGTCAGTGGGAGCAGAAACATGAATGATTGAAGGTCACATGTGCGTGGCCCAAACCCTCCTCCTCCTCTTCTTCTTCTTGTCTGTGATGACTACACTCTTGTCCTTGTTCTATCTCTCCATTGATCTGTTCATTCAGGCTTTCTTCAATAGTTGCATCTATGGCAGCTTGAGACGGGTTTTAAAATGTACTCTAATTATATCTGATCAGTGGTCAATTATTGTGAGAATGGGTGAATGTCTCTTGTTGCGTTGTGTTAATTTGTGTATATAGAGCCCAAATAAATAGCTTGGTTAAAATCTGAAATGAAAGACAGTTGTAATTGGGTGTTTTCATATACTACCATATGGTCATGTCAGACTTCTACATGTAGAACAGAAGCCAGTATTTCTGTATTAAGAAATATCAAAAACACAAATATTATATCCATATATATCCATCCAAATGCAAAAAATCAGAATGAAGCACCCATCCAAGTCTGCTGAAGCAATATTTACGCTAGGCTATATTGTATACATTGTACTCATTGTTGTCACAAGGGGACTGACTCTTTGTGGCAGTTCTGAGCTGCAGAGAGCTTTATGCAATCAATGACTATCATTTACTGGCAATGACCCTAAAGAGTTATAGATAGAAAACACAAGGACAAGTACGCAGGTGGACATGTATTTTGTCCTCTGTAACCGAATGTAACCCAAAATGGCAGAGTTCCCCTTCAGCTCCGGTCCCCACGGCCCCTCCCCTCTTCGTCGCCAGTCGTTTGGTGAGGGTCTTTGCCAAAACTAACAGGTGGCTCACTGTCGGAGGCTTCCTGCTTCAAACTGAGAAACATACTGTATTCTGTCCACTCCATCTCACCCAACTCTGCTCTGGATCTGTGCTGCTGCAGCCTCAAATGACTGTAAAATACTAGACTACTTTGTACAAAAAATTGAAAAATTACTATTACTCAACATTTCTGTTGGAAGGTGCATCGCCTGTTTGTCTTCATGGAGTTGTTGTTATCGCTTTGCCTTCACATTAAACTAATCTATCTTTGGAAACAAGCAGGTTAACTTGCTTACTTAACTTACTAGTCAAATCTGTGGAGAGGTGAGCCTACTCAATAAGAATGCATGTTTTTCAAGATACTTCTTAGTAAAGGCAAAGTAATAACATCTCCATGGATACAAGCAGATGGCAGACCACCTGAGCTTGAGCCAGAAAGTTACATAGTGCATGTAATCAAGTGTATATTAAATTTACTGTGGTACAATGGAACAACTGGTTTCGAAGTGGTTCCTTCAGCTGTTGGTGTGGGAGGTGATGACTAATTAAGGACAGAATGAGTAAATACTATGTCTTTTTATTACGAAATACTGTTCAAGATTCTTTCCAAAATGTGATTCATGGTATTATAAAATCATAGGAGACAGAGAACGAGTCAATAGATGGTGGCAGGTGCTAAATTTTCAGACGTCATCGTCCTTGTCTATAGGCCAAAGGTGATCTTCAAAAGCTTTAGATTCTCTCAGCAGGGATTTTGTCTCCTTCTGTTGCTGTGGTGATTGTTCACATCATATGACCTACGAGGATGATCACATGACCTCAGGAGGAAGAGGAAGTGGAGCGAGAGAGAGGAGAGCCGTGATTTTCTGCTGTCGTTTGAGGACACTGACTCACTTTTGATTTTCTGAACTTGGTTAGATGAAGACTATGCCTTTTTCCATTGGCTCATTCATCATATGGAATAAGGATTATGTCTCATTCCACTCTGACATATGGTCTAAA